GTTCCTAAAAGCTTCATAAAGCTCATTGTAGTTATTTTCTTTTGAAAAATCCCCTTTGCCCATACTTTTTTTGAAGTAGGAAGAGTCTTTTTTTCTCTTCCCTACCCTCTGTACCTCTTCTCTCCCACTAACACAGACCTGATTCTGGATGTGAACCTGGTACAAGGTAACAAGGTCCTGGTACATTTATTGCTGAATTAATGCACAGGTATTTTAACATCATTGCTTCAAGGGCAGCAGTGATGCCCTCCAGTCTGTGCTCTGCTTACAGAATCATTGTGGCCCTCTCCATGGGATTTGTTTTCTTTTCTTTTTCACCTTCTAACTTGTCAGTGTCTGCCCCTCGATATTAGAAAGCTTCATTTGTCTCAACAAATGTGTCTAATCATTGTGTCTGATCTCATTGTGTCTAATCCTTGATTTCTGTGGATATAATTTTGAAAAATGCTGTAGCATAGGTAGAATTGAATGTGTGCTGCATTTTGGGGAGTTAGCCCCTTGCTTTGGAAAGCAGTCTGGGCTGTGATTAAATTAAATCTGTCACTTTTGAGAGGGCCTGGTTCCCCCTGTGTGTCCTGCATGATCTCTGATATGATAAAGTTGTTTCACCATCTGCATATCTGCTTTTATCACTGCTGGTAGACTTTGATTTGCTGCTTCAGGAAGGAGAACTTTCCTTGAGAAGTTACTGTAAACACACAAATGCCTTGCCCTGTGTTGGAACTGAAATTTTGCCCTGAATGCTGGCATGGCCTGCCCTGAGCATCAGTGGGAACCAGAGTTCCATGTGCTGCTGACAGCTTTGAAACACAACAATGGGAGTCACTTGATCAGCTCTTTGTTTTCTTTAGATTTATTTTCAGAGGATCTGTGTAACACTTGGATGTAATTCGATAGCCAAACAGTGAACAAGAACAAGCCAGTTTCAATTACTTGCTACTTGATCCTTGGAATAAACCCAGCTAGTTATAAAAGTTCTAAATAATTTTGTGAATAAGATGCTGAAATAGGCATTTGTGCCCATCATCTGGAGATGGATTCCAGTTAGGTTATGACAACACTGTTCTTCAGGAATTCGAAACCTGAACAGATTTATACCTTCATCTTCTGATTTTTAACATGAAATATTAAATATTTAGATTTTTTTAACAGCATACAGTGTTCTGTAATTAATAACAAGTATTATTAATAAGCATTAATCTTTCAATCCAGCAGTGTGTGAAAGGTTCACAGGTCCAACCTGCTCTCAGAATACTGAATTAATTCCTCAAGGAGGTTCTGGAAACCCACTGGTGTTCCAAGGTGACACAAGTCATTTGTTAAGCACAGTTGGAGGATATTTCCAAGAAAACTAAACATAGTTGATGGCACCATCATTCAAATTCTGCTTTTGATTGATTTTCAAGTTAAGACTAGCATATCCTCTTTGTTTCTCTCGTTCCAGTCCATGCAATCTAAAAGATTTATGGGTAAAATCTGGTGTGTCAGCCTCACAAAGTGAGAAGTTGCAGTTTTTATCACAGAATAAGGCAATTTGACCATTTTTTAACTCCTTGGCAAGAGTTTATGACAAGAATAGACAAAAAAGAAATACAGAGGAAACTTTCCCATCAGACTAAACCAAGGTGAAATATAGAATTTCCAAAGTCCAGAAGGTTGAGGTTATTTTTTTTTTTTTTCTCTTGAAGATAAAATTTCAAAAGCTCTGGAAGGTGGTTTTCAGAAGTTTGGCAGATGCCTCAGTGTTTCAGAACAGTTGTTAGTGTTTTTCCTGGCCAGTTCTCCTCCCATCAGAGTGGGTATTCAGAGGATGCAGTTTTATGTTTCAGCTGGACTCATGAATTGTGGGCAGTGACCAAAAAGGGAGGGCTTGTTTTCCTCTCCCAAGCTCTTCCTTCCCTCTCCAGTGTGTCAGTGGTATTGCTACTCTGACCCCACAGTGAACTGATTCAGGGAACCAAGGCTGTAGAAAACTAACACTAGAAACAAGGAAAATAATGGCTTTTTACTGGTGTAGTGCTCTGATCCATCCTGGGGTCAGGAGAGTGCCAGGGCTGTGACTGGGGAGTGCAGCCAGAGGCAGGATGAGTGGGAGAGTTCTTCATTAATGTAAATGTGGTGTAAATGTAGATTTCTAGAGTTCTTCATTAATGTAACTGTGGTGTAAATGTAGATTTCTAGCAGTTTCATCAGGTTAAAGATTATTTCTGGATCATCTCTACTGCTGATAAGGAGGATTTTGTTCTCTCTGCTTGGTGCCCTGTTTTCCCACATCCCCCTGCTGATTTCTGGTTTGTTGGATCAGGAGATTCTGCTGAAGACCAAGCTAACAACAACAACAAAGAGAATTTAAGCTTCACAGAAGTTATTCTTACATAGCAAGGGACAAGGTAGTATGAATTTGTGTATGAATTTGTCCTTTGTGACAGCAGCACAAAAAAAATTTCCTAAAGTCAGTTTTGATGTTGCACTGTAAGCATTCATGTAGGAAAAGTTTATTTGCCAATTCATTGACTCTCAGCTGCTGTGCTGGGCAAGATTTCAGATCTTATCTTGAAGGGTAAGACCTGAAATCATGTGTGGCATCTTCAGCCTCTGTTTTGCCCATGTGATTCTCCTCTGGTGTCTCTCCTGAGATGGACAGTGAGCCACAGAACACTGCTGGATTTAGGAGAGGCATCAGTGGATGCAGTGTGTGATGGTCTGCTGTAAAATCATCATCTGTGGTAACATCAGAGCCTTTTGGAAGTTTTCTCTTAAATTTTTCACAATAACAATAACAATAATAATAGTAAATTATAGTAAATGTAAATTTAAATAGTAGTATTTAATATGAAATTTAAATAGTAAATTATAGTAAATTACAGTAAATACATAGTAAATGTATTATAAAATAATACATTTCCATAATATAGCTAATATAATTATAATAAATATTAATATGTTTGATATTTATTAAATATAAGTACAATAAAATAATTTAAGAATGTGTTTATTATAATTATAATAAATATTAAAATTCTATTTATTATAAAATAATAATAATATATAATTGTTTATTGTAAAGTAATCTGTTCTGTCTGGTTTCACTGAAGTATCTGTGTCAATGGACACATTATCTGGGATGTTTGGGAGAGATGCTCTTGGCACGTGAGCACAGCTGATGGCTTGGAGCTCCATCTCTGAGGTGAAGTGCATTCCTGATCCCTGGGGACCTGGCAGCTCTGAGGAAATGCCATTCTGGCCTCTCCAGACACATTTCACAAGTACCCATGGGCTCAAGATTTTCTTTTGAAGTTTTTGTTTCTTTCAGAAATGAGATTCAATGCAATGCCCTCTGGCCTGGCTTTTCTCCCTGCTGCTGTTTTCTTTTGGGATTACTGTTTGGCCATTGTTTGGTTCAGGCCGTACTCAATTGCCCTTGTAATTAATGTGGAGCTAATAACCATGTGCTGATAATCAGGCTGCTCTGCTTTTCTGGGCTTGGTTTGATTCTTTCAGCTCCCACTGACTCTGGTGGGGAGATTTTTACATTTAACACCTCTGAACTGGAATATTTCAGCTCTGGGCAACCTGCTGATGGGTTAAGACACATTAGGTGATAGGATTGTTCTGGCTAAATATGAGTGCCTAGAATTGAAGTGTCTGGATGAAAATGAGTCACCCCAAGATCCCTTTAGGGCCAGTGGAGTTCTGTCATTGTGCTCCTGGAGCTGCCATGCCGTGTGCTTCACCCTGCAAGAAAAATGGGACAAGGTCATCTGTCAAGTTTTGATTGGATTTCTCATTTAATTAATTGGGACAATTGATTGAAGTGTCTTTATTTGGTTTTAAATCCATGTGTATCTGTGGAAATGGAAGTGGCCAGACATAAGAGTTTGTGGAGCTCCCTCAGGCTGACATCAAGAGGAGCACCTTTAAAATGCAGATGCTGAGATGCATGTGACAAATGTCCACTTTGTTTAAGAACTTCAGATGTACAGGAATATTAATATCACCCCTGTACCTTGCTATGAAATTGTCAGCTTGCAGATCAGCCCTGTCATTTGACTGGCAGCAGTTGTGAGGTTGGTTTTTTCTTCACGCCCCAGGGTGTGCTCTGCAGTTCCTGCGTCTCTGCTGGAAGCAGGCACAAGCTCCTGCCTTCACTTTGCACCTTGTGTTTGACAGGCTCAGTCTCCTCTTTGCCTGGATACTTCATCTTGTGCAAAAAAAAAGAAAAAAAGAACCAGTTTACCTCCTGTCATCCACATTCTGGCTTATTTCACAGTTGTATTTGCAGCAAGTTTGTTTAAAGCTTCAAAGACCCATTTGTATAGGACTTGGCTGTCACAAATGAAGAGATGAACTTAATAGTTACTCCCTTTTCTCTACTTAAAGCTCTTCCTTTCCAAAAACCTTTAATTGTAGGTACCCCTGGGTAGCAAATCCACAGTACTCAGGTAATGTTTAAAACAAATTGCATTTTACTTGTCCAAGCTTGATTAGGATTTAAGTGTCTTTGGCAGAAATAAAAGATCAGTGAAAGTTCACACTTAATATATGTATAAGGAATATAAAATGGAAAAAAAAAAATCAATGCTCAGGAATTGTAGAGTTCAGTTTAAGAACTTGAACTTTCCATGATTCTTCTCAATTGCTTCATTTCCACATTAATATCATCATTGTTGATCAAGTGCCAGCTCCAGTATAATACTCTAAATTTGGAAACATTCTTTAAGTGCTCTGCATGTGTTGCAGCTTGGGGGAGAAGAGAAGGTCATGGAGTATGAAGCAGGAGCCAAACTCACCTTTTGGGCTGTGGCACCTGGGGGATTCTGGTACACACTAAGAACCTGCTAAACCTCCAGCACTGCCTCTTCTCAGGGCTTGAAACTGCTGAAAGTGAGGCATAGGCACAATTTCAGGAGAATGTGTGAGGTCTGTCTGCTCCTCAGCAGCTGCTGGGTTTGATATTTTGTGAACTGACTGGATTTTTATCCCTCTTTTTCTTCCCCTAGGTGTTCACCTCCCATGGGCCTACTGTGATCATGCCAACCTGGTTCTGCTCTCGAGAATGGTTTTTTCATGTGGGAAGGTTTGATGAGGGTGGAAAGGTGAGTGGTGCAGGTGATCTGGAGTCCAGGAGCCATCCCTCTGTTTAACAACCTCTACCTGTTAGTAAGGAATAATAGGGAAGGGGTGTAGATGAAAACAGCTCTAAAAAAGCCTAGGTCATAAAAAAAACCACAGTCTCCAAGCAACTGAAGTTGTTTGGGAATAACCCTGGTGATGGAAGGACCTATCTGAGGATGACATTGTAACACATCCATTGGATGTGTCAGCAAACCTGGGAAAAATAAAGGTTTCAGACATCCAAGCTCCTCTTTGTCTCTGGAAGAGATGCCAAAAACAGGTGAGCCCTTAGTTTGGTTCTGAGCAGGGTGAGAAAGGCTGCTGGAAGAAGTTGGAAGGGAAGAAAGGTGCAGAATAGCAGAGGGATAAAAGTACCTTCACCTAAGGGGGAAGATTTATATCCCTGAGAGAAAAAAAGAAGGGCCATAAAAGTATTAGCACAAAAACTCATTTATCCACCTGTCCTCTTGTCAATCTTAGTTCTTGTGCTTTTCCTTGGAAGGTTTTAAGTAGCTTCTGCTCAAGGGTCAGGGCTGAGAGGTTACAAATTCAACACCTGTGGTCTCAGAAGTGTTTTTCCCCTGACAGTTAGGTGTTCTTTGTCTTTATGAATTTCCTGTACGAGTTCAATTTGATTGCTTCAAGCTCATCAGTGTGTTCAGGGAATAAAATCCATGGGTGTCTGTTAGCAGTATTTATTGTGGTAGTTGAAATATGTTGGCAAATAGATCTAATTTAAACACATTTGGATCCATTTTGTGTGGTTTGGTTCTGAGAGGTTTGGCTTCCAGTGGTTTTGCTGAGATTTTAGGGCTAAAATGGGTGGTTCTGATTTTTTTTTTTAAAGCTTTCATTTATTAGCACTCTAAAACAAATCTGCTAAGGCTATTTCCTATTTAATTATTTAAACTACAACAGATGATGATGATGATGATTATTTTTATAGCTTTTAAATGAAGCCCTTCAGTGCCATGCAGTGTGTGTATATATATACATGCGTGTGTATGTATGAGGATATACAAATATTATTCTTTGGGCTGCCAAAAAATTATAATTATAAGGAGACAGCAGACAGAGAACTGAATTGTTTAGAGCAGTGAAAAGATTTGCCCTTAATTACATGGTGGGTGAGTGGAAGAGCTGGGAATGGTGCCTGCCTCCCAATACAATCTACATTTGCTGACCCATGCTCTTTTATTTCTTTTTTATTATTATTTCTTATCATTGTAATTTCACTCTCTGAAGGATGTTTGACTTCTTGAGCGTTGTTAGTAAGCTCCAGAAAGAAAGCAAGCAAGTTAAAGCAGCAGCAGCAATAGAACAGCAAGCCTAATGATAAAGTTCAAGAGGTTAAGTTAAACAGACTTATTTAACTTAATAAATGTTCTGTGCTTTTTGCTTTTCATTTTGGCTTTTTCTCCTCCTTGTTTTGTTTTTATGAGTTGGGTTTTTTTCTGTTTTGCTCTCTCTGTGTAATTGTGTAGGAATTGTGCCACTGGTTATTCAGCTGCAGTACACTGACAATCTTAATGCTGATGATTTTTCAGCCACAATGCTTGAAATGTCCTTCTAGTTGGAAGAATTACCAGTGATAAGTTGAATTTATTGTTTGTCCCCGTTGTGAAGTGTCCAACATGTCCAAGCTCAGACTCTGGCTGACACAGAGGACCTTCAGAAAAATACCCTAAGAATAGAACAGATCTGAACAAAGCAGGAAAGTCAAACCTTTGTCTTCTGTGGGTTTAGAGGACACAAAATCAAGCCTTAAATCTTGAGCATTTAGTGTTACAAGTATTTAACATTGTTCTCACTTGTTCATTTTCATTTGAAAAGAATCCCTTTAAAGCAAAGGAAGTTTTTCTGTGTATCAGCAGAGCTGAGAAAACTCTGAAGGGTCCCATCCCTGTAAGTTCTGACCTGTGCCAGGATCTGCATTAATCTGATCACTTCCATCTCCATTTTTGAGTCAGTGTTTATTAATGAGGCTTGCCAGTGTCACATTGCTGAAAGTAAACACAGAACAGGCCAACAAATCCCCATGTTTTGGCCTTCTCCATTTGCTGAGCTCTTTCTTGCCAAAAAGCTGCATTTCTCATTTGAAATTAAATCCAAACACCTGTTCTTCGTATTTCAGTGCTGAGGAAAGAATGGAGGGTAATTCTTCCATGGGAGAAATTGTGATTTGATGTTGATGGTAACAGAGTGGGTGGAGTGATCAAATACAAATAGATGTGCTATGGTGTAAACCTTTTTTTTAATCCTTTTTTTATTCCAGATAGATATTTCTCTCTCCAGTCATTCAGGCTTTAGGTGAAACAGGTTTTTTCCATTTTTCTTTTTTTTTTTTAATGAAGTTCTTTCTGATAATGATCTGCAGTTGTTTGAAGTGTATTCCTTTAGATCCAAACAAAATAATACATTCATAAATGGTCTCTAAGAACCTGACAGGTTTTACATATTAATTAACTAAAATAAAAATATATTAATTATATATTAATCACATAATAATAATAATAATAATAATAATAATAATAATAATAATAATAAATTAATCACTAAAATTTTATATATTAATTAACTAAAATTATTTATGCAATCTCTGATAAATGACAATTGAAGCAGGAGTACTGAAAAGATTTTAGCAAGCTCTGATGGTGCTCTGAGACTGAGATAATACAATGGAAGTGGTCACAAGCCTATACAGTAACATTTCAAATAGTATCCCCTGCTGGAAGAAGAGTCACATGATGAACCACATTTTTGACTTATTTTTTTTTAGGAAACTAAAAGGAAACAATCTTTTAATCGATTTTGGACAAAGAGCAGTACTTCCTTATTGAAAAAAGTAGCAGCACTTCACTAAACCCTTCAGAACTCCCATTTGACACTTGGTGTGTGACATTAGCACGGGTGGCTTTGCTGCTGCAGTTTTTGGTGTCTCCCAATAAGTAGCACCATTGTTAAAAAGTAATAACCGTGTCCAAAAGCATCACAAAAAATTATGCTGAGGAGGAAAATGCCCGTGTTCTGGCCTGATGTGAAAAGCAGATTTTAAAGCTGTGTCATCTGTTAGAGTGGGGAACTCCCCAGTTGCGTGCAGTGGGAGATGAGGTGCCTGTTATTAGTGAAGAAAAGTTATTTTTTCATGTGTCTGACAGAAATGCTGAGTACAAGGAGAGCTGTGTAAATGAGCATTGCTGCCCTGCATGCAAGGGTGGAAAATTGCAGTCTTGGCTCTGTGCAGGCAGAATTACTCTCCACATCACAACTCTTACGTGCCAAACTTGTCTCTTTCTCTAGAATTTTACCACAACTTGGGTCCAAATTTCCTGTCACCCCTGTGTTTATCCTTCCTTTTTAAGTGTATGAAAACTGAAAACGGAGTGACAGCCTTAAAGTTCTGAGCTAATCTCAGAGTGTAAACAGGGGGAAATTATTCTTAATGAGCCCCAGATGGAATCGTGCATTGTAAAGCACCGGCCTTTCTGAATACAAACTGTGCCTCTGAACAAAGTGTCTGGAGCTCAGTTTCATTCTATTTTTGTGATAAAAGGTCACAAAAAACACGCACTGAGGAGGTGTCAAAATACCCTTTTGAGCACAGGAGACTGCAGGCCATGTGGAAAGCTCTGAGGTAAATGTAGCTGTTAGGCACTCACTGATGCAATTTTCCATGTTTCCCTGCCAGAGCACACAAATGTCATTCCATTCAGAAAGGCAAGTGGTTGTAATAATGCCTGAGAGGTAAAAGGCCAAGTAGGAATTTGGGTTTTTTTGGAATGTGAATTAAAATACTGTCAGTCTGTCAAATAAGCTATCAAGATGCTGTGGGGGAAATTGGGATAAAATACAGGCACTACAGGGGGTTTTTTGTTTGTTTTTGGCTTGATATAGTTAAGGCTGAACAGAGATCAATATTTGATCTAAAAAGCAGAGAAACAGTGGTGGAGCCTGTGATTAATTACACTTTATAAGCTATTTGAAAATTCACCCCATACCCCATGTCTAATTATATTTTCTGCTGGTCTGTTATTAAATATCATTTACAATTTACCACCTCTCTTCCATTTGACTTCCCCATCATCTTTGTTTAACTGCATTTCTCTGTGCCAAGACATTTGGATGAAAGCAACCTTTTGGAGTTTCCTTTAACCTGTTATTTCCTAAACAATAAAATAAATCCTAATGGGCTCTGGGTCCTGTAATCAAGGCAAAATGATGGAAAGGCATTTGGATGAGAGCCAAGAAATGAAGTGACAGATCTGCAGAAAGGGAGACTTAAGAATATCTTGGATAATCCTGTAGAAAAGCTATTAATAGCTATTTAATTCTTCCCATTCACCAGTTTTAGGCTGCTCTGAGGAATTTGAGTGATTTTTTCTGTCCAACAATTACCCTGATGGTGCTGACTGGTTTACAAAATGTTGCAGCCCAGTTTTCCTTGATGGCCCTGACCAAAAGGGAGGACCAAGCTTTTCCAAACTGAAAGCTTTTTCCCCCTGTGGATTGATGCACTTCTCCTGTCTTATTTGTCATTGCTCTTTCTTATAAGTGCATGTATTCATGAAATAATGGTAGATCTCCCATTTTCACCAGTCAGGCTTCTCTGCACAGGCTAAATCTCCACTGGTTGTGCTCGCAAGGATCTGCCACCTCTGCCAGAGTGCCTGTGAGCTGGGACAGGGCAGGGACTGGGGCAAGGCTGGGTAGGGATGGCTGAGGAAGCTGGGACAGACTGATTCTGGTTTAGCAGGAAAAGGCAGCTTTTATATCATGTATATGCCTCTACAGCCCCATGGTGTTTTCTGTCCAAGTGAGCAAATGAAAGGACTTCTGCTCTTGGCCATCCCAGCATGACCTTAGCAGGTGTTCATGGTTACAGCATTGCACAGGGCATCACTTGCATTACAACTCCTCCAAAAATTGCTGTTGGTCCCTCTAGGAACATAACAAACCCCTCAGGGAAACCTCCAGGCTTTGCCTTGGAAAGATCCCTGCTGATGCTCCTCATCCTAAGTGTTGTTGGGAGGTGCTTGAAGCTCTTTGAAAAATGCTGAGGTGGCTGCAGTTGGAGCACAATTTGCTGCCAGGAGTGAGGACAGGGAGCAATGAGAAGGATCATAGATAATTTAGCCGATCCCTGAACAAGGAGTTGCTTTAACTCAGGTTGGGGTTCTGCTTGACACCCCATGGTGTATAAAAAAAATCAGTCCCTCATCTGTACAACCATCAGCACACCAAGCAGTACCTGCCCAAAATACTGGGTCAGCAGAAACCTTTCCCTGTTCAGTGGGAATGTGAAAAAGTGAATATGATTTTGCATTTGGCTGGTTAGAGCAGGGCAAGGGCAGGCTGTGCTTTTCTCTGGGAGCTGTAATTAGTTTATGCCTTTTTGCAGCAGAGGATGTGGGGTTGGGTTTTGCCTATAATATGGAAAATTCTGCATGTAGTCCAGTAACATGTAAACTGTGCAATTTAATTGTATTTATTATTGCTGAAAGCTATTGATGTGGTAGCCTATTGCTGAAATGCTGGGTTAGTAATTGATACTTTTAGCTATGGATATTAATTTTCAAAAAATACATTCAAATATCCCTTTAGTGGTTAAACAGCTTTCTCTTTCAGAGCTCTGTTGTTTCACAAGGATTCCTGGTGTTTAAAATGCCATCTGGATCCAATAATAGATCTCAGCTGGGAAGGAACTCTTGTGTTGCAGCAAACTTACACACTCAAGAGCCCTAGGAAGTCCCATCCCTGCAGGATCCATAACACAGTCAACATTTTCCTCTGAAAAATCCATGGCAGTGCTGCTCCTTTGTAATGTGAGAGGCCACTGCTGAGCAGTGCAAGGCACCTGCTCCTTCCTAGGCCTGAGTACACTTTATTCCACAGCATTTCTGCCACTTGAAGGAAAGCAAAAGAGCCCTTGGAACCAAACAGCCTTTTTTGAAAGATCCTTTTACTTCTGGAGTAACTCTTCTTTAATATACATATTAACAGTTGTCTTGAAGAATGTAAATGCTTATCCAGAGGAGAAGGAATTGCTGAGATGTGTCCTAATCATAGATCAGAATCAAAATCTGGCTCCTGCAGCAAGCTGATATCTGCTGCACTTGTGCCCTGAGACGTGGCTGTGTGTGACCAGAAAAAAGGTTTGAACTTTTCTGCTGGCTCAGTATTTCCCTTCAAGTCCACAATAAGGAAAATATAGAAAGAGCTACAAGATAAATGGAAAGAAATTGATTTTGTGTTTTTCTTGTCTTCTTGGTGGCTGTGGTTGCTGGCTGCCACTCCAGCTTCTCCCAGATTTCTTTTGTGGCTTTCAAAGTAAGTTCACATAAAGCATAAATTGTGTAAAGTTGTCTTAAAGTTTTCTTCTGCACTGCAGCTCTTAAACCAGAAGTCAGACAAATGTCTACAAATACCAATAGCTGCAGATGAGCTGCCCTTAGTGAGCAGAATGCATTTAATTCAGAATGTGGGAATTCAAGTCAGTGTCACACATGAACCACAGTGAGGCCAGGAGCTGCAGAGTCCAGAGCTTGACTGGATTCTGATTTCTCCCAAGATTCACATGTTCAGCTGAGTGGTCTGGAGTTGTTTTCCAGGGTTCAGAGAGGTTTTTGTCTCATTTCTCCTCCACTCCCACACCCCTCTGGCTACTCAGCCTGGTGGGGATGAGAAATAGTCACTGAACTGTATTGCTTTCATAACTAGAGGGCCAGTCCAGCACTTTAATTAGAGAATCTCATTTTCTTAATTATGGAAGAAACTCAGAAGCTGTAGTAATAGGGGAAAATTTCAATTAAGATTTTTTTTTAACTTGTACTCTTATTTTTCTGTGTTGAAATAGAATGGTTAAAATTGAGGTTTATGACCTGGTTATTCATATGTGTCATACTGTCTACAAAAACAAATTTATTTCAATCTCTCCACCTTCTTTTCCTTTAAAATTTTGTAATTTTATCTTTCAGCTTCCTGTTGTTGCTACACTTAAATGTTTTCTTTGACCTACCTGATTTTATAAAAAGGGAGCTTTTTAGTCTGGTAAAAACCATGTGACCTTTAAAACACTGTATTGCAGGAAGAAATATCTGTGTTTAAACATGAAAGAATGAAATGTGCTAGTATTTCAAGAAGTTGTAGCTTTGCAAAATATAAATAAACACTACTTTTTTTTACCTTCTGTGGAGGGACTTTAAAGGTGGGTTTCTGCTTTCATATGGAAATGGAAAATGGAAATGGAAAAATGGAAATGAGTGCTATGAGCCATATAATTGCCCTTCTGACACTGCATCACTTGCATGAAGATTCTCTGATTTTTAAGTGGAAAATGTTGAAATGATTGTGAAATCCCTCATTTTTCCTAGAGCCTGCTAGATCCACAATTGCAAGAACTTTTATCCTGTAGTGTTTTCAGCAGTGGGTGCAATCCCATAAGGATGAATGTGCTATAGAAGGAAGTTTCAAGGAAAAAAAAAATAAAATTCAGATGTTGCCTCATTCTGAGGTTGCCTTTATTGCAGTTTTTATTGAAGTCTGTCATTATGGTGCCTGAGTCACCTTTCCTAAATAGAGACCAGCATTTGTATGACAGCCAGAGAAAGAAGGACAATTCCAGTAAAATGAGAAAAAAACCCTTCGCAAGTCACTGATCCCTTGCAGTACAAACTATTTGGTTGCATGGAACTTTAGGCTGCACAAACTGTTTAGCAGCTGTGTCTCTCTTTCTTTTGGATTCACCTGCACCAAGCTTGAGATCCCAGTCAAAATGAAATAATGTTGATTTTTCCACCTCTGTCCTTGCCCTTCATTTATAAACAGCACTGCTCATTCAGCAGCATTAGCTGCATTTATTTCATGACCCATTCAAGAAGTTCATTGGGACATACACAAATAATGGTATAGAATCAGAGATGGGCTTGGGTTGGAGCTTCAAGATTTTCTTGTTTCACCTCCAGGACACTTTCAGGTTGCTCCAAGCCCCATCCAACCTGGCCTTGGGGAGTCCACACCCTCCAAATTGTATTTATGAGTAGCAATTCTGTCGAACCATATTAATCTGGCAGAGAAATAAAACACCTTCAGATGTAACTGAGTGCTGATCTAATAAGTGTTTTCTGTTGCAGGGTGTCCCAGAGGATTTGTTGTTTTTTTATGAGCATCTCCAGAAGGGCGGTGGAGTCTTTCGAGTGAACCATTGCCTCCTGCTCTACCGGTACCACCCCCAGGCTGCCACTCACTCTGTCCTAGAGTAAGCTGTGCTTTCCAGGAGAATTGCAAACTTGGATTTGTCTTGGATCAGCAGCAGCAAAGATGGTGAAACTGCATTGGGGTTTTTAATTAGGATTTTTAATACGTAAAAATTTCACTGTCGTGTTTTTTGACGTATGAACCATAATGTAAAAAAATATTTTTTGAAATGTGGTGGCTTAATTTCAAAATCAACCGCCTCAATACTTAAAAAGTAAACAGAAACTTGTAGTACCAACAAAAAAGGTCTTTTGAAAAAAAAAAAAAAGAACCAGACCAAAACCAAACCTTTAATCTGATAATGTGCTGCCTTTACATATATTATTTTCTATTTTAAAGGGTCTAAACCACCTAAATCAGATAATGAGGTTTGAAAAATCCTTGAGGATGTTTAGGAGTAATTATCTCAGGTGCTTCCTTGTAAGCTGCTTTTGTTGCCTGCTGCCTTTCTGGGCTGCTCAGCCCCTAAAGGAGGTGTTAAATTGCTGATTCCTCTACGTGCTGCAAGCTGAGCCCAAGCTGTTCCCTTCTCTTATGCAGTGACATTAATAAAAAATTACATGAGTTGTACTGTCCTTTAGGAATCCCATGCCAGAATCACAGTGGTAATTAAGTAAACTGTTTTCTTACTGATTAATGATATGAGTACACCTTTCAGTCAGTCCTGTTTTTATGGCTTTGTAGAACTGACCAGTAAAAATGAACATTTCTGTGTACATTTTGGTTGTCCATCCCTGTATTGCTGCACATAGTGTAAAACAAATAAGTGCCATAAATAGCACACTCATGGTTAATGTCACTACAGATCTTCATAAATGTGAATATCTATATAAAATCATTTAAGTATGGAAAGGTCATTCCAGCAAATAGTACATATGCTTTTGCTTTTGCAAACAAGCATGAGATAAATTATTTTCCCCTTTATTCATGTTGAGATGTAAAGATTTCTTTTTTTTTCCTCTTTTACTGTGTGATCCTTTTGGCACTTAGTGACCAACTTTTCAGCCATGCATTATGGGACGCTAAAAACTCTTGGAAGCCTTTTGCTTCTATCTGTGGGAAAGCATCTAATTCTTGGAAATTAATTTGTTTTGAATTTACTGCAAGCTGTTGCTTATTCAGATCTCCAAGGCTGTGTGGCACAAGCACCCTGAATTACAGCATCCTGGGGGAATGTGGAAATGCTGTGAGCTCTTTCAGATGTGCAGGGTGCCTGTCCAAATTGGCGCCTTTCTTGTCTCATTCTAAGAAATCAGGAGAGCTGCTCTTCCTCTTGGCTTCCTGCTGGTACTACTGGGGATGATATTTGGGGTGGCTTTCCAAAACATGAGGTTGTGCAACAGCTCCTTGTCCTGGCTCATTCTCTTGTTTGTTGCCCGAGTTCTGAAGGGTTGCCCAGTGTTTGTGTCTGGAGACCGAAATGAACGTTGAGCAAAAAGAGATTAATGGACTCATCACAAAGGTTTAAGTTTATAATTTAAATTTGGTCTTGCCTAATTTGCCTCTTGGTCATTGCACCTTATTTAATGCATGTTCTGGCTTTTCTAGAAGCCTTTTTCTTTATATGGTGTCTTTTGTTGAGCAGTTTTCTCTGGTGTTTTGCTTTTTGCCATTGGCGCAGGTCATCTTTTAAATTCTGAGTTAGCCTTGGAAGTAGTAACTCACCAGCCAAATTAATATCTTGTCTGAGATCAAAATGATGTTGTAGGAAAGTTGATTTTTTTTTTTTTTTTTTTAAGACTGGTTTCAGTCTTAAAAACCATAGCAGGACATTTTTATACAAAGGTGCATCATTCATTCTTTCCAGTCACTCGTAACCTGTGATGGTTTCAGTTTATGGGGGTGTCTTCCAGAACCTTCCAGGGGGAAAGAAGCCTCACAGCATTTTCAGACTTCCTAAAATATGTGTAAAACTGCTTGGCAAGTGACATTTGGTTCTTTTATTGTTTTAGTTAGTACATATAATTGTAAACAATCATGTGCTTTAGGTCATTTCCTACGATTAGTATCCTTCTGGAACACATATCTGGAGTTGAGAATATCTGTGAAGCAGGAAACTAAATCTTATTTGCATTCTCCCTTACCCTGGAGGCATCAGTCTGCATTATTAAATGTTTTGGGTGCGTGACAGAATCTGTATGAAGTTCAGTGTCTGTGTTTAGATTTCATTAGGTGCACGCAGAAATATGAATGTTCTCATTGTCATCTCATCCAAAGCCTGTGATGGATATCTGCTGGATTTTGAGAAACTTCTCTCAGCTAGGAATTCACAGCACAAAATCCCACTTTTCATCTCTCTTGGATCTAAATCACTTTATTTGGTGTTGTACCCTAGGGTTGTGTGTACTCAGTGCTGCACGGCCACATTAAATTGATGTGAGACCATAGCAGAGTTTAGAGTGAGGAGTACTGGAGTAAGAAAGTCTAATGTATAATAAAAACATGTTAAAATTGGTAGATTATTATCTTGCCAAAGGGGAGAGAAAGGAACTGTATATACAACAATACCACACTGTGAGATGAAAGTGAGCTTGGATTGAGGTGAGCAATAAAACATTGCACTTGTCTTCAGGTAGTGCAGCTCATCAAGACAGGTGCTTGGGGCATGCACTAATCCTTGGAGCAGTTTACAAGTTTTTAGTCAAGACAAATTTAATACATATGGAAAAGAGGGTTTGTACTTTCTCTCCAAGATCTGAGCAATTCCCTCTTACACAGAAAAGGTGAAGTGCACCTTCAGTAATTTCAGTTCCCCTGTGCTCAGAATGAGCATGATGCTGCTCTGCAGAAATAAGCAGAATTACATAATCTATTGAAAACATCTGGTTTCAGGCACTGGGAGCTTCAAGTGTCATCTGAGCGAAGAGGAACAGGCATTAGTGTGAAACACACATTTGGCTGTTCCAGAGGTGCTCTGAGGCCAGGCCTTGGATCTGTGGTGAGCACAGGAATGCCTCCTTCATTTCCTGCACAAACATACACGGCCAAAAATAGGCAGGAGAGAGGAATAACATACTCCTGTAGAGCTGAAATTAAGATGAGGTCAACTGCATTTTTATCTTCTATGCTTGCATTTGGCACTTCAATTAAACATGGAAACTAATGACCTCATTAGATTCTTGAAAAGTAAATGCCATTAACATTGATAGTCTCTGTCTCTCTTAATAAGCCTTTCATGAAAAATAGGCCACAATGCAAACCATGCCTCAGCTAATGACCCGTGACCTGAAGATGAACTCAGACATTAATAGAACCTATTAACAGTGTAAATGTAATAACTCAGTGGGACGATATAGTCCAGCAATTAATAAGTTCACATGAAGTTCAACAGAACAACAACGGCAAAAAAAATCAGTTTATTCACCAGTGTGGCCAAGGTTCAAACAGAATTTATTTCTGAATTTCCTGTGGATGGTAAGGGCCTTGAATTCTGTGTGCAACACTGGCTGTAAGGGATCTGCTTTTTCAGCTCTCACTGTGATGGTGAAGTTCTCTGGTTTATCCATCAGGTGAGATTCACCTCTCATCCAGAACTCTCTTTCCCTGCTATCAATAAAAGGGCCCTGGAAGAGGATGCTCACTTGGGCAGCTCCTCTTCCTGCCTGCTGTTACCTGAGCACCGTGCAGGGCCAGCACAGGGAGAAAAGGTCAGATTTATGGGTCTATAGTATTTCTGTGGATGGCAATCCATGCCTAAAATTCCAGCACTGTTCAGGATATTGGGCTTGTATTTCTGCTTTGCTCAAGTACTTGTACATTTGTCTTTGCTCTGTGGATTCACTTATGTGGCCTCACTGGGGGAAGGAGGGGAAAGGCAGTGCAACAATATGGCAAGGTTTGACTGAGCTCAGACATTAAATCATGTTGCTTTTATTGTCACATTATCTTTCATTTCAAAATAGGAGTAGAGCAGATGTTTCTTGACTCCTGTATTCAGTCAGTAGGGTCACCACACATTTTTAACAGAGCTCCATTGTTGCATTACTTGGGTGGATGGTCTAGTAATAACTACTTGGGGCTGAGGAACACACGGTGTAGTCATTCTCACCCTCTGCATGAATACCCTCGTTTCACTCCTGCAGGATTTTGGCTCCTCTTCTTCCTCCTAGGCTCCATAACTGATGAGCATTCAGGGGCCAGGGCAAGTGAGATCTGAGGAAAATTATGTGAGCCTCAAGAATGACATTTTGAGTGGAAATACTCCTAACATTTCTTTTACAAACTTGTGACAACAAAATGAAAGGAACGGGGGAAATAATGTATTTCAAGATTTGGGGTCAAGAAAGAGCGTTAGGATATGGGGACAGATTTGTACATTGAGAAGAATTTTGTCCCACCTTCTGGCTGAGGAAAAACTTGTGCACTGAATACAGGCTTGGACATGGTACTAAAGGCTGCTGCAAATTGCTTACTCTAATCTTTTGTGAGATGGGTAGGAAAAGCTGTCTTGATTTGGAGTGATGCAGAGTAATAATACCTCCTAGGTTTTGCTGGTGGCTGTGAATATGTAATGATGCATAATCTGAAAATGGCTGTGAGAATCATCTCTGAGTAGTGGTTTGTACAACTTCTGGATCGTTTCAGGCATTTTCTTTAATTACCCTTTGCACGTTGCTGCAGCTCCTGTCTGCTGCACCTGCACTGGCTGCTGAAGGATGGGAAAATGGCATTCCCTTATCCCTCGAGGCAGGAATCCCAGTTATCTCTTCTGGAAACATCAAAAAAAAAAAAAAAAAAAAAAGTGGCAACTTAGGTGAACCAGAAACCTGAAGGGAATAACCGAAACTCTCTCCTTTGACACCTGTAAGCTCCTGCTGCCTCAGCCTGTGGGATTGTTTGTGCAGAGGGAGTTCTCACAAAGATGAAGCCTGTGAGTGCCACTCTAACGTCTCCCCTCAGTTCTGTGTTTATCTGGTATCTCAGCTTGCACTGTTAACAGTATTTCAGGGTTAACTCAAGACTTCAAAGTGTTTGATAGAATTTTTTCATTGAAAACACACAATATGGAGGTGTGAGTGCCACTGTGATATTTGATGAAAAATCCCTTCGCCAGGATTTTTCTCCTGAGAAGCCTCAGAAAAGAAATGTAAACAATAATTATCTGATTGCTTGGAATGTGGTTTAGAGGTTGCTCACCAGCAGGTGCATCTTTGATTGGTTCCATGTGAATTGTTTTTAATTAATGACCAATTCCAGCCCAGCTCTGTTGGGATTCTGGTCAGTCACAGGTTTTTATTATCATTCTTGTCTAGCCTCTGATGTCTCCTTTCTTTAGTAGAGTTTTAGTATATCATTTTCTTTTCATATCATATCATATCATATCATATATCATATCATCCTTCTGAGAACTTGGAGTCAATTCTCATCTCTCACCTTGTCCTGGGACCTTCACAACACCACAACAATGTGAGCTTCAAATGCTTTTCTGTGGGCATTGTCATAAGAATGGCTCATAGTGATGCAAGCAAAACATCCCAACTGCTGGGTATACTGGCTTTGTTTTTACAACAAAGTACATATTTAAGAAAGTTTTTTATTGTTGTTAAATGAAGCTGTCTGACAATATGCTTGTGGTTGAACAACAACCCAATTAATTTGGAGTTTAATACCTTTCATACCCTTTTATTTCAGAGTGCAGTTTTCTTACAAGCTTTGCCCACTTGCTTTTCCAGGAGAACATTGATAGGTGAGATGAGTCAGTAAATCTCCTTCAGTCTGAAATCTCCATGTGTGGTTAACATCTCTGAGATTTGGTCTGAATGAATTTTACCTCAGTAGGGCACTGAGGGTCTCATGGCCTGGACAGCAACCACAAGTGTCTGGAAGAACCAACACTGCTGTGCTGGGACAGCTTCATGAAAATAAAATCATCTTTTATAAGCCTGCAGGTAGATTGCAGTGTTTGCACCTAGAAATTTGTTACAAGTTCTTTTCATGCCTTGGAAGGCTGCCTGGTTTTTTAATTTAGTTTCTTTAATGTTGTAAACTCAAGTGGAAAAGCAACTTGCCAGTGCCACTCAAGCCAACAGAATAGATTCTGAAGTTCCTTTAGAATGTAATATGGTGTTATCTTTCTGAAGTCACATTTCAAAGGAAAATCACTTTTAAAAGCTCTCCATTTACGTGCAAAGCAATAATCTTCCTTTTTAGACACACGCAGAAATTCTAAAATGCCTAGTAAAGTGATCCTGGAAAAATACTTGACCTTCATATTTTGTTTCTTAAACTTTCCTTTGGGACTGCAGTATGCTCTCATGAACATGGAAAAAGGCAAGTGTCAAAGGATGCCAGCAGCACTTAAAGCTTTTCAGCAGGAATGCATCTTGTGGTTGCATTAAAAGAGATTTTTGATCAAATCCAAAATTTTCTTTTTCCCCATTAGTTGAAATGCTGGTGCAGAGCCATCATCCTTGGAGCTGTGAGGAAATTTTATTTGTGCACGAGGTCTTTTCCAAGTTATCAGAGCAGGATCAGTGATGAAGGGCTGAGCAGGATCTGGCTGTGCTGAAGTGAAGTGGGGTCACTGGGTCCTATGAGGGTTGTGTGGTCTTCAGAACATAACTGGGACTGTGAAGGAATGATGCAAACAAGAAAATGCAAAACTCCACTTGAAGTTTGCCTTAAATAAGGAGACAGCACTAGGGGTTCATCAGAATTTCCTGGGAAAGAAAGTTACAGCTCAAGGTGCCTTGTTCAGGAGATGGATGTTGGGAAGAATCATTTGTCAAATTGAGGAAATCAATTTATTCTGTCTAGGAAACTGTTTAATAAGGCTGAGGTGGGTTCCTGGTTAATGAATATTAAATGAATGCTGGAAATAAAGCAGATGTTTTTAACAGCAGGCAGTTTTCTTTAATCCATGATAAATGTTGCAGTCTTAAATATTGCATTATGGGCTAGAACACACACTCAAAAAAAAGCTGTAGTTGTCCAAGTGGATTTGCCAGTTGGGAGAAATGGACCATGAACAAACTGCTTTCCTTGACATTGTTTTCTCTTTCTGAGAACCTGTCTTGAACTTGTGGAAGATGTCAGGAGCTCTTCAGTGTCTAAGGCTGTAAACCTGACCAAATGTTTTTTGTGTGAGAACTTCCACGGAATTTCTTTTCTACACTTCCCTCAGAAATTTCCAGCCTAATGTTCTGATGTGATTTTTGGAATTTTTTTTTTGGAATTATATGAATCCCTTTGGTCAGGTTTACCTGTAGGTGAGTGTGTGCATGTGCACATAGCTCTATAATAATGCTAAAACAAAATCTGCCCTTTTTCCACCTCTCCAGGGAAACCATCTGGAATCACCGAGTCAGGTTCCTCGAGGACAGAGTCCTGAGCTCCTGGACATCATTCACCATTTGGAATGCTGGCAAGCAAGGCAAGAAGCTCTACAGGAGCTTGTCACCAGCTAATCAGAAAAAGGTGAGCTGGAAAGTGACATTTGTACAAACCCACTTCTTCATATTCTTCTAATCTGACCCAGCAAAATTCTCATAAGAGATTTTGTCCCCAAAGTTGTAGTTGATAATTAACACAAATTGGGGCAATTCCCAATATTCTGTGTGATGTATTTCTTCTTTTAAAATGGCATGGTATTTTATTTAGAGCTCATGGTGGGCATGGAGAGCAAGAAATGCACCATATCCCTGGTAAGCACAGTGGAGGGTGAGACATAGCTGTAGTTAGCAGGTTCCCAGGGGGAGTAGAGCAACTCTTTATTTGGGTTGTATGGTGCTGAACTCCCTTGCCCAGGGTCATCCACAGCTGTGTAATATTTGCCCAGTTCCAAAGTGGATACTGGACACATCCCTGGTCAGTGTGACTCCCTTTGGAAAGGGATTGATTGCCAAAAAGGATTTGATTGCCAAAAAAAGGGTTTGGTGTGGGCTGAAAGGGAGAGCAGAAGCTGCTGGACATGGCTGTCCCATTCACATTCAGCTGAAAATGCTGGGATCTGGCAGTGGCAGGTATTTCTCAGGATAGATTTGTCCAAGAGTCTAAATACCTTATTTTTATAACATATTCCTGTGTGCAATAACTTTGTGTTAGATAAAGGCTTTAGGGCTAATGTCAAATGGCTGTTTCTTATAAAGAGCTACAGAACATTCATTCTATTGCTGCATGTGTTTTTCTTTTCTTAAGAATATGGATGGGAAGACAAAATGACAAATACATATAAAAACCTGATTAATGTTGTGGCCCTCAGACCACACACATATAAAAAAATAGAAGACATTTGTATACACACAGGTAGAATTACTGAATAGGCATGGGAGTAAATGTACAAAGTAAAAACTGAACTGAATTTCCTGCTTGATATTCCAGTGCCAATGCAGAGCCATCCCTCAGTCATTGCCATCATGTGGCAGTGGGTGAGCTAGATGAAAAGACATTAAATGAATCAGTTGCTTCATTCAGAGAGGACAGACCTGTCCATGAAATATGATTTTTTTATTGATTGATTTATTATGACATTTATGTTCTATATATTATTTCATGATTATATATAATAATAATGATGACGATTATATTTTATTTATAGATATAAAAACCTATAAAAGTATAAAGCCAACTAAAATTAAGTTTAGAATATAGCTGTCTAAACTTAATTTTAGTTGGTTTAATACTTTAAGTCAGTTTAGGCTCCTGAGATTTGTTGTTTGTTTGTCTGCATACTTTTATTGAGATGCAGAATTTCATCAGATGTCCTGACTGACTTTGGCTGGACTGTGGAGTCACTGCAGGGTTGTTTTCTCAATTGGCACCAAGTACCTGCAGAAAATTTGGGACACACACTCCTAGGATAAAAAGAAAACCTCAAAAAACCCCTCCTACATACATCTTGTATTATTTTGTAATTTTGAAACAAACCTGGACCCTACTAAATCCTCAGGAAGACAATTAAATCATTTGAACTGTCAGGCTTAGGGCGTGTAAGAAAACATCTTTTTCAAGCAAAAAAGAATGTTTCTAGTATTTTTAGAACCTGGTAAACAAAGCAATTGCATTTCTTCTGCTGACAAGGTCTTTGTGGGATGTTGAAAAGCCCAGCTCTGCCCTGTGCCAAAGAGCATTGTTTCTTAGAAAACAAAATTCAGGCAATTCCAGGAAGCAGCAGTCTGTCTGTGTTCATACTCACTAACAAATTATTACTTTAGTTTGTTTGGGAAACAGTGTGAATGTGAGCTGTGGTTATGTTAAAAGAGAAAAGAACACCTCAGCAATTCTCCCTTTTCCCTCAGCCATCTGTATACTGAATATTAAAATGATGCTTTGTCTCCAAAGGAGTCAGGCAAAAATCCAAGGCTCAGGACTTTTGCTAAACAGCAACACACGAAAAAAATTATTCCACTAGTAGGTTTTTTTATGAATTAATTACCATGATCTCAGTATTCTTAGGGAAATTCTGCTTCCTGGCTGTCCCCTTCTTGATTCACACTGCTGACAGTGGTTCAGTATTAGCATTTCTGCAAGGATGAAGTCAAACAGGCCTTTTTTTGTTTAAAACACATCCGTTGTGTCTATAATTTGCAGCTGAAGATGGAAACCAAATGTTTTTTGGGATGCTCCATGTGCCTGGAGGGTTTCTGAGCTGTCTTGTCTGCTCTTTTATTCTCCATCAGACTTCAGCTAAAAGGAGAACTTGAGCATTAACATTTCGTGTCATTTCCGATGGCTGAAAATAGAGTTCCAGGGGCTCATGGAAAAGCAGGGGAAAGGCCCAAATAAGCATCAGCTCATTAGTGGGCTGGAAACAGTGCTTGTACACAGCCAGGCCATGCCATTCCTCTGTGACAACAGAAAAAGTCTTTTGAAGGCCCTTTTCCTTGGCTCATCCACCATTTAAAGTCATCCATTGGGTTCCCTTTGCCTTTTTCCAAGAGCACCATCACCAAACCTTGTGTTGCAGCTCTGGTCCTTCAGCTCATCCCCACAGCCAAGAAATGCTCACATTTTGCAGCATTTTAACCATTCTGAAAGTGTGTGAGTGGCACTGTCAGAGCCTGGAGTGGGGGCATGGAAAGCAAGGAAACATGAATAAAGAGGAGAATGTTACACCCACCTCCACAGTGGAATGGCAGAGTGAAAGCAAGTTAAAAGCCTCCAGAACAAGGAAAGGGATGAAATTTGAAAGTTTCCCTTAAATCCAGGTATAAAACCTGCTAAAATGACATGGGGTAAATCAAGGCTTCATTTTGGGCTGTAGTGAATGCTTCTTGGCCAGGAAAACTCCCTGTTTTTTCCATGTGGGAGGAAGTGCTGTTTGCAAGCCCTGTTTTGTCAGCACAGAGCTGTGCACACCCAAAAGGTGCCTGGCATCACTCAGATTTCCTCTGCAGGGATGAGTCTCTGGCAGGGAGGTCCCACACCTATGAAGGCAGGTGTGTGTTGTACATAACAAGGGAAATGTTTCATACCCAGTGTTCAGCAGCTGATTTTGCATGCTGGATTCTGGTGTTAAAATTCTCCACTGGTTTTGTTGTGGATATGTGCAAAAAGGGGAAGCTGCTGCTGTTTTCAGTGGAATGGTGTCTAAATGGAATAATGAAATGCATTCTTGGGATTTAAAGATATCCCCAGTTACTGTCCTGGCTGTAGTGCTAAAGAGGGGAAATAAAAGCAGCTCCTGGTACAGAAAATCACTCAGATTGTGGCTGGTGCTTCCATGGCATGGCAGAAGCTGTTCATGCCCCTGTGTGGCTCTTGTCCTGTTTTTTCATTAGCTGTATCTGTGTGAACTTGCATTGTAATGCTTTCAGTTGCTTTGTTTTGACATGAATGGCCAAAATTGATTTTGCTCTTGCAGAGATGTATATTAACATGCTCCTGAGGCTTTCTACAAGCTTCAATGAAAGAATTATAAATAGAAGAATTAACAGGGTTCACTAGAAGTTTAAACCAGCTGTGGGATTCCATGAGATGGGGAGGGAATGCAGCAGGGAAGATCTGCTCAGTAGGGTTTTGCAGGTTGTCTCTGGATTTTGCTCAGTAGGGTTTTGCAGGTTGTCTCTGGATTTTGCTCAGTAGGATTTGCAGGTTGTCTCTGGATTTTGCTCAGTAGGATTTGCAGGTTGTCTCTGAATTTTGCTCAGTAGGATTTTGCAGGTTGAATCTGGATTTTGCTCAGTAGGGTTTTGCAGGTTGTCTCTGGATTTTGCTCAGTAGGATTTTGCAGGTTGTCTCTGGATTTTGCTCAGTAGGATTTTGAGGTGTCTTTGTCTCACCTTTGTCTCTTTGGAGGTGACTCTGAGGACGCCAGCTGATGTTAGGAGGAAGGGGAAGTCACAGTGTGCAGGTGACCATTTATTGGAAGGGTTTTCCAGTTTTCTGTCAAGTTCCACTCAGTTATTCACTCTCCCATGTGGAACTTGCCTCTCATGTCCTTCCAGACCTGAGAATGTGCTGATTGCAGGTTGTTGCTTTCTGTAAACGGCTTTTACAGACCCCAGGTGAAAACAAGATGGGGGAAATAAAATCCTGTGAAGATCATTCACCATAAAAGGACATCATTAAGCTGATGAAACCATTCAGTTTTTCCATTATGAAATCTGAGTGGAATGGGAAGTGTGAGGAAACTCTGTCTGCAGTACCCAACCAGTCACACAGGAAACAAACAATTAAATGGTGGTTGTGCAATCCCAGCAGGGCTGCAGCAGGCAGGTAGCCCCAGCTGCACCCCAGGGCACCCTTCTGTCACTGGAGGAGGATCTGCTGCCTTCCATCTCCTTTCCCCAGGGAGGTCTGATAGCCCCAGCCTGGCCCTGCTGAGCCCCTGTGTTTATTAGGAAGAGCAGCCAGAAAAGGGCTTTTATCTTCCTCAAACGTGTCTTCCCCCAGCAGAGGTTGTTTCTGAGTTAATATCTAATCTTTTCAGCAATGTAAACTTTCTCTTAGGAGGGAGAAGGCGATTTCTCCTTTTCCCCTTACACCACTGTTAGTTGCAATCCATATTTATAAAAATGTCTTACAGTAGTTCCTTAGCTTGGCTCTGGCAGAGACCCAGCTGGCTCCTCCACTTTTGAGCTGAGAGAATTAGCAGTGTCCTTTCCTTTGGAATTTTTGTAATTGTGCAGATTTTTATACATGTTTAAAACAAAACCATGTAATAATTAATATATTTTAGTAATACTGAAGAGTGATCTGAGGACTCAGTGTGTCATACTGCCAAAGAGTAATTTTGCTAAAAGGAGAGGGGGGAAAAAAAAAGCAAATGGAGACTCCTTTATGGCTTTATAATTCATGGTTTCTCACAGGGAGATAGGAGTTCATGTGTGGATAGATGTTCTTCATAAAAGCTCCAAGAAAGAAAGCCATTAATGCAGGAAAATAAATAGGTGTCTCTGGGTTTATCCTGATAGTGTATAAAGTAAATAACTCCCATAAGCCTGATGCCCTGGCTTCTCCTTATAGGATAAACAACTGTGCCTAAGTCCTGTATTTAGACTCCAAACACAGCTTTGCTTTAATTGGAAAATAAATAGTGTGTGTCAGAAAAAGAGTTGCCTTACATTTTGGCCCACCCACATGGTGTGCAGGCTGCAGGAAAATCACCCATTCAAGTCTGACCTGTTTTTTACTACTGTAAATACCAGGGCTAAGCTGCCTGAGCCCATTGAGAATTATACAGGGAAATACCTCAGTGATAACAAAAAGGCTTTGAGCTCTTTGCATCAAAAAGGGAAATTTGTCACAGGCTCACCTGTGTTCTTTTTCTCACTGAGGGGTTTGTGTGGGGTGTTTTGGGGGTTGGGAAAGGGCAGAGTGTTCTACACCCAGAAATTGGAGTGATGGAGTGAGAGTTGGAATTAATGGCAATTTAGTGGTACAAGAAGTGTCTTTGGAGAGAGACTGTTTACATGGGGATGTAGTGACAGGACAAGGAGAAATGGTTCTAAACTGACAGAGATTGAGATTAGATATTGGGGAGGAATTGATTCATGCTGAGAAGTCCAGGCACCACTCAGGGGTTTCTGTTAACTGGGTTATAACACACTGAGGGTGAACAGTGAAACTTTCCAGCACAGATCTTGCAGCTGAATTCTCAGTTACTGACAGAGAAGTGTAAATGGAATTTCTGTTTACCTTGTGTCATAAGTTTTGGTGGTTTATTTTGGTTTTTATTATCTACAAGAGCATAATCAGCTCCAAAAATAGCTTCATTTATTGGACAGTAAATCAACATATTGGACTTTGTTCCTAGAACTCTGTTGGGTTGAAGGCATATCTTGCTAAATATTGTTTGTTATGATCACAGCTTCCAGGGCAGTAAAACACAAGTGGTAGGACTGAGATTTGCTGAATATTGGAGAATTTTAAAGGTGGTTAGCACAGAATGAAGAGAATGAAGCCAGGGAACTTCTCTTCCCACAGTGACTTCTACTGGTTCCCTTCATGTACACACATATTTATAGATCTGTGTGTGTGTATACACATCCACAGAATCTGAATTTCCAGCTACCCCAAAGCATTGCAGTGGGCATGGAAATGGGGCCAGGGATGGAAAGTGGATTCCTCTGTGAAGGAGCTGCTTGTGTAACCCAGCTGCTCCAGCCACCAGCACCTTGTACAATCTCCAGCACCTTCCTGAATCCCTCCTTCCCTTCCATTCCCATTCCAGTGCTGACACAGGGCTCACATCCTTTGTGTAACCCCAAAGCAAATTCTGGGTGTGCTCCTGATGTGATTCCTCACTCACACAGCCCCAGAGTGCAAATTCCATATTTCCTTAATGTTCTGTTCTTCTTTTGGTGCCTGTTTTGTCTTCTCCAGGTCTCCCTGTGTCCCTCTAAGGGGTTCCAAGGACTGTCCCTGCCCAGTTTATCCCCTCATTTCCCTCATTGCTTTGGACACTGGTGCTTTGCAGCCTTATTTGCAGTCCCTTGATACTTTTGTTTGCATTCTCTTGCCATTGATGTTTAATGAAGGAAGTGATATTATGGTAGTAGAAAAACCCTCTACACAAACAGAATGAGGTCACTTTAGGTAAAAGAAAACCATCTTAATCACAGGAAGAAAATGTGTGAGAGAGATTTTAGACATGGAAAGCCAGCCAACATTTTCAGCCTTCTCTAACTTAATAAATTAATAAACAGCTGTTTGGCTTTTCAGATTTTCTCAGCAGTAAGTGTTGTTAATCAATTTTTAATGCAGCAATTAAAAAGATATGAAAGCTGCTATCCAGCTTTCACCAGAATAATTGATTTCTGTATGACCTTAACTATCTCAACTGCTCTGCTTCAGCATAAGAGCTCCATGTAGATAATGTGGATAGATCCAACGGAAGTCAGAGGAAAACATAGCCATGTTTATTTTAAAAAGTCTTCCAAAATGTTCCTGGCAACCTAGTGGCTCTCAAAAATGAGGCCACTGTGTCTTTTAGATGGCAGGCATTTGTTCTGCCTGCATATTTATGAGGAATGCAAATAAAAACCCATCTGAAATATCTGGCACCTAGGGCTGCAAATAATGCTTTCATAACTCTAGTAAAGAATAAGCAAAGTGAAGCAGTAATTATTTGTGTTTAAACATCAGATCTGCTGAACTTGTCAGCTGAAATTGAAGTCCAGAACCATAGGAATTCCCAGATTTGGTGTGCTGTGCCCTGGAGTTGAGGCTGGTACTGCAGAGCACCCAGAGCAGTGGTCCTGAGGTGTCTGGGGGTACATCCCATGCTTGGGGGGACAGGAAGAGAGAGGCTTTAATTGCATCTCATCCTGGGTGTTAGTGGAGTGCCAAAATGAGGAAATTGGTCTCTGGGATGAGTTTACTCCCTGAGGATGGGGTTGGTGGTGTTCCCTTATGCAGTCAGTGACTTAGATCAGAATGTGCTCATAGACACCTGCAGAATTTTCTCCACTCCTTGAGACAGACCCAGGAAGGATTTAATCAGGGTTTAAGCTCCAAAGGAGGCCCAGGGGGCTTTGCCCCACTCCTGTGTCCATCCTATGCCTGCAGCTCTGCTCACAGCTGCATTACAGGTGAAATGGTGCTAATGAAACGTTCTGCTGCTGTTTTCCAGGTAACTGCATTTTGTGATGTTGATGAAAAGAAAATAACAAAAGGATTCTACACTTATGAGGAGTCTGAGGTGAGTTATAAGCACTCTTGCATTCTTTATTGTGATCTAGAAGTGTCCTGGGGAATGTGATGATGGAATTTGTCACTGATCTTGTGTTGTCCAGCAGCTCATTTTGGTAGAGAGGTTGTGACAGAAGGAGGGCTGGGAGCGGACACTGGAATGCAAACTGGAGCCAGGACTGTCAGCTTCACACTCAGTGAAGTCAGTTTAGAAAGACAAAAATACTTACTCTGAAAGGATCCTGATGATGGGGTAAAACAGTCTTCACTGACTGGTGTGTCTTCTAAATGGGAGCAGAATTTGGTTTATGGTGGGTAATGGGAAGGAACACTAAAAATTTAAAGTTTTCCAACAAGTTATCTTGTGAATCAAATTACCCTGAGCTTGCCAGATCCTTGTGTCTGATGGGAGTGGGACTGAGGGAAGGAGGGACAGGAGTGCCCCTCCTCAGGTACAGCTTGTGCTTAGCCTGGAGTACAATTCCATACTGGGAAAAGACTGAGTGCTTTGAGCTGCATGGGAGCAAATGGGATCAGCATTTCAGCCTGGAATACTGGGGACTCACTGCCCAGCAGCTCAGTAATGCTGTCAGTGTGACTGACACACATCCTGGGCATTGGTCTTCCTGAAACAAACCCATTTTCTCAGATCAGCTGTAAAGATTGTACTGCAGCTGTTGTGAATCCTTGGAAAATCCTGCAGCTTGGATCTGGGGTGAAGTCCCAGTTGAGCTTTAGCCCTTTAACAGCTCCCAGCAGGAGAGAGAGCTCCTCCTCTCTCTGCACTGGTGCCTGTTCTGATGCTGTCTGAGGGCACAGGAATGGATGCAGTTCACTAAAATGGCAAAAAATTTACCAAAAAAAGAGTAACAGTTTGTTAAGGGACAAGCCATTGAAGCTGCACACATTGCCATCAGATCAAAGAGGGAATTGTTTGGGAAAGGGCTGAAGTAGAACTTGGAGGTGAGGAGGAAGCAGTGGAGCAGTGAGAGCTGCTCCTCTTGGGAACAGAAATTCAGATTTGGTGGAACTTCACACAACTGCACTGAAATGTGACAGGCACTGAAGCACAGGCAGAGAATGAGCAAGGTCTCTTCAGCATCACAGCTCAACACATTTTTTTCCCCTTTTAGAGTTTAGCAGCTCCTAAAACCAAGCTGGCAAATAACCTGAGTGCTTCTCTACCCCTTCCTCCTGCAGGAGAGACCAAAACCAAAAATTCCCGTGTGTCACTTCAGGGATGCAACTCCACCTTTCGTGATCTGTGTGAAGCTGGTGAGTTCCACCTTTGGCTTCCTGCAGGAGCAGCATTTGCTCCTCAGGGAAATGAGTTTCTATTCACTGTATGTGCCTTTTCCCAGAAGCTTTTGCTCTACAGCTGAATGGCTTTTAAAATCAGACTGATTGTGCAGGGTATTTTGGGATTTAAATCAGGAGTATTGGGTAAAATTAAGAATACAAAAAGGGACAGCTTCTGTGAAGGGACTGGATCTGTTGTGCTTCCCTGCCCAATGCCAAATATACCCCAATGAGCACATGCACTCAGCCTCCTTTGGGCCAAGAATTTGCAGCCCCATGCATGGCAAAGGCTTTGTTTTTAAATCAGATCTTAAAAAGCATTTTGTTTGGCCCTGCCAGTTCTGAGGCATCTTCTCTCTCTAACTGTGGTAACTTATTTCAACTGGTTTAATTGCCCTGATAATATCATTAGATGATAACCAGAAGTTCTTCTGCTGTTGTAACACAGAAGATTTAAAATGGCAAATACATTGGAGTGGTAAAAAACAATAAAAACCCTTCTGACAGCAACAAAACCCTGCAGCTCCACACAACACTGACATTCTGAGGCTGTGCTGATCCCTTCAGGGATGGATCAGCTGGATCTCCTCTCCTCTGGCACAGCCTGCTCTTAACTTGGCACTCCCAACCCCCTGATCAGCTCTGGGCTCAGAACTTGGGTTGGAAAGCCAGACTGGGAGTGCCTTGGGGCATTATCCTGTACTGCTGCTTGATAAACTCTTGGATCAGCAAGTACTATTGCAATTAATTTAATTTTTCATACTGCATAGAACAGTGGGTGGAAGTCCCCAGACAAAACATCTGTGCAACCTGTTCTAAAGCACATTTAATCTGTGAAGCCCTTACAATGAGACTATTATACAACATCTTGTCTGCAAACTCTGGGCTCTGACTTCAGTTGGGATTTCAGTCTATTTTCCCCCTGATGGCCACTGAGCATTTTCTGCTTGCTTATTCTTTACCAACCCAAGTTCATCACCATTTTCTGAAGAAGGATGTGTGCTTTAAGGGGCTTTATTGGCTTTTATTTTGCTGTTCATGGTAGGGGATTATTTTTCCTTTTGACACACACAAAACCTGCATGTTCCTTTGCAGCTCCAAGAGGGTGATTTTGGAGATCAGATGTGTTTATTAAGTGGCCTGTTTACAAGAAGTGACTCTCTTGGCCATGTACTTGGAGCAGCACTGGCTCATTTATTTTTTCAGGCAGTTCCTCCCTTGTGAGCACTGGCATGGCTTTGGTACCAGAGCAAATCCTTCTGGAAGAAGGAGGCATCCTCTGATCTTTGCTCATTTTAAAATGGCTTCACAGGCAGCTGGAGCTGGAATTCTGCTCTCTGTGTGTGAGTTTTTGCTGAAGAGAATCAAAGTGTGGCTTGAGCTGCTCAGGGCCACTTCACCCAAGGGTTTGTGCTCCCTGTTTGCTCTTGCTTGGAGGTAAAAGCAAAATGCTTGGAAATGCTGCTTTGTGCCCTGCCTTGGCTTGGATTCCAACGGCTGGAAATGAAAGGGATTTTTATTTTTCTGTCACAGCAATTAAAATAGTTTGATTGTATAAAGTTGTCAGAAAATTTGTAGTTAAATCTCTCATTGTACAGTCCTGCCTGGCTTTTCCTGTGTTCTGGGAATGAAAGAGTTGTCTTTAACTCTCCCACTTAATTTAGCATCTGGTCTCTTATGTATTTTTTTTAACTCCTCTATAAACAGGTTATTTTTTTTCCAACTCCTTCAATTCCAGTTTCAGTGGGATTCCCTTTCTGTTACTTCCCATCTTAAACATTCACAGTTAAAACTTCACTCTTGCTGTTCTGGGCCAACCACACAAACATTAATTTTTGAGGGTTTTTTGGTGACATTGCTTAAGACCAGTAATTCAGGATTGCAGGAGGTGCTCAGGAATGCTGAAGTTGCCCTGTTTTCTTAATGACATCACTGAGGTTGCTCAAGGACCAAATGTAGTCAGTTCCTGTCCTGATAACTTGACTGGGGCTCAAAAGGAAACACCTTTAACTCTGCAGAGTACTTCATCTGCCTGATGAAGGGCTTGTTTATCAGACACCCTAACCAGTGCTCAGAATCCACCCAAACCCCTTGTTTTGTCCAACTCAGTGCCTTGGTCCATTTTCTGCCAATGTCAGAGTTGGCAAACACCAGAGCAGAGCTGGGCTGAGCAGCCTTTGTGTGCTCCAGAGCAGCACTGCAGAGGGAGGAGCTCTCTGATATCCCCCCAACACTGATCTGAACACTAAATTTTCAAAATACCTTCAATTTCTGAATAGAAACTTTCCTGAACCTTGGTTTATTTGCTTAGTTCTGCAAATGGGACTTTCTCCTGTGGCCTAAAGAATCAACAACCCAAACCTGCTGCAGCCTGAAATGAGTCTGAGCTCATTTCCTTCTTCTTCCCTTGCAGGACTTGACAGGTGGAGCCTTTGAAACAAACCTGGCCACGCTGAACCTGAGGGAAGGGAAGGATTATTATCACTTTAACTAAAGCAAGGTGGGGCAGTGCTGCTCTCTGTGTGTCTGGGTGCAGGAAAACCAAATTCTTCAGGGGTTTAGAACTTTGTAGTCATTTGTGCTTTGTTAATTTAATCTTTGGGCTGAGTAACCCCTTTGTAAGGGAGGTCACAGTTACACCAGGGTAATGCTGTGTGCATTACTTTTGACTGTGCACATTAGGAGTTATTACTGGTTGTTTTTACTGGGTGCATTACTACTCTTACTGTTGCACATCACTCAGTTTGACTGGTAAATTGTGATTAACAGTCAGTGAGCTCCACTAAATCCAACTCCCAGTCCAGCTTGCAGGAATCCTTAAGAAGCATTGAATAATCTCATTTATAATTACTTTCTTCAAAACCAGAGTCTGAGCCAGCCAGGTTGGAAGTGAATGCCTGAACTTTGCAGCATTTACTTCACAGAGAAACTGGCTTGGTTTTAGCTTGTGTGCCTGAATTTTCCCTTCCTTTCACATCTGTAGAGGTGTCAATACACACACAGCCACTGTTCAACTACTGGGATAGTGGGATTTAATTACAGCCATAAAATAACAGTGTAATTACAATAGGATGTGGCCTGTGCATTTGCCCTCCCCATTACATTGATCTCACTAAAGATCAGTTTCAGAGTGATTTCATTTTGTAGGGGGAAGAAATGAGCTGGAGTCCTGGCAGTCTGGAGTCTCTTAGCAGTCCTGGAGCTGCTTAAAGAACTGCCTCACCTTCTTCAAAACTCAGTTTAAAAACAATTTGTCTGAATAAGTTACATAAAGAGTTGTTAAGAGAGACTTTGACATCGGCTGAAGTGAAACCTGGATTTTTTGGTTTGACAATGACATAGGAATGACAGACTTTTCCACAGGGACACTTGGTGCTTGGGGATGATTTCAGTATCACTGAGTGTTGCCATTCTCACATCTGAAAAAATAAATTTGGAAGAGATCAGTGCAGCAGGTCAGGTTTAATTCTTGCTGTGTGTACAAGCACAGGCTCCAGCCAGGGAGGTCCAAACCCCTGACACCAAACCAGACAGCTCAGGGTGACAGAGCATGACAAGAACCTGCCAGACAGCAACATTAAAAACTGAAAACAAGGGATTTTTGTCTTCCTGTGGCACATGTGGGCTTTCAGCCAGGCTCTGCCTCTCCTGCCCAGCAGTGCAGGGCTCAGGTGTCAGGATGGATCAGGAAGCCACAGCTCAGCCTCTTCCCACCCTGGAACCACTGAGGAGCTCCAGGACAGCCCAGCAGCAGCAGGACCTGCTCTCCTCATGCTGAACTCTGCCAGGGAGAAAAATGGAAAAGGAAAAGGAAAAGGAAAAGGAAAAAAAGGAAAAGGAAAAAAAAGGAAAAGTCACTTGGAGCAAGCAGTCCCCTGCTCCCCCCACCCAACACCTTCACCTTGGAATTCCCAGGGAGGGGGGAATTTTGGGTTGGAAGTGGGAGATTTTGGGGAGTTTTAGACTCAGAACAAACCCCCAGCTCCCTGTTTTTCCTGGGAATTGGAGAATCTTGTTTTTTCCAGGAAACAAGGGGAAAAAAAACCTCAAACCACCTGCTTTTCCTGGGAATTGGAGGGGAAAACCCCCTGGTTTTCACAGGAATTGAGGAAAAACCCCCCTAAACTCCCCATTTTTCCTGGGAATTTGGGAGATCTCTCCCTCTAAACCCCCCCATTTTCCCTGGGCAGGATTTGGGATCCCAGATTTTTACCCCCAGACCCAAGACCATCCCAGATCCATCCTGGGGGGCTTCGGACACAACAGGGAGGAGGGAAAATCCCCCCCCCCCTCCCATTCTCAATTTTTCTGGAGGGAAATTTGGGATTTTGAGCCATTTTTTGGGGGGAACTGCAGCTCCCTGTGGCATGGCTGTCCTGGCACTCCCCAGCCCTGTAATTAACTAACCCAAACAGAAAAGAAAATCTAAAGCTGTAATATTTAGTCCTTTTAACCCCATGGCTTGAACTACCCTCCAGCAAATTTCATTTGTACAAAATTTAAAGCAGTAATTTAGAAAGTATGAATTCCAGATGAAGCCAATTTTATTCTCCTTTTTATCCTGCCATGCTTGGCCTCCTCTCTGGCTTCTCCCACTGCTGGAGCAGCACTGGGGACATGGGGACAGCTGGGACAGCCCCTCCTCAGGGGCACCCTGAGCTGCAGGCTCAGCTCTGTGCTGAAGGTTACACTGAATGTTTGCTGATGTGCAGGGAAGCAGGAGGGAAAGTTCCAAACATCCAGATCCCACCTGTCCCAGCTCCCTCAGAGATACTTGGATTTAGATGTATTTAGATACTTCTTATTAATTTAGATATTTTTATTATTTATTATATTGTTATTATTTTATTATTTTAGATACTTTTAAATATTACTATTTCTTAATATTTTAGATATTTCTTATTATTTTGTTTATCCTAGAGACAGTTCTCTCCTAAAGTATCAGTCTTCTCTCAGCTTTCAAAAATTAAGCATTAGCAGAAGGAGTTTTTTGAGATCAGAGAGTTCATCTTGTAAGATCTCTTATTCTATTACTTGATTAGAAAACTTTTAAAAGGAACACTCAGCTCAGTTTTTGTTCTGAAAATAACTCCTTGCTGGGCAGGAGGTTCAGACTCTTGTTTTCCAGAATTATAAAAATGTTAGCTGAGGTTTCTTAAAATTGTACTAGAAGCAGATGGTAAAAACTGGAAAATGAGTGAAGACACTGCTATGAGCAGCAGGAGGTCTTTGAAGGGTATTCATAGTGTCTTAAGTATGAGTCTTTAAAGAAAGATAAATATTTATATCTACACAGTAACACATCTTCTTTAAAACACTAAAAAACCTCTTCTAGAACCTCTACCAAAGCAGAAAGTTCTGCACTTCTGAAATACTGAGCTGGCTGGGCATGTCCAAACTATCTAAAAATATATATTACATATAAATATATATATATATTTCTGTATATCTATACACTTTATGGTTTTGTATGCTATTCATCCACAGCAGCAGTGCTGCAATTCTGTGGTCTGCACCAGCTCATGTCATCATCCTGCTGTTGAAATGGAGAAGTTGCTGTTGTTTCCCCTTCCCCAGGAAGGGCAGAGGAGCAGTGGCTGCACATCTGTGGCTGGAATGTGGCGCTGCCAGCCTGGAATGCTCCCTGGAACAAGGGGCTGGGAGGGCCTCAGGCAGCAGCTCCAGCCAGCCCACGTGTTCTGCAGCTGCCTGGGAACGTCCTCAGGGACACCTCCATGAAAAAAGCAGCCCCTGGAGCAAATTCCCACCTCACCTTGGCCACCAGCTGGGGTCTGGGCACTTTCATGAGGTCGCAGAGGCAGTTTCGTCTCTCCCTCACCACGGGCAGCTCTGCTTCCCTGGGAGAGCAAAGGTGATTTCAAAAATCCATACAAAAATTCAAAAAAATCCATAAAACACCCTCAGTGATCCCTGTCACCCCTGCACCACAATGGGTGTGTCCTTTCATGCACATTTCAAAAGGCAGGAGTTTTTTGTTGTGTCACATTTGAAGGCTAAAGGACCATGTTTGTACCACCCTGAGTCAGATAAACCACAAATACACACCAGATCTGCCACAGGTCTAATAAAATGTCCAAGACTATTCTTTTACAAGGTTTTATATTAAAAAACCTCACTTATTTGTACAACTCTTTTGATTAGAAGTTCATTTAATTTATTCTCCAAAGTGACTGGATTTGGAGAAGACCCTCCCATCCCCTCTATAAAGAAAAAGCAAAAAAGGGTGAGTTATAAATAACTTCAACCTTTTTTTTCACACCTTGGACAATTTGTCCTATTTACCATTGGAAACTTTCCTGTGGCTAAACAAAGTGTATTATTTATAGAGTAATTTGTTTAAACTCTGCATGACACAATTGTATGATAAAGTCTCTGGAGTCCCAACAAGGAGAGTATGTGCATCCCAGTAATTATCATACTCCTTCAAATTCTCATTTGGCTTCCTGCTGCTAATACTTAAGGTAATTCAGAATTTAGACTGATTATTTTAGCACTGGGAGAGCTTGAGGAAAACAAGCAGCTCACTGTGACACTCAGCAACAACTTCAAATCTCTTTTTCTGCAAATAGCTCAAATGTACCAAGATAAAACAATTACATTTTGAGTAAATGAGCTCTTTGTCTTTGATCTCAGAGCACTGGCCACCGTGCAGCAGGGCACTCAGGGCTTGCTCCAAGCCAGAATAAGCCAGGCACACCCTAAAAATGACAGGGTAAAACCAGAATATTCATTTCTCTGGAGTGTTTTTCTGGGGAAGTGTTTTGCTTTGATTTAGGAATGAGTTGTTTATGAGCAGAGCTGAACTCCACTGCTTTTCCTGTAGCACTGTGAGTGCTGGCCCTGGTGACAGCCCTCAGCTCACCCTGCAGTGTCAGCTAACAAATTCCTTATGCAATTCCTGAGCCAGCCTGCCCCTAAATGCAGGTTTGCTAATGGAGCTCTGAGTCCCACCCAACACAATCCTAAACTTCCACCTGCACCTAAACAAGGAATTGTAACCACAGACAGAGCTGCTGGCAACCATTCCTTCAAACCTGAGGCTCCTGTTCCAGTTTTGTACTGGAAAATGCAGAAAAAGAGCAGCAGCCACTCCTCCTAATGATAAACTCAGCTTTCTTTTCACAAATACAAAGTTCTTTAAGCTCAAGCACAGAAATAAACTGGAAACCACACAGAAGTCAAAGACTGTAACTGCAATCTGCAACTGTCAGCCACCACTAAGGTGTATTTGTTCTTTGAGCTTGTCTGGGATAAATTTATTTCTATGAAATGTCAATGAACACAAGAAGCCATTTAATATAATGACTAAATAAATTCTATATTTTCCTACATTTGTCTGTTCTCTGTGACTGCTGTTTGGGGCAGCAGCCCCATGGGCCTGGTCTGTGACAAGGAAAAATGTTTAACAAGGCAGCAAAATGAATAAACTAATTATTATCTTAAAATTCTGTATTTTCTCAAACCTGCCCAGCTAATAATGCCCAATGCTAGAATTTGCAGAAAGGGGAAAATCCAGTGCCAAAAATGGTGGTTCCCTGCTCCTGTCACTGCACAGGTGCTCATGGAATGATTCCTTTGCTCTAAAATCACTGGATCATGCTTATGAAGAACAAGACCCTCTTCCCCTGCCCCTGGAAGGAGGTAAGTAAAAAAAAAAAAAAAAAGAATTACATTCTATGAAGTGGTTGTTTAATTCATGCCATCCTATCCTGGGAAACATCTAAACTGCTCCAATTCCAAATCTTTGCTTGAATACAAGGCTTGTAGCATGTTGAGTAATTACATTTCATGGGAGATTTGAGCTGTTCTGCTAATTCTGTTGTTTTCCAGCTTGCAGAGATCCTTCCTTTCCCCAAATCCTGCCAGTGCTTGTAAATGCCAAGAAACTGTCTGTGCACTTGAAGTTTGACTGTTTGCACAGCCCAGTCTCTGCTTCATGGAAAACTTCCAAGATTTCCTCCCTTTTTATGTTGTTAGGAAAATATGGCTATTTTACTTTATCTAATGGTGATTTTATACATCCCCTTCCAGTGGGCCAGGATCCTGGAGAGCTCTTTAGACCAGAGGAATTCCTTGCAGCTCTGCTGTCGTGGAAGCAATACAGAGCTGAACCTGTGCTATCACTTCTTACAGTTTCCTCCTCCCAGCTTTCACAGGGACTGAATTTTGGTCACTCCAGGGCACAGGGGCGTTTTGGGGCAGCACTGCACTCACCAGTTGGTGTCACTGAGGATGGCCATGGCCTGCTCCATGATGGCCGGGTCCACCACGTCGCTGTAGGTCAGCAGCATCTCGTACACCTGGCTGGCCGTGGTCTTCCTGATCTGCAGGGAGGGCAGGGGCAGCAAAGAGCCAGGCCAGGGCCACAGGGGCTGCTGAGGACAGGGGCAGCAAAGAGCCAGGCCAGGGCCACAGGGGCTGCTGAGGGCAGGGAACCCACAGGAACCAGCCAGGCCAGGGCCACAGGGGCTGCTGAGGGCAAGGGTCCCACAGGAACCAGTCAGGCCAGAGCCACAGGGGCTGCTGAGGGCAAAGGACCCACAGGGACTGCTGAGGGCAGGGAACCCACAGGGAGCAGCCAGGCCAGCTCCTGGGATCATCCAGGCCAGCTCCTGGGATTATCCAGACCAGCTCCTGGGATTATCCAGACCAGCTCCTGGGCTCATCCAGGCCAGCTCCTGCACAGGACCATCCCCAGGCCAGCTCCTGGGATTATCCAGGCCAGCTCCTGGGATTATCCAGACCAGCTCCTGGGCTCACCCAGGCCAGCTCCTGGCCCTGCTCAGGACCATCCCCAGGAGTCACACCCTGTCCTTGTGTCCAAAGCAGCCCCATGGCTGTGCCCATTCCCTGGGGAGCCTGGGCAGTGCCCCACTGTGGAAACCCCCCAAGGATCCCCCTGATGGGGAGACCCCTAAAAAGTTTTGTGCCAGGATTGAGAGATGAACGGGACTTTTGGTTTTTTCAGTCTTCTCTTACCAACAGTTCAGCACACTGTCTGCATCTCAGACTTAGTGTACAAAGAGAAGGCACCAAAAGGCACATTTGAATTATTTTTCATTTGTAAAATAATTTGTAAAACTCTTTTTAATTTGTCAGTTTTTCAATGTGCAAAGTCTTCAGTACTTACTATAGGGAAGGGATGGCAAAGGAGGAGAAACAACTGGAAGAAAACTTTCTCTCTCATGTCTCCTTGAAATTGAATCAGGCCACAAAATCTAGAAAATATCAGAAAAAAAACAGATCTTGTGTTATAACTGCACAAGTAAGTTTTGAGAACTAGGATGAAGATGGACATTAGGAAAAAGGCAGGGAGGGGAAAAAGAAAAAGCAAATGATTCCTTTTTTTTTTCTTTCTCTACAAAGAAAAAGCAAGTTATTCCCTTTAAGCATCTTTAGGACTATAAAATTTTAAACCTTGTTCATCTTTATCACATCATACGTTTCACTTCAACCATCCAGAACTATGAGACTCCCACAACCTTCAATCACATGGATCTGTGTGTATTTTCCATTTAAATTCCACATCAACCAGAGCTCACTGTTACATCTGGCAAGTGAAATACTCCTCACTTTCTGGGAGAAAAGATTGATTTCATTAACTCACACTCCTATGCTGGAGCGAAGCTTCCGGATGTCTTTGGACCTTTTGATCTCTTCTTTACAGAGGGTGAACAACTTCACTGGGAAGGGATGGCTGAGAATGGGAAAGAAAGAAAAAAAAAGATGAGCACAAGGTTTCAGCAGAATTTCAAAGACCATTCATGATTGTCAGGATGCCAAACTAACATTGCAAGGCAAGGCAAGACACACTGCAGGGTGGTTTGTGCTTCCCTCAGCAGCTCAGGAGAGTTTGGCCACCAAGTTCCTGAGCCTTTTGTTTTTAATTATTATTAATTATTTATATTTACATTACATCTGTGTGCTGGGGAGTGACCTCCTTTTAGCCAAACAGGTTAAAAGTCAAAAAGCAGTTATCAGTCAAGGATAACTGCCTTGCCATGGCTTGTGTTTAAGCAGTGTGGAATGATCAGAAATACCATGTCAGGAATTACATTATCCTATAGCCAAATAACAGTTACTCAGTCTGTGTATCATCGTGGTCATTCCCTAAGCTCTCCAACCAAACTTTACATAAAAAGGGAAGAATGTTGTTCATAACTACTCCATTTTACAGCCCAAATCATCATGGTCATTCCCCAAGGTCTCCAACCAAATTTAAATAAAAGGGGATGAATGTTGTTCTTAGCTACTCCACCATTTCACAGCCCAAATTCCTTCAGTGATTCCAGACAACGTAATTAAACACAGGGCTCACAGTTCTATTACATGGACAGGCCATGAAGCCATCTTTAAATATATTTAGCAAATTCTTTTCTTTTTCCACAGAGTCTGGGAAACGTGATTCTCACAGCTCTTTCCCAGACACTCGTACAAACACAAGTGCTGTAAGTTATTCCAAGGATCTATTAAAGAGAAGGAAAGAGGGACTAATGCTTTTATTTCAGTTCAAATTATTTAATCTTTTACTTGCCACACTCAAGGCTGAAGTGCCATAGATGCAAAAGAAACTATTTCATATTTGTCTAGTGAGCACAATAACTTCTAGGCTGTGTATTTTGGAAACCTCACTGCATTGTGTATGGAAAGCAGAAAGCAAAAATAGTAACATTCATTTTCTGCTACTGCAATTCAGAGCTGTGGATAAAAACTACTGAAGAAAGCTGGGTACTGTCATCTGTTGAAGGGCAGAACATTTAAAATAAGTTTAAAATGATGTTTATAGGAGTGCCAAGATGTTTTGTTAAGGTAACATGCCTTGTTCTGTAGAGGCTTCCAGACAAAAGTTAGTGGTTTTTAATGACTCTTTAAAAATTTGTAACAAAATCCTGGCACGTACTGGCAAAAAGTGACCTGTTTAAAAAAACTGAACAATAAACCTTGGTAAACTGAGGTGAAGAATTCTACACATGGTGGAACAAAAGACATCTGAATGAATGAATCAAATCCATCCAAAGCATGGATTTGTCTGGGTTGGTGAGGGAAGAGTTCTCTGAATGCTGAGGTATATTTTGTCTTACCTTGGTGGAATTTCTCCTCCTCCCACCCCAATTACACAAATTCCCTGTGTAGAGAGCTAATTACAATCCCTGCAGTGCATGCCTGCCTCTCAGCACAGGCCAGGCCATCCAGTGAATTAGGTGAGATTTAAACTGGTTGAACAGCAGGGACATCACTGAGAAGGGGAGCAACAAAGAGACCAATTGGAACAAGAGCATCTGGAACAAATTTAAAACATGGAACCTCATGAGCAGCATTTTGTGTTTAAAACAGATGCACTTTCCTTTCTGTTGGTTGCCAATTCTACATTTGCAATAACCAAACTTAACCTGTGTGTGATCTCAAATGACTCAAATAGCTTGGCCTCTGTAAAGGAAATTGAGAAAATTCCTTCTCCTGTGTGGGCACTGTGCCAGCAGGAACAGCATCAGCCCTGGGGAAGGAAAGTTCTCTGTGCATTCTGTGAACTGGGGACACGTGGCACTGCCAGAGGTGCTGCTGTCCCCCCTCCAGGTGATCTGGGTCTCAGCAGTGCCACTGCCAGGGTGGAGCTGCCACCAGCCCCTGCCAGCTCTGCTGCACAGCTGCTCATGCAAGAGCAGTAAAACTGCTTAAAAACCAATCCAAGGGAGCATGGATACATGGAAATTATCATGGATACATGGAAATTATCAGCTGGAGATCAATGGGGACACAGACTTTCTTAAAGCACTGCAAGATCACCAGAAAAACACAGAATACATGGGTGCTTCTGTTAGTGTGTAAAGTACAAACGTGTAGGAGTAGGAGAGAGAAATGTAGAATTTATTTATTACCATTTATTACCACTTATTACCCCAGAGAGCTGAGATCCTGAGCTGCCATTCCAAGGCTGTTCTGTTTTCATGGCCCTGAGTATCACTCCCATCTTACCACACTTCTGAGGAGCCAGCAGCCCCAGGGCAGCCCCAGCAGCACTGGGGATCCCTCACCCAGGGAGCAGCAGGAGCCTGCAGCCACAGGAGCTGTGAGCAGTGACACCCCAATGCCAGTGGCCTCAGCTCACTCTCCTCTGTCCTCCCTGTCCTCAAGGGTCCCCCCACCAGCCAGGGACCACCTCTGTGCTTTCAGGGCAGCCACTGGAGAGGCCACAGCAGCCCAGAGTGCATTTCTGAGAGCTCTGCTCCAAGCTGTGCCCGCTGCCTCCAGCAGCCCCCAGCCCACAAACTCCCTGCACTGCCACAAGAACAGCTCCACAAACTGCTCTGGGATGGAATCAGGAGGGTTTGGGCTGTGTGAGCACAGAGCTGAGGGCTCTGCTGCCCTGCTTGGTGGGAGCAGCAGTCAGCCAGTGATGCTGCAGCATCCCCAGCACTTCAGCCAGCACCCAGCTGCCCTGCTGCAGGAGAAACCTTCCTCCTATTCCCTTCCTATTTCCTTCCTATTTCCCTCCCTATTCCCTTCCTATTTCCTTCTTATTTCCCTCCCTATTCCCTTCCTATTTCCCTCCCTACTTCCCCCTATTTCCCTCCCCATTTACTCCCTATTTCCCTCCCTATTCACTCCCTATTTCCTTTCTATTTCCCTCCCTATTCCCCTCCCTACTTCCCTCCCCATTTCCCTCCCTATTCACTCCCTATTCCCTTCCTATTTCCCTCCCCATTTCCCTCCCTATTCACTCCCTATTCCCTTCCTATTTCCCTCTCTATTCACTCCCTATTTCTCTCCCCATTTCCCTTCCCATTCCCCTCCCTATTCACTCTTTATTCCCTCCCTATTTACTCCCTATTTCCCCCCCTATTACCTCCCTATTTCCTTTCTATTTCCCTCCCTATTCCCCTCCCTACTTCCTTCCCCATCTCCCTCCCTATTTACTCCCTATTCCCATCCTATTTCCCTCCCTATTCACTCTCTATTCCCTCCCTATTTACTCCCTATTTCCCTCCCTATTCTCTTCCTTTTTCCCTCCCTATTCACTCCCTATTCCCCTCCCTTCCCTTCCTATTTTGGCACTGGTGGGACTGAGGAAACCCCTCAAGCTCAGTGGGAGAGGGGCACTTTTCAGCCAGAGCATCTCTCCAGAGCCCCTCACTGCAGTGCCACAAACCACTCCTGTCTGCAGGAGGGACAAGCAGGTTGATGTCACCTCAGGACAGGTAGGAAATAACAACTGGAATATTCCTGAGCAGTTCTTTCCCCTGAGCCAAGCACAACAGAGGAACCAGTCCTGGAAGCCTTTTGATGACCCTGGTGACACTGAAGCTGACTCATTTCCAGCCCCACAGGACAGGTATTCACCCCACACACCCCATCCCTGCTGCTCCACACAAGGTAAATCCACCTTCCTTGAGCACAAACATCCAAACCAGGAGAGAGGAGCAGAACAGCAGGGCTCACTTGTCCTTTGGCACAGAGATCACACAGCAGCCACACAGAGCTCCCCCAACACTGAGATTCAGCTGTAGAACCACACCAGAAATGTTGAGCTTTCTATTCTAAATTGTACAAGCTGCAGGGTGTGAAAAGGAAGGAAAATGCCCGGTGGGTTCCACCTGTGCAAGGCAGGAGTGACACCCTGTGGCAACTGGTTTTAACTGGAGCACTCACAAGGGTCAAACTGCTCCTGCTCCTAATCCTGATTAATTTAAGCACTTTGGGTATTACCCATTCTGCACTGTGGATGTTTTATCAGAAAATAAATGTGTGGGAGAGCACAGTTTCCATTCAAACCTCAAAATGCATTTGCAAACACTTTTTTACAAGGCAGCAGTTGCCTATTTGGTGGCTGGTTTAGGTATAATCCTGACAGACATCCCACATGCCAATTCCCTTGCTAAAACTCCATTCAGCCCAACATGGTAAAAAAACAATGAGGGAAGGAAATGAAATGGGAGCTGAACATCCCAAGGAAAATACATGAGATACATGCTTGTATCTCAACTTGCATTTGAGGCACATTGTACTGACACTGCAGGCACATGTGGCCTTTCCATGCCACCAAACAGGGTCTCTATTTTCCCACCCACCCTGGGATGTTCTTACACATTTTATGGAGGCTGCTCTGGAAAGGGAGTAAATGGTTCCATTCCAGAGAGCAGACCCAAAGTCAGGTTTTTCTGTTCAAAAAGGAGAAAATGGTTCCATTCCAGAGAGCAGACCCAAAGTCAGGCTTTTCTGTTCAAAAAGGAGAAAATGGTTCCATTCCAGAGAGCAGACCCAAAGTCAGGTTTTTCTGTTCAAAAAGGAGCAGGTGGCATCCAACAGCAGGGGCAGGCAGGCCTTGGAGCAGTGGATCCATCCCTAACTACACCCAAAGGACCTAGCAGAGTAACAAAATGCATGAAAGGGAATTCTGGGCTCCCCATCACGAGTTGATCCACACCCAGAGCATGGCAGTAACTCAGCCATGGCCAGCTCTGCACAGGAGGCCCCCACATTCCCCAAATCTGACACATGCAAGAATTAAACTCCATCTTTTAACTGTCTGCCACCTCCCCACTGCTCTGCCCTTCCTGGGCTCTGCATGGTCACAAGTTCTGCACTCCAGGCCAGCATTTCACTCCCCTGACACCAGCATGATCCACTTGGCTGCTTCATTATTCATTTTCTTTTTTGGTTTCATCATCAAACTGGAGGCAAATACATCTGGATCAGCTTCAAAATCTTTTTCCCCCATAATAGCCCTGGATTTTATTTCAAGGCTTTTACACAAAGCATCACAATGGCACCACAGGGCTGAGTGTGAGTCACTCACACAGCAAAGGCATTGCTGCTACCACTGGGTTTCTGCTCAGTGACCTGGAGACAAGACTTTGACTGGAATTTCCATCCATAATCTCTCACCTTCCCCAGCAGGGGTGGCTGGAGCCTGTGTGGAAGCCCCAGATCAGTGGCACAATTATCAAAGTGAACAATATTCACTCCATCTGTCTTTGACTCACTTTAAATTCTCATTCAAACAGGGACTGCCATGTGTAATTTCAGAAATATTATCTAAAACCACACTTCAAGACAAGAGTGGGCTCAATCAAAACTTTCAGAATGATGAAAGCTTTTCAGATTGATCTGCTGTGAGCAGTTCTTGAACCAACAAGTTCCCAATGCAGTATCTGTGCTTGCAGGATTGCACAATTCTGTAAATACCTGCAGATGTGCCAAGATGCTGCCTGGGAGAGCTTGTGGAATAGATTTTAATATTACTGAAATTCAAATCATTCTTTTCTGAAACATCTGCAAAGCCCCATGATTTCACATTGGAATATCTCACTCACATTTATCTGTTCCTAAACTGAACACTTTCCACAAGACCGAGCTCAGGGTGGAAGAGCTGGGACATGACTTTTTATTATTATCAGAATTTTAATTCACATCTTTGGAGATATTCACATTAAGCAAAGCAGTGGGACTGGGGGAACCACAGCTTGTAGGCACAGAGGGCTCTGCAGCACCTCACAGGACAGTGCCAGTGCTCAGGGCTCCCAGTACAGCAAGGAATGTGCTCCAGGGATTTAGGAAGCTGGGAAATGAAGAATGGATCTGATACTGGTCCAAGAATCCCAGGTGAAACATGCAAATTGCATTTGATTAATGTCCTGGCTGTCAAACAGAGAACAAGGAACAAACTTCTACACAGACAAGAGAGTCAAGGATTTTGCCAGGACCCTTTCCAGGCTGTTTGTCCCACTTGGGGAAAGTTAAGGCATTGCAATATAGGCTCACACTTGGAGCCCTGGGCACCCCCAGAGCAGCAGCCAGGGCAAGACTGAGGAGCTCTGATGCACAGTGAGAAATAAACCAAAGAGAATTCCAGCAACTCACTTCTCTTGCTCAGTGAACATATCAAAACAGCCATTTGCCAGCATCTGGTCCAGCATTGTCAGCAGAGGTACAGACACCCTGAGGAAAGAAAATGATTCAACAAGGTAAATACACTTCTTGGCATACAGATATATCCTATTTTTAATCAGAAGCAAGGAAGGAAACTTCCTACATACCTACACACAGGTAAATTAGAGCTCTGATTTGCACAGGGGAGGGCTGCTCAGTACCTTGTGTGTGTTGGCTGAACGGGGACATTCCCTCCCAGCCAAAAAGGAAAAACATAATTAAAACCACCCCTGCTTTGCATTTGCAGGGTCCTGAAAACACAACTGACACTATTGGAAAATATTAATCTGTTTTCTAGAATATGAACAATGTATTCCACTAACTGTATCAGAAGTTACAGCACCAAATGAACCAACACTTGTCAGCTGGAATAACCATGGCCATGTTTTCAACAGTTGAGACAGGAAACAAAATAAAAATACAATAGGTTTTTTTTTATTTATACATTATTATAAATAATAAAAATAATAATTAATATAAATAATAATACAATAATCAATATAAATTAGTATTTCTACATTAAATATTTATATATATATTACATTTATTTATATCTATATTTATAGCTGTATTTATATTTTATATTTATATTTTATTTTATGTATTATTTATATATTATTTATATATTATATAAATAATATATTTATACAGGTATACTTTATAATATTTATATATTATTTATAATGTAGAAATATAATAATATATATAATTTATAATATTTATATATTATTTGATATATTATTTATATATTATTTATTTTTATTTCATTTTATATTTAGTATTTTATTTATACAACAGAACAAGGGAGATTGGCTTCAAACTGCAAAAGAGCAGGTTTAGATGGGATATTGGGGAGAAATTCTTCCCTGTGAGGATGGGGAGGTCCTGGCACAGATTGCCCAGAGCAGCTGTGGCTGCCCCATCTTCTGAAGTGTCCAAGACCAGGCTGGAAGGGGCTTGAAGCAACCTGGGCCAGTGGAAGGTGTCCCTGCCCTTGACAGGGGACTGGAATGGGATGAGCTTTGAGCCCCCTGCAACCCAAACTCTTCCATGATTTAAAAACTTGAATGTGCAAAATATTTTGCCAACACTCCTTGGTTTCGTATTTTACCACAGCTCCTGCTGTACCAAACAGCTCTGTTAAAGCAAATCCATGTGCCTTGGGCATCCACTGGATGTGCCACAGGAAGGGAAAAAGGGAAGGGAAAAAGGGAAGGGAAGGGAAAAAGGGAAGGGAAGGGAAAAAGGGAAGGGAAGGGAAAAAGGGAAGGGAAGGGAAAAAGGGAAGGGAAGGGAAAAAGGGAAGGGAAGGGAAAAAGGGAAGGGAAGGGAAGGGAAGGGAAGGGAAGGGAAGGGAAGGGAAGGGAAGGGAAGGGAAGGGAAGGGAAGGGAAGGGAAGGGAAGGGAAGGGAAGGGAAGGGAAGGGAAGGGAAGGGAAGGGAAGGGAAGGGAAGGGAAGGGAAGGGAAGGGAAGGGAAGGGAAGGGAAGGGAAGGGAAGGGAAGGGAAGGGAAGGGAAGGGAAGGGAAGGGAAGGGAAGGGAAGGGAAGGGAAGGAAAGGAAAGGAAAGGAAAGGAAAGGAAAGGAAAGGAAAGGAAAGGAAAGGAAAGGAAAGGAAAGGAAAGGAAAGGAAAGGAAAGGAAAGGAAAGGAAAGGAAAGGAAAGGAAAGGAAAGGAAAGGAAAGGAAAGGAAAGGAAAGGAAAGGAAAGGAAAGGAAAGGAAAGGAAGAAGGGTTAAAGGGAAAACAGCCAAGGATGAGCATTACCGGTCATTCCTCAGGTTGTCCTCAAAGACCTTCAGCAGCGTCTCACAAAAACTCCCCAAGGCACTGGGGTCACTCTGGATCTTCTTCATGTGGTCAAACAGGCTCTGGGCCGAGTATCTGAGCTGCAACACGAGGAACCTCCAGTGAAGGACTGGAAAAAGCCAATGCCCAACCACAGGGGCTGCACGACTGCCCTGGGACACCCCTCCAGCAGCACCAAAACCCAACAGGCCACGGCTCTCTCACCTGCACTAACCCACTGCCAAGGAAACCGGGGGGTTTGGTGCTTTCCTTTTTAAGCTGGCAAACTTTTGGTTTTTTTTTCCTTTTTTTAGGCTGGCAAACTTTTGGGTTTTTTTCCTTTTTAAGTTGGCAAACCTTTCCTTGGCAAATCTAAGTTGGCCACTTTTGGGTGTTTTTTCCTTTTTAAGCTGGCAAACTTTTGGGTGTTTTTTCCTTTTTAAGCTGGCAAACTTTGGGGGTTTTTCTCCCTTTCTAAGCTGGCAAACTTCTGGGTTTTTTTGCTTTTTAAGTTGGCAAACTCCCTCCCAGAGCTGCTGTGGAAGGGAAGCAGGCACAGCCCCTGTGGGAATCCCCTTCTCCTCAGCCTGACCATTTTATCAAGGAAAGAAAATAAAATATTGGACGAGGATGAGAAACGTCACAAGTGTCTTCCCAAAAGCAAATGAGAGGAATCTATATTTAAACATTTTATCTAACAAAACTCATATCAGTAACATTTATGAGTGCATCAGTACCCAAGAATAAGAAACAATTCAGCCTTGGCTCAAAGCTCTGAACTATTTTCCCAAAGCTTCAGCCTGCAAACAGCACAGGCACAACCTTCCCACTTTGTTCTGTACTGAAACATCCTGGGCAGTGCAGGAGCAGAAATATTTCTTTAAAAAGGTCAAGCAATTTGGAGAAATTATTCAGTTATTCTGAGTTTCAGAATGACAGCCAAATCTCAGTAAAATCTGTGCAAGGCAGCTACACTGAACTGAAGCCAGTGTGGTTCTTCCACACTCCAAAAGCAGCACTGGTGTGTGCCCCAGTGTGCCCAGTATAAACTGGGTCCTGACACTGAAAGGGCTTCACAGGATATACAATTGTAAGAGAGATTTCCTGAAAATTCAAAACCTGCTTAATTGTTATATACTACCCTTTAAAACAATCTGTGCATTTAAGACTATTATAAATAAATGATAAATATTTTATCTTTACACCTTCCAAGAGCAGAGATCAACAACAAGCAGAGGAAATCCCATCTCACAAAAAAATCTTAGGTGTTGTCATTTTCTCTCCTATTTCTTTTGTGTCTTAAACCACCTCAGAGATCTCACACCATTTTTTTTTAAGGAAGTTGAATGACTCAGTGCATTCTCTGCAGATCCAAATGACTTGAAAAGGCAAGAAAGGGCATGGAAGTAAAGGGCAACAAGCACAGCTCCAGGTGAGGTGCCCCAGAGCTGTGCCAAACCAAGGCAGAGCAGCAGGATATCAGAAACACTGGAGAATGAGGACAGCACAAGCAATTAAACAATACAAAAATACAGGTGTGGACAATCCATCATGTAACTGCTTGGGAGACTGAAAAATGGGGCATTTTCCCAGTACTGGCAGAATCTCCAGCATTACAACATGACATGAGCAGGTTAAATCCTTATTTCCTCCTCAGGAGAGCTGCTTCTGTCCCAGCCTCAGTATCTGAGCTGTAATCTTAACTGCTCCTGAGTATTTGCAGGGGAGAATATTTCCAAATGTCTTCCTCATCTATGCAGAACACAAATTCACACTGCATCAAACATGTGACATTTACCTTTCCCTGGGCTTCCACAAGGACTGGGAGAGGAAATTAGGAGGTTAATGGGCTGGAACTGGGACAAACTTTGGATACAAATTTAAGAGGAGGCCTGAGAATGACCTTGATCTTACAAAAGAGCAAAGCCAGGGTTTGCCAAGGTGTGACTGCCCCAACACTGAGGGCAAGAGCAGATCCTGCAGGGCCAGGAGATGAACAGAGCAGAGAACAGAGCTCAGAGGCACCCTGCACCTGGTGACAGTGATACGTCAGGTTTAGCTTTGCTATTTTTCACATTCTGTGCTGCTTTAGTGTGTGGGTCTGGGTTCACATCAGGGGATGCTGAGCTCTGTGCACAGAGCAGGGACACAAAACAATTCCTGCTCCTGCTGGGCACCAAGGACAAATGATCCAAATCTCAGCCCAAGAGCACAAACACCATGGGCTGGAGAGAGAAAAACAAGGATGGGACTGGATGGGCTAAAGCTGGAATGGGACAATGAACTGCAAGATGCAAATGGAGCAGAACTGATCCCAGGGAGAGACCCCGTGCCCGGCCGTGCATTTTGGGGCCATTTTGGGTCATCTTGGGTGCAGCCCTGGCTGGGCTCTTGTGCTGCCCAAGGTGGATCCATAGAGGAGATCCTTTGAATAAATCCCTGCTTTATTCTGGAACTCTGCCCAGCCTCTGCTCCAGCTCAGCCTGCACAAGGCATCAAGAGAACTCAAGCCCTGAAGGTTCAACCTCCAGAACCAGGGCACAGAGAGGCACAAATGCAGCTCCAGCTCCAGCTCCTGCAGCTCTGGGCAGGTCCCTGCTGTGGTTCTACACAAACCTTCACCAAACTGTTCCCAGCCAGCTTTGCAGAACAAAGCTACAGCACTTGTAAAACCAGCTTTGAGGACTGATATGGTCAAAAAGAATCAGCTGAAGCTAATTCCAGTTTGTAACAGAGCATCTGTTACATCCAAAATCTCAGCTACACATGAGTGATTAAGACACCTGATCCACATCAGGGCTCTGGTTTGTACTTTCAGCAGTGATGCCTTACATGAAGCAGGAATATCATAATTCACATTATTTTTCTCTGGAAGAAAAGAATGCCTGGAATTATTCTCAAGTGTATGTTGCTCAAGAACTCTCAATGAAGAAAAGAGGATTTTGGGCCTTTTTCTTCCACCAAATATGCATTGATTTGCATACAATTTGTCCTAGTAACCACATGTTTTAGAATATAATCTACTAATATCCCAATATTTTTGTTTGTGAGATCTACACAGCTTTGGTACTGCCTGGGAGGAACTTTAAGAGTTCAGAATATGTTGTTCTTTTTTTCTAAAGGCCTTACTTACAATTTCTATACCACTTTAAAATGCAATTTTCACTCTTTAGGGGGAAAGAGAATCACAGGACATTCTGTGCTTAAACAAAATTTAGAATGTAATGTAGTTCAACAGTAATGAAATTATATCAAAATTATATCCTGACTCCTGCAACTGCAGGGTTTGTGCACTGGAGAAAGACCAGCATTGTACATCTGATCTCCACAGACTGAGGGGTTTTATGCAGCCATAAGAAATATGCATCACTGTGGGCCAGATGTATAATTAGGAGATTCTTTTACACAGAGAAAGTGCCCTTTGAACCATGGTGATGGAGCAGAGTGCCAAATCCCACAGGGAATGACATCTTCTGTTTTTCCAGATTATTTCCAAGGCTTGAGCCACAATTCTTCAGCAGCCCCACTGCCACCACAACACTTCAGAGACCCCACATGGCTCATTCCAGAAAATCTCTTTAAAAAGCCAAACAAAGAACTACTCTTGCTAAATATACTGCAGAGCAATTTTAGCTGCAGCCAAACTGCCCCTGACCACGGAGTTACAACAGAGCCTTTCTCCTGTGGATTCCCTGGGATGACTAAAAGACAAACTGACATTTGAACTCAATTATCCTGCAGGATATGCAAGAATCTTCTTTCTGACTTCCATGTCCACGTGTCTTTGTGCACAGATATGTTTGAAGTGAGAGGGAAGAGAGGCACAAGAATACACCCATCACTGCAAGAACACATATTCCAATCATCTTTTTCCCCCATCCACAATTTTAAAAAGCTGCTTCTTTCATATGCATTTAATAGGATCATTCTTAAAATTGTCTATCAATGTTTTAAATCAGTCTCTGGATATTGAGCAAAGAATGCTACAGGCTTTGACAGAGTAGTTTGAATACCAGTCATTGTAAAACACATCAATTCCAATTTCTATATCACATTTTAGATATTAAAAGTAATTCACCACACACATACACTCCCAAGTGTAAGTGCCCAACCTTGCCTTTCTAGCTGACTCAAGAGAGAATTAGCTCATCTTCTTTCTAAAGCCCTGGAGAATATTTTAGCCAGAACAAGCCTTTATGTTAAAGAAAACTGGAGGGTCACAGAAAAGTGAACATTTCACAATCACAGTTTGAGAACACTGCAGAAGGTTTCCCTTAACACACTGTCAGATGCTAACAAGGGAAAGGAGCTGCATGTAACTGAACTGTTCCAACTTTTCATAACTAAATGCAACCAGGAGTTTAAAAAAAAATTAAAATCTTGAATAAGAATTTTCCTCTGACCCCAGCTAGCAGCCAAAATGTCTGTTTCTCCAAAACTTTCCTCCTTTTTTTACTTAGACAAATAACTTTGGTTTTGGTGGAGCCTCCTATAATTAACTGTGCTTGACTGAAAGCTGAATTTCATGTGCATGTTTGCTATTAAAGAAATCTGTTAAGAGTTACATTGTCTATCTGATAATTACTGTCACAAACCAACACACACATGTTTCCAAAGTTCTAAAATAGCCTTTGCCATATAATTAGTTGCCATTTTAGAAACATCCAAATGCTCAGAATTGGTTTAAACACAAGAGACTGCACAGACACTGAATTCCCTGCTCCAGGGAGCCCAAAGGCTCAGAGACATCTCTTGATCCCAAGAGCAGAACCCACAGCACCAGGCAAAAATAAAAATCATTTGGGCAAGTTGTGGCTGAGCAGGGGAAGGCATGGGAGACAAGCTCCAGGTGATTTTATCTCCTTCTTGCTGTGACCCAGCAGGAGCTGCTCCCCCCTTCACAAAATTCTGTTTCCCAGCACTTTTCTACTGGTTTTCTTAATTTGAGATGGAAATCTTAATTAGAAACACTCTTAACCACTGTTGGGGTGTTGACTCGCAGCCTCCTCCTCTTGTTACAGGCCCACTGGGATTTAAAGGCTTAACTGACAGTCCAAAATATTCTGTTACTGCCCTGATATTCCTCTGTGGTGTCATATTGAACCATGTCCTTACCCCCAAAATTGTCTTTATATTTTACATCTTTGGCTACAACAAATCAAAAAACATTATAAGCCAAATATCTGGAAACCAAGAATGCTGAAACGACCAGTGCAAGTTGTAATAAAAGGACAGAAGGATACACTACAATTAAAAGAAAGTAGGGAAAAATTTGGCAGCAGAGCAGACTGCCAAAGTCAGTGATAAAGAGATTGTTCATGCCAGAAGAATGAAACAAGGATTGCAAAGCTCAGAGGATTTAGACAGACATCTGAATGATATTTCTTTGTAATGGAACTTCTGACATCTCACTAGTATTATAGTAGAAAAGGTACAAAAAATAATTAAAAAAAGAAATCTGTGCATACTGTTAACACCTACTGACCACTACCAGTTACCACCTTGCATCAGGTGACAAAGGAACTGGTTTTCACCTCATTGCAATCCCCTTGCACTGAGCTGAGGGGCTCTGCTCCTGATCCCAGCTGGGACAGTCAGCACAGGGCTGGGATTTGTGGGCCTGGAACTTTCAGTCCTGTCCAGGAGAGGACAAACAAAGCCCCTCACTCCTTGTTCCCTGCACACTCAGCTGTTGGAGCTCTGGATGCTGAGAATTTTACACTTTCTGTGCTGACAGACTCTGACTCCCAGGAGAGCACTGCATTTGACCTGAGGCCTTGGAGAAGGCTTCCTTGTTCTTCTTCATAGGTGGTATTTTGTAATTGGACAGAAAAGTCTGCATTGTGGACTTTGAGCGATCAGTTATTGGCTTAAAAGTGAAAATCATTTAGGTGTCATTTCTTAATTGGACAGTTTAGCCTTAAAAGACCTTGAAACAAGTGGTAGTTATCCATTTTTGTGCCTTGTTAATGAAAGACTGCAGAACTGCAGTAAAAAATCAGCTAAGCCTGAACATGAACTATTGTCTCAAGTGCCTTCAACCCAACCTCAACAGAAGCAGAAAAAAGAAGCTGAAAACCAGCAGAGAGCAAGTGAAGAGAATGACACATGAAAGGAAAGCCAAGAAGGGCACTGGGTGTGCAAGCAGTGGTCTCCCATCACCAGAGACTCAACAGCTGATCCAAGGACAGACCTGTCCCAGGAAAGGCCAGCACACCCTGCCAGCACTGGTGATGCTGGTGATCAGCAGCCTCACACACAGGGCTGAGGATCACAGCAGGCTGAGGATCCCCCAAGCACACACAGAGCTGACAGACTCTGACTCCCAGGAGAGCACTGCATTTCACCTGAGGCCTTGGAGAAGACTTCCTTGTTCTTCTTCATGGGCTTGGGTGGTATTTTGTAATTGGAGAGAAAAGTCCTCATTGTGGACATCGAGCAATTAGTTTTTGGGTTAAAAGTGAAAATAATTTAGGTGTCATTTCTTAATTGAACAGCTTAGCCTTAAGAGACCTTGCAAGAAGTGACAGTTATCCATTTTTGTGCCTTGTTAATGAACTGCAGTAAAAATCAGCTAAGCCTGAACATGAACTATTGTCTCAAGTGCCTTCAACCCCGACCTCGACAGAGGCAGAGAAAAGCAGCCGAAAGGCAGCAGAGAGCAAGTGCAGAGAATGACACATGAAAGGGAAGCCAAGAAGGGCACTGGGTGTGCCAGCAGAGCTGTCTCACCGTGGTCTCTGTGAGTCCCCCCACGGACACAGAGAGCCCCAGCAGCACGTGGTACTGGTAGGCCGGCAGCCCCAGCAGCTGCGTGATCCGAGGGAACGCTTCCGACGCCGCGTTCCAGTTCAGCGTCTCCTTCTCCCACCTGCAAGGGGAAGGGAAAGAATCATCCTGTGTGGGTGCACTGCTGTTCTCCTCCCCACATTGCTCCTCCACACCAGGGAGGAAGGTGTGTGAATTACCTAAGTGTCAAATCAAAGATTGGGCTTTGAGCACATTGGGTAAATACAAATCAAAGCTTCAGCCACTGCCAGTGAAGTGGAGGAATCTCCAAATCCTTGTTCTGATCCAGGGAAGATCTGAACTGCACTTTCCTTCCCCCAGGCACTTTTGCCTACATTCACAAAACAAGTTTCTTTCTGCAGTTTCATTCTGTGCTCTCTCCCACCACCAGCTGCTCAAGGACAGACCTGTCCCAGGAAAGGCCAGCACACCCTCCCAGCACTGGTGATGCTGGTGATCAGCAGCCTCACAGGCAGAGCAGAGGATCCCAGCAGGCTGAGGATCCTCCAAGCACAAAGCTGGATGTTCCTCACACCCATCAGGTATCATAATCACCACTCAGGAATGAGCTTCTCTCACTCTTGCTTTAACTAGAAAGTCCATCTTGGAAAACTACTGGAACTAGAGCTTGGTTAAAACAATACAACTCATTAAAAACTATCACTATGACCAATGTTTTCCAGTTCAGGAAAAAAATATGTTCATGCATATTCATAGGGCAATTTAGTGAAATCCTGACAACACCAAATATTCCTCCATACACATACTGGCCATAAAAATTACATCAGATTGGTTGGTTTAGGTGAAACTGTATTAATTTATCTTTTACTTTCATTGGTTTAGGACATTTTTCAATATCTTACCTTGGAAATATCCTCTCTAGCTCTTCTCTGTGAGGGATGTGTGGAACTGGAGGATGGTCAAAGTGCAAAAGAGTGAGGAACACAGATCCTGCATGAGCTCGGAATTTATCTATTTTTTCAGCTGACTGTTGAGCCAACCAGCACATAATCTGCTTGCAGCTATAAAGAAGAAAACATTTAATCAGAAAATTTAGGCAGTAGAATGCGTATTTAGATGTAAATGGTTTCAATTAAATGAATAAGAATGATCCTGCTAGGAAAGCATTCTGGTTTAACTCTTCAGAATGAACACACAAGTGATGTAGGACACCCAGATGGTGATAGAATCACAAGGCTTTATCTTCCACAGATCAACCAACCAAAAACCAGCATGACATTCATATTACAGAATATTTTATCCACTTTTTACACATACTGCCCCACCCTTCACCCAAAAAGATAACAAAGTCATTGATGGCCTGGCTGAACTGCTACATTTCAGATGGAAATAGAGCAGAACTTTGAGAAAAGCACATTTTGAAGTAGAAAACTGCCCATATAACAGAGGACAAGGTCTCTCCTCCATCTCATATATCCCAAGTAAATCACTTCTTCAATTCTGGCTAGTTTTTAACAATATCTTATTTGGTTTATGCTCACAACTAAACTCACATCTACAAAATTGTGTCCCATAAGGCCCTTAACCCTTCAGAAAGGGCCACTAATGACAGTAAAACCAGCTACAATTCCTTCAGTTACACCAAGGCCCAGAATATTTCCAAAATGGGATCCAGCTGGCAGGAATGCTTTTCTCAGTTCCATGTGGACAATCTGTGAATAAACAGCTGAACAGGAGGAAGCCCCTGAAAATGGGCACTAGTGAGCAGTGTGCTCTTAGAGAAACCAGTGCTTTCCTTCTAGGTGTCCTTCAACATTTGGGGGTTTTTAATTAAATCCCAAACCATGTATATGTTCACCTAATCATTGGCCTACTCTGTCTACAAACCAATACCACTATTAGGAAAGTTTTACTGCAGCTCAAGCTATGTTTTAAAAATTGTACTTTTTTATTAATTCTTTTATTATTAGGAGCACCATATCATAAAATTAAAAATCAGGAGCTCAGTGTAAATTCTTTTTCTTTATTTCCTTACTAATAATTCTGCAAAGAAACGAATCCAAGCTCATTCTCACATCTGATCACATTCCAAATTAATGATGTGACACTCTGGATAAGCAGATTTGCTTTCTGTTTCAGTGAGCACTTTTGGGAAGCACCACAGAGGGGGCAGCTTTAGCCCAAATCCCACAGCTGTGCTGCATTTCCAAGGTGGGATTGCCACCCAGGCTCTCCCAACAAGGTTTTCCCAGATGTAACATCTCCCCATCCGCAGGGGCTTGATGCACTTGTGTCAAAGCTCTGTCCCACTCAGTAAAGGAGGAGCACAGAGTGTCCTGCAGGGCTGGGTGGAGCTCCAGGAGACAAACACAGGGCAGAACATGACCTACATGCTGGCACTGATCAGCTCTGCCTCGCTCTGCACCAGCAGCAGGGTCACCTCCATCAGGCTGGTCATGGCGGCCTCGCGCACCCTGTGGGGACACAGATCAGAGCAGCCTCAGCAGCACTGAGGCTAAATAATTTCAATAAACACACCTTCCATTCCCTCAGCTGGGTGAGGACACCAGCACAAATTCCCAAAAACAAAAGCAATGACCTCTGAGAGCATCTCCCATACTTTGGGAGGACAAGGAGTGTCCCCCCAGTCCCATTCTGTGAAACAAAGCTCACATTGCACTGAGGGTCCAACATTCAGCCCTGCCTCACCAGCCTGGTTTTCATTCCAGCCAGATGTCACCAGGCTTATTCTTTATTTTAAGAAGGTTAAAACTGATAATGATTAGTAATGTTTCATGTGCAAGTAGATATATTTAAACTTAAGTGCTCTGTCTGCTTGAAATTATTTTCTGAAAAGGCCAACTCACACTTTGACAGTCAGATGTTCAACACTGTCACATTCTTGTAAATTTTCAAGCTTAATATTTCCAACATTAAAAAGAAGTTGTGACTCAGAGTGGCTTAAATCTCTATGCTAAGCAATAATTAATTTCATGAAAATTTTGACCAAAGTAACACTAAATTGGGCTTGAAGTGAGTCTTGTCTAGATAATGATCTTCTCCCTTCAAAATGTCTAAATATAATTTTTTAAAAAGTGTAATTTTAATTTCAAAAATCATCAATATGGCTGTTTTAAACCATGTCTTGTCAACCCATGAGTTTTTAAAAAACTGAAGACAAGGTCAATACTTCAGTGGGTGACATGACCCTGCCCAAGACCAGGCCCAGCACATTCACCACATTGGTAACTCAGAGTAATGTCATCCTTTCTCAGTAATAATTTTTTTAAAAAGAATAAAAAACTATTTGAAAAGACCCAGCAGCCTTCTATGAGAAGAAATACTCCTCTTGCTGGTTTCCAAAACAACTTGAAAATAGTTGCAGGTGCAATCTAAAACTGGGTGGGACATTTGTTATAATGGTAAAAAAGGTAAATTACATCATTTTTTCCAAAGCAGCTTAAAACAAGTCTGGCAGTCTTTCATCAAGGTTATGTTTTACTAGTTTTTTGTATCATATCTGACTTAGATATTCATGTCTACCACCTGTAGACAGATCAGACATGTCCCAGCAAACAATCTGTCAAAAGAAAGGTAAAGTTTGCATATGCAGAGTAAAGTTGGTGAAACTTTCCCACGATTCTATGAAAGAAAGACAAAAATTACACAAAAAAGACAAAATCTCTCCAGAGAAACAGCATTTCTCTCCATATCTTTCCATCTTATTCCCTGGTTTAGAAGAAACAGAATGAGAAAGCACCGATCTTAGAGAGGCCACAGAACCTTCAGCAGCCAAGAGTTTGCCATGAGAAAGGATCCCCCTTCCCCCTCTGATTTACATGTTTTTTAATTTGATTGTGGCTGGAATTGCTCAAAGAAGCTAAAAAACAAAAGTATCTGGTGCTCAAAGCACTTTGGAATTTGAACACACATCTCTGTACCCTGAGATAATCCATGCAGTGCCAGACAGGTCAAATACATGTATTTTACCACTTCCTTACCATACAAAAGCACTATCATCTATCATCCACAGCTAAAAACATGATTCTTCATATCTAAAATAATCAGCCAAGGCTGATTCTTCATCTCTAAAAGCAACATATACCTGCACATTTCAAATTAAAATTATGGATTCAGACAATAAAATGAAGCGGCCTTTTCAAAACCAGCATTTTACTCAAAATCAACTGCTAATAAATAAAAGACAATTAAAATTACTCTATCACATTTATTTACAGAGTTCATGGCTTCTCTCTACTGGGTGTTACTGCTCTGAGGCTTCCACACAGCATCAAAAGTATTTTAAATCTGCAGATACTGGACTTGTTCCTGAATTAGGATAATTTAATGCTTTTTATTAACAAGTCCTACTTCAGGCTGGGCATGTTTTGCTCATAAACAGGTGCAGAAAAGCACCCTGACAGGAGAATGTTTGGTTTGTAAGACCCATATTCCTGTGCTGTGTAATTCTACAGGATGGCATGAATAACATGAACTCTTCATGATCTCATTCAAAGCTCAGGAACTTCCAATCAGTAAATGCTGACACATCCCCAGTTAGAGCTTTGGAAATGAAACACAAACCCAAAGAAGGACACGAGCCTCCACAGTCAGGAATTCTGAAATTTGAAATCTGCCTTTCCAGATCACTGCCACTGAAGGAATACAGAGCATTCAGAGGAATGCAATGTCACACACTGAATCTTCTTTGTGTATTAGGGGGACCTTGAAGACTGAGGAATGCCATGAAAATAAGACTGCTATAGACTTAGTACTACTAAGATCTTATTAATTTTATTAAGTTTACTAAATTTATTAATCTACCTATGCTACAGATTTCCCATCAGCAGACATATTCCTATAGATTTATGATTTATTCTTGCAGTTCCATATCTGAAATCATTGAAACCCTAAACTTACAAAAGATTTGGTGATGCTGCAGCATAATTGAGAGTTTTTATCCCTCTCAACATGTTATGCAGCTGCTCCCTCTCCTGGCAAAAAATCCCCACAACAGCAACGTGCAGCAGGAGAGATCAGGCAGGACCAAATGTGTTGTTTCAAATAAAGAGAAATAATGCTCTAAATCCCTGTTTTGCAACTGAATATATTCCTGGTATTTACTAAGAAGAACTAATGCCACCCACAGAACCAGAAAAAGGTCTAAATTCAGTTTTGAACATATCAATCCCCATATTCCAAATTTTTGAGCAAGGACAACCAAAACTTGTCACGCTTCACCTTTCACTTTCCACTTCTCTTCCTCTTGCGCATTCCTAATTCCTACCTAGGCTCAAATCTCCAAAATCTCAAATCTCCAAAAGCTTGGAGCTCTTGTTTCTACGAGGTTTTAAAAACACATCAGCTTTTCATTGGACACCAGAGCTGGCCTGGATCTGCCCCCACCTTACCATCCTCCAACGTCGCCGCGGCTGTCGGTGGTGTAGTCGGTGACACCGGTGAGCAGCGTGGCGTAAATCTGATCAACGTTAGCCCTGCACACAAACTCCTGCTGGGATCCATCTCCCTTCACACCCACTGTCTGGCAAACCCTTCAAAATAAAGAGGAAAAGAAGGGATGGGAGGCAATTGAGAGCAAGCTTTGTTATGTTGGTTAATAAAATTGATAACAGCTGTGATGGCCATTACAGATGGAATGAGGAATCTTTCTGTGCTGAATTTGACATGAGGAGCTCTGAGCAGTGTTTGGGTTCAAAGGAACACTGGAAAAGTTAAGATCTCAGCAGGGAATTAGGTTGCTTTACTTCCTTTACCTGTTTTTTCACATTAAACTCTCCTATAAAATGTAGAGGAAATCAAAGTACTCCAGAAAAGCTTTCAGATCTATAACACTACAAAAATGAACTTGCTTCAGTATCTGTCAGTCCCTGAACTCTCCTTAAAACAAAGTCACCAAGAAGTGCAAACAGCCAACACAATGTGCATTGAACCTGATATTAAACTTCTTTATCTTGAAGACACAGGGTTTTTAGCAGTGTAACAGTTTCAGAGCATAAAATATTAATGTACACTATTAACTGCACTGTGACATTCAACATAGAAAATATTGCTTTAAATAAAAGGCACAATTTCTTTAAATCAATTCAATCTTTTTAAGATTGTGGAAAATCCTATATTCTTCCTCCTCAGTAAAGCTCATTAAATTGCAGCCCATGAGAAAGGTAAACACTAAAATACACTCTAGGTAGTCAGTTAACTGATAAAAACCTGACAGCACTATCAGAGCTGAAGTCCAGAGGCAGGTGTGTGGTAATTCCCTGAATTAAAAATAAACTGAGTAATGCATATGCAGTCAAGATGTGTGTAAGTGATTTTAAGACTCATGCTCCCAGCTCCCAGCAGAATGGAGAAAGCTTCTACAGAAAGATTTAAAATTAAGACACAAGCAGGGGTGAGGAACATACTTTGCAATTGCTATTAAGGCATCTCTCCTGGCTTCAGCAAAGCTCACATCTTCAGGGGAAATTACTGTAACTTTTTTTAGACCTTCCAAAACCTGAAAAAACACAAAGATTGAGATATATAAACCCAAAGCATTTTTTACTATATTAAATTTAGATATCATAGTAAAGTGAGTTCAATCCTGTATGAAGGAACCAAGCAGGCAGCAGAGTTTGGATTGTCACCAGGAGAGGCCTGTAAGGTTTAACACAACATCATCAGAATATAACTCAGAAATTCATATGTATTTCTCTCAGTTCTTCTTGTTTATGGGAACAATATATCTAAAAAATGTGAACAACAGGCTAAGTTTGCATCCTGTCTGGGGCAGGGTAACCTTATGGAAATACCATTTCTATGGTAGAATTGTGTCTGAGGGCAAAAAGGCCTCTGCTCTCTGCTGCAGCTTTTCAGATCCCCAAGGCACTTAGGCATAAAAAAACTAAGATCTATATTCTAAATCTACATTTCTATTTCACTTTGTGGCTTCTTGTATCTCAGTTTCTCCAGGGGTTTCAGTTCAATCCCTGTAGTAAATCTCTCTTCCCCTCTCTCTTCTCTCCTCCCTTGCACCAATATCCCATAGCAAAGGGTTTTCATTCAGCCTCTGGCTTTCCATTACCACCACTACAGCAGGACTAAACATTAATTATCAGAAACTATGGCAAACTCAACTCATGATGATTTTCTGTGCATTAGCATTCGAACCCCTTTGACAAAGACCTTTAATTATGATCATTATTATTAATTTGATTACTGTCACAGGTTTCACTCACTCATTCCAATGATCCTGTTTTCTCACCTGCTGGAGCCTGCCCTTCAGCAGAAATCTTGGAAGGGCCCCAAGAGCTCGTGAAAAGCCACAACGAATCATTTCCTCTGTGTTTTGTAGTTCTGAAACGTACTGTGTCACCAGCTCATCTGGAAAAAATACAATTGCAGAGTGAAAAGCAAGCACCACATCATTAGAATTTCATATTTGGCTAAGGAAAGAACATCAGGAAAATATCCCCTAAACAAAGCAGCTGGAAAATTTTGTAATTTGCTAAACTAAATTGTTGAATATCTTAATTTTCTACAGGAAAAGGATAAAAATTTGAAGATGTTCACTTTTACATGAATTAATACATATTTTCTGTCTAAAAATCTGACTTTGTATTTATACTAAGCCTATTACTTCAGAGAGAGAAAAGACAAACTTCTCAAAGAGCTATCAAGTTTTAGACATCCAACTAATAAGTATAAGCACAATTTTCTGGCTAAGCACAGGGGAGCAAGTTCTTTTTATATTTATAGGTCTCCATTTTTTATCATTGGGTGAGTGTTCTGTGTTAGGCAGGAGATCCCCAGGTTTGTAAATACCAGTTATTTGAACAGTTTTCCCTCAGAAAACTCCTGATTGGAGTCCTGCTTTAGCACACACACAGATCATAACTAAACAGTGAGATAATTCCAGATCATGTTTCATAAATGAAGTTGGGTGTTTGGAGGAGAAAGCTCAGGAGGAAATTTTCCATTTGGTTCTGTGTGCTGGCACAGGACACAGTGGGGACAGTGACCCTACAAACAGCAGCAGAGTCAAAAGGCACAAGAATAAACACAGAATAAACCCAGCTGGGCATGGAAAAAGGAGCCTCAGCAAACATGTAAAATTATATCAAGGAGAAAATGAGGGTGTATGGAAAAATAAAAATAGGAAAAGTCAGGAACAGGTTCACATTGCTGCTGCAGCCTTTACAGCCAATACTTCCTTTACCCAATTTTGCACATTAAACTCTCCTGTAAAATGCAGAGAAAACCAAAGCACTCCAGAAAAGCTTCTCCAAGCCAGCTGCAATAAACACAGCTCTGATTCAGACAGGAGCAAGGTGGTCTCATAAATCCCCTTACTGCACAGACACTTTTTAATCCTCCAAGAAAAAGAAGCAGAGATCCTGGGAAGATTACATAATTGTGCCAGTGCTTACTGTAATCTAAGGTTTGAATGGTTGAGCAATATTTGCTAGAGGAAGAAAGAAGAGTTGCCATAAGAAACTCCCCATTCATCATAATTCCTGACTGGTTTTATAAACCCCAATGCAATGGACAGGCCCCAGCTTGTCCCTCCCATCAGCAGCCCAGCTCCCTGGCCAGAGGTGAGCAACACCTCCAGATAAGCACATTTATTTCAAACTTTCCAAACCACCAGGGTGTTAGGAGTCCTGAGGCCAGAGGAAGATGCAGTGTTTGCTGTGACAGTGACATCTTGGGCAGTGAGGCTGTGACAGTCTCCACTCTGAGTGATGCAAATTTAAAATTGACATTTTAGCCAAATGACACAGCAATGAGACAAAACCAGCTCTTTACTTATAACCACTCAGTAATTATGGTGGAAAGTGTAATGCAAATGTTAATATTCTTCTCAGAGCCTTCAGCTTCATAAACCAACAGGGCCTATGAAGTGTCTGCAATATTAATTCCACACAACCCACCCTGGAAGGATATTAAAAGAGAAAGTCAGCAAAACCAAACCAGAACACTCTAAGGCAGGAAAACACTAAGAGAATGTCCAAACAAACAGAGGGAAAAGTAGTGATTCAATAAAACTGCAGCCTTACAAGGACAGAATCAGAATGTCAGTCTGCTAAAGCACCCTTGATTGGTGTTTTCATTTTAACCATCAAGCCACACTGAAACTCTGGTTAAATTTTACCAAAAGTTTTTGGTTTTTTCCCTAATGCCCTTGATCATGTCCAGACCTGCTTTAACTGACTTATCTAAGGCACCTGCACTGTGCTGAATGTCTCCTGCTGCAGCTTCCACTCATGCCCACATCCAGCACACACTTTTACTACTGGATTTAAATCCCACAACAGACAGGCATGAAATTTGTAAGTTTTATGGGTACAGAGATAAAATACAGTATTTTTTGTTTGTTTTTTAAAAGATGCTTGCATGTGTAATGTCACTTCTGTTATCATGTGTGGAGCAGGGTCCAGTGCAGCCAAGGCCAAATAAAAGGGTACTCAAGATAGAGCTGACCAGAGAGTTTTCTAGAACAGAAAAATTGTCAATTCACAATTCTACTTCAGAAAATCCCATGAGAAATTTTATCTGTAGGTACAAATTTGAACCCAATTGTGTACCTAGACCATCACAGCCACACTGCCATGGTCCCTCCAAGCACAAGGCAGATGAAAAGTAAACCTCAAATCCAGGAAAAAAAAACCATGAGGATTCTAAATGAATAAAGCAACAACATCTGCAGCCTGTATCCAGTAGATCCCTTCTCCTTCCTGACTTGGGCACTGCCTGAGTTTTCCAGTCCACTTTTACAGAAACTTGAAACTTCATCCTTACATAAAATTTGCCCTGTCACCTTTTCAACTCGTTTTTAGTTTATTTGCTTTGACTCAGCATTGCCTCCTCCTGCCCAGCACATTCTGGTTTTACACATGAACCTTTCCTGAGCTTGTGGGGATTTTATCTGCCTTGGGACCAGATCACATCTTCCCATGCTGCCCACAAAGCATCTGGCAGGCAGGGCCAAACTCCAGCAGGCAATTCTGGAGTTTGGAGGGGGGTTTTGTTGTTTTTTTTGTTTGTTTGTTGTTTTGGTTTGGTTTGGGGTGTTCTTTTTGACAAAAATGTAAAGATTTAGCACTACATAAAGTATTTTCAAATCAGGATAGGCCACTTTTATAGTTCAGCCCTAATGTCTTTGGGGCATGGAAAATACATATGTGCTCAATATCAACATCATTTTGGGAACATCTCTAAGATAAATAAATAATAGGCATTTTGTTACCTGATTTAATAATGATAAGAAATAGAGAAAGAAATCAATCTTTTATTAAGATATGTCAGTTCGCTGTCATATTTAGAAAAACAAAAATATAAATGTTGTTATTCTTAAAATATTTATCTGTGCAACCCAGCAATTTGTCTCTGATGGACATGATACAATCTGATCCCTGAAAAGAAGACAGGTACAAGAAAAGCAGTATAAATAAAGATGCTGATTCATCTTTAAGCCCTAAGAGAAGTTTAAGCCTCCTTCTGTCCTGCTGATCCAAAAATAAACACATGCACATTTACCAGAACTCTGGCTGTCCTTTTCTATCCTTTCCTTATCCTTCAGCAATTCTCCTGTAAATCAGCCATGATCTCTGGCAGAGTTTATTAAAATAGGATGTGGAAAAGATTCACTTTGTTAAAACTTCGGATTTTAGAAATGCATAATCATTGGGGTTTTTTTGTTTTACAGTATGGAACAGAAAAGTAAGATAAATTTGCCTCATTATTGTGGTACCTTCTGCTCATCTCCAGTCTAAAGGCAGCATTTACAGAGGAAATGAAACATTTCCTACAATTCCAGTTGTCCTTTTTCAGACAACTTTCAGCTGCCAGTTATTTTTTCCTGAAGAATTGTTGTTTTAAACCCAGTGCTGCCCTTCCTTGTTCTGTCCAATCCCTCCAAAGCACAAGTTTTGTCCAGCCCAGCACTCTGTGCCCCTGTGTTAAACATGAATCATTACCCTGCAGAGCTGGATCAGCTTCTCCCCTCTCGTTGATGTAAAATTCATTGCACAGAGCAGCCAGTGCAGACACTGCAGACTCCTGCAACAAAGGCACAGAAATGCATTTACTCACTTCATATCTTAAAATTTTAAAGGAAAAATCAAGTGGATTAAAAAAAAATTCTTTTCAGATACTGGCATTTTCCTTCTTGTTATTTCTTCCCAACAGTGATTTAGCAAGGAAACTTATGTAAGGAAAAACCAGATTTTATCTTATTCCTTCAATATGACCAGTAAGGTAAATTAGCATTTAAAACAAGAACAGTAACGTATGAAATGTATTTTCAGTTCAGATGAAAGACCTCCAGGATGACACAGCATCACAAAGCACACAAGTCATTATTCCACCTTATTTCATATATATCCATATACTGATGTCAGATTGACAAGAAACAAACCCTATTTCCCCAGGGAGCTACAGAAAGGAAACACAGAAAAGAACATGGGCTGAGGGTTATAAACAAAGAAGCCCAAAGATCCAGAATCCCAGGCTTTGTGTCCTAATCTTAACTGGCTTAAAAAAGGATAAATGGTTGTGCATCATAACTGAGCCTCCTCATTTTTAGAGAAGTTTCAGTCACTGATACAGAACACAAAATAACTTAGCTGTTATTTCAGAAAGCACAGAATAGAATTTGTAATAGAATACATAATATAATAGAATTTATGGCTGAATTATACTTTTCAGCTGATAATATAATGTTACCCAAAATTATAATAAATGTGAAAGCACACAACAGCTATGCATTGTTCACTTCATGTTAACAGCACAATACCTATTAACACTCATGTTCTCCAGGTACAAGGAATCTCAGCTGTAACACAGAAATCCTGCCCAGCTGATTCATTCTGCCCTCAAAGACACCTCAGACAAGTTCTCTATGCAAAATCAAGGGAAGAAAACCAGCACTCACCTAAACAATATTCTATCTACCACAGGGATAACAGTAGCAAAATATGCAGAATTATCCAACTGCTGTAGATCAGGGACCTTTAAAGGCCAAATTATCCAAGCTCTGCCATGGGCAGGGATGCCTGGGACCAGACCAGACTGCTCAGATATTTCACTTTCTAAATGAAATGGTTTTCACCTTAAATGTAGGAAGTTAAACTGGAAGAGAATACTGTATGATAGGAAAAAAAGATTACTTTGCAACATCTTAAGCATTGCCCTTACAATTATTTCTCTCTAAAACAGAAGCAGAAATAAGTGAGAATTGCCATTTACACTTTGTTTGGCTTTAGGTGATGTTTACCAAACAAGTTAAAATTCTCTATGGCCTATAATTAATTCTTCTTAAGCTTTTAATTTAGAAGTTCCAGTTATAAGACATAGCAGCACTTTGAATAAAATGTTAATACCAAAAGAATATCCTAAGAATTCAAATTTCTTTTTTAAATTTCCTTCAGTGATTTGGATATAACTCCATTCTCCTCTGTGTCCCAAGGAAAGCTTTAAAAGATGAGGTGTGAGATACCTGGAATGTCTTTTTATCTTATTACTAACACCTAACACAATGAACACAGTGTGCTAAATTCAGATTGGCTGTAAGCTCTAGCAGGGCAGACAGAAATTGCCTTTATAATTCAGCAGAGATCAAACTGCCATGGGATTTCTTGGGAAAATTAAGGTGAATAACTGGAGGTGTTAAGATGGTGTAAATAAAACAGCATGAGGCACATCCATCAATGGATTTAATATTCAGAATCAGAGCACTCTGAGAGCACAGAAAAAGGATTTGCAGCAGAGTTGAATGAAAATTTAAGCTGCTTGTCCTGAGTAACTCTGGTAACTCACAGCAAAGCTCACAGGGTACCTGTGGACATCATCCAGAGTATTTTTAATTGTCACTAGAGTTCTCTGAAACCATATATATTACAGGTACACCAAAACAGAAGCAAAACACCTTCTAAATAAAACCACAGAGCCACCAGGGAGCAGCTTCCAGCACCATGTCCAGAAGTACAGACAGGAACAACCATTGGGATAACTGCTCAAGTATTAATCAGAAAGGTCCACTGGAATCTGGAGGAATTCAAAATGCACTTTTATAAATACCCCTTCTCACACATCTAAGAAACATGCATTCAAGAACCAATAAGATGCCATGGATATTCCACCAAAGGAAAGCAAAAGTATTTCTAATTTTGTATTTCTAATTTCTAATTTCTAAAATTTCTAATTTTGTATTTCATGTGACCACGTGAAGGAGGAGAAATTCTTGTACCTTTATATGCTGTCGTGCAGCACTGGAAACAAGAGTGAGATGTCTTAGGCTGTCATTTATCAACCACTGCCAACCACCTGCAACAGCAAAGAACACAAACAGCTTGAACTTTTCTTACTTTCTGAACCTCAATATTCTCTATTTAATTTTTCCATAGACCAGCAATTACACAGATCAACCTGTATCCTTGGTTTTCCAACCTGAACAAGGCTGTGACTCCCAGTAGAGGTGCTCCAGTCTGAATTACCATGTCCACAGTGACCCCCTCCATGCCTGGTGATGCTGAGGACTGCACATTTTATTTATTGTCAACAGCTAAAAACCAAATCTTCAAACTGCATCAGCATCTGCTGCAGTATTTGTCTATATTTTTGGAATTTTTTAAAATGTGTTATACCAGCTGACCCCATTAATTTTGAAATGCATAATTTCTTAATACTTTAATTTAGTGAATAGTTACCACAGTCATGGAAGGTTATTTAAAATAGGACTCACCAATTATTGGATCTCCTCTAAATGGCATTTTTGATAGTGACAACTTCTCAATTAAAGTGCAGACTGTAAGAAAATAAGTTTGATAACAAGATCAATACCTCCCAGAAAAGAGAAATCGTAGCGATTTTGAAGAGACAAGCACAGGAAGTTACATCAGCATTAATTTTAACAATATTTGCAAATAGATATTCAAACTAAGGGAAATTAAAAACTGGAAGGAAATGACATTTGCACAGAAATCACTAGGATGCAGTAACTGTCTTCTGACATGAGTTACTCCCATCAATTCTGCAAATCCCTTGTTTGGGGGGACGTTTTCCCCCTCTGCCATTCAAGGTGTGCACACACATATCAGCCCCTTTTTTTGTTCTACAGCCTAGAAATGGCAGTGTAGCATCATTGACAGTAAACAACTGAGACAAGGATAATACTACAGCCACTAAAAACTATTCAAAAATACATGACAGGTTTTCCTACCTCTTATTCACATTGTTTTTGAACCTCCAAGGAGTGGCATTTGTTCACTGCACACAGCTGGGAGCTATGAAACTGGATGCAACTTTATTTCCTTTGATACTTGGAATATATGAGCACATCCTTTTCATAATAAAGCCCTTATTATTTTTAATCTATAAACTTATTAGAGTTCTAATGCTTACAAACCCACTTTGAGAATTATATTTTTTTTAAATGTTTTGAGGCTTTTTTGGGGAATGGAGATTAGCACAGTAAACACTGCAAATTTCATCTATGAATTTAAGAGAGTTGTAATGCTTACAAACCCACTTTGAGAATTATATTTTTTTAAAATGTTTTGAGGCTTTTTTTGGGAATGGAGATTAGCACAGTAAACACTGCAAATTTTCTGTCCAACAGATTGAATGTATTGCTCAAATGAACACTCAGCACTGGGGGAACACCATTATCTTTCAGCTCCTGAGGTTCAGCTCAAATAAATGAGATTGGTCCAGCTCCATGTCCCTGCCTGGCTGCTTTAGGGTTGGTGGAGAGGAGAGAAAGGACAGAAGAAGGTGCAAAATAAAATAATGCCATTGTTTTGTTTTCCTCTCCTCCCACAACCTGATTTTTGACTCTTCCTCTGGGCTCTGTACACAGCTCATCCTCCATTTATAATCAACTTACTGGGCTCCAAATCTACTCCTGAACTCACTCCTCACCATGGCAATGCCACACAGAATCCTCTCAGTACCATGTCAGCTTCTCTGTGCTGATATTTATTCACAGGCAAGTGCAATGTGACTAAACCCAAGTCTCTTGGGGTTCCTCCTTAGCTCTCTGCACTTCTTTGTGCTCTCTTGTGGTTGAGACCATCATCTTCATTAGACATGCAGGCAATTTGTGGAACATTTTCAATTCTTCTCTCATTCCACCTACACACTCCTATCATGCCAAAATACTGCCATTTGTATTTCTCCAAAACCATAAAACGTTCAGCTGCTTAAAAGCTAAAACATATCACAAAACCCTATTCCTTCAGCTTGCATTTTTGTGTCAAATCTCACTCAAATCCCCCTTCTCTTCCACCTCAGTGCTGGAGCACTTTCACCCACGAGGTCTGGATGGTTTCAGACCTTCCAAGCTGGAATCTGCTCTGCAGCACTTCCTTCATTCAGCTCACAAGCAGGAAACCAAGTTGGCATCATTTCCTCATCCACCCAGCCTGCCTCTTCCTGCAACACCCTTCCTTTTTTCAGCTCACAACAATCTTCCAAATCCATCTTTTCTGTGGTGCCACACTCCCCACTGACTGTTGTTTATTTGGTCTTTGTGCTTCACTTCTGTGCACACGTGTGTTATGATAAAATCATGATTTCCACCATGGCTTCTGTCTAAAAGTGCAGATTGTATCTCTTCTGGAGAGGAATTGGAGTAAATCACTGAAAGAAGACAGTTCAACCCTGAAAAAACTCCACTGTGTGCAAGAGCAGAAGAACACAGTGTGACACAGAGCCCAGAACCATCTCCAGCTCTTACACAGAGTTATTCCAAGTGCATTGGTTATTATTGACACCCCATGTCCTGCTGCACCCATCTGCTGATTGGCCTCCAAAGTTCATCTTTTCTTAATTACTGTGCAGACTTCACTTACACATTCAACACAGCACACACAAAACAAACTGGAAACACAACAACAACAGCCAAACTCCTCCGAGCCCCTCAGGGGCTGGCCCAGCCCAGCCTGTACTTACCAGCTGGTCTCATCAGCTCTCCACCTAAACCCCTGCAAAGCAGAAACAGCCTTCAGAGATCAACCACCACAGGCAACCCGTGCACACTGCCCATTGTGAGCCAAAAAGCACCTCAAGAGCATTTCAGAATGAAAGCAGAGCACAAAATACCCACAGTTTTGTGTTTGATCAACTCTGCTTCCTTTTACACCAACTTTTCTTGACTTCAGCGTGATTAATACAAACCTCTCCTGAATATTAAGCTTTGCTCTTGCAAAAATGCACTCCCAGTCCTCCTAATCTTTAATGTGAATAACAAAAAGACTGTCAAGTTCATTTTGTTTTCTTTTCACTTGCTTCAGGAACATTCCAAACCCATGAGATTGGCCCAAGGACTTTCCAGTCATGCAGTCTCTACCAGCTTCTGATTTCCACAAATGAAAAGGAACTACATGCAACTTGTAAATAAAATCATCATCTCTGTAAAACTAAGTAGAAACTTCCCTTCCCAGTTCCCATTTTCACATATGTTAACTGGTTTTCTCCCCTGGTGAGATTTACCACCCTTCTCCTTTCCTGCTCAAGCCCCTCCCAGGTGATTTTGTGTTTATCACCACAAGAAACACATCAGCAAAGGGAGAGAAACAAATGGCTCCAGCTACTTCAGACCCTCCTGGGGTAAAGCTGTGTTCCTCAAGGATGGCTTCACCAGCTCAGACCTCAGCCCAGTTCCTCTGTCTGAACAGGAGCCTGGCCAGTAACAGCACTGGGAGGAGAAAATCTGAACTGGGCAGAAAGCGGGGAGAGGGAAAATCATCCTGGAAATGGCAGGGTCTGTTTGCACTCTTGGGCTTCTCCTGGCCCCAGTGAGCAGAGTCTGCTGCTTGCCTGCATCCCCAGCCCCAGGCAATGCCTGAGGGGTTTCCCTCAGTGTCACCTCTGTGGCTTCACTGCTCCACTTTGTGAACCTTTGACCTCCCCTTCCTTTGGATATTTCCTCCCTTGACTCCTCATTGTCTGCCTTCACTTCTGCTGGAATATTTCCTCCCTGAGGTGTGCCAAACCCTTAATCACCTGTTTGCATGTCCATGCTCGGGCAGAAACTCCCAGCAAGGGCAGCAACAACAAAAACCTGTTTATGTGCTTGTTGTTTTTTGTTTATTTTAAACATTTTCTTCCCTCCTCTCCTCCTCCCTCCCCACAATAAAATGAGTAGCTGTGCTCAGAAGGCCAGGTTAGCAATCCTAACAGCTCCTACAACTTTGTTCTCCAGTTCATCCCTTTGCATGAGCTTCAAAAGCCTGAACATTTTAAACAGGTTTTTCCATTCCACATGAGGAGGTCCCTTCTGTAATATGCTCTGGGTTTCTGACTGCTCAACAATTTCACTGGTGTTTCAGGGAACACAGAGATGCCAACTCCACAATATTCTCATTTGCCATGGGTCAGCACTTCCTTTAATTGAGAAACTTTTGCTTTCCACAATCAATATAGATTAGGCTTAATTTAATAATCCCAGCTCAGTTTATCATTGTAGGAAGCAAGCAGAGATTCTACATCCTCGTGCTGATAAGGTCTGTGTATTGTCTACCCCACCTTCCTGCCATGCTGTCTGCTCTTCAGCTTCTAAAAAATTTAAATTAGAAAACAAAAAAAGTGATGCAAGGAGTCGAGACAGCAGCAAAAGCAGGTGACTGATGTGGCAAGCCTTGCTTCCTCTTCCACACTTCTTCTCCCCTTCATTTTCCCTTCACCCATTCCTTACCTTGCTGCAAATGAGTATAAAATAATCACCTTGCAAATGTGTTTGGTGTGCAGCAGAGTCTGCTGATGCAGGCATTCAGATATGGCCTGTTCTGCTCCAACTACAAAGCAAAACTGACTCACAAAGGCTGCTCCTCTCCATTTCCTCACACTGCCAAGAAGGAAGTCAGGCCACTCCAAGCTGTGCTGATGGTAATAATTTGAGTGCTACCCCTTCCTCTGGCGTTTCACCAACCCCACTCAGTTCAGAGCCTCTCTGAGGATTGCTGTCCCCATACAAGAATGCAGAAAGGTGACAGGGATTTGCATGGCCACTTTTCCACGTGGCACAAACTCCAACCCAGTCCCTCTTGGTGGCACCATGACCTGAGTGTGCTCCTCTGCAAAGCTCCCTGAGTTGGCTCTTGCTCAGACACTCTGTGTGTCCACCAATAAAGCTAATTTTGTTCTCCCTTTCCACAGCTCACCCATATTTCACTTTTAAGAACCAAAAATTCTATCATAACCCAAGATCTTTCCTCAGCCAGTGCTTGGTTTGTCAAACATGATGCACATCTTTCTATTAACTTTATCTCACTCCACAGTATTTCACTAAATTAAAAAGATACGGATCTACCTAATTCAGAGATTCTGAATTTTGCTGTACAGTCAGTATTCCTTCTTTTTTATTCCAAAGACACATCCACAAGTTGCATCACATTATTAGATGTACCTGTTTCAAGCTTTAATTATTAATTCAATTTGCAAATTGACTGATGCAGTGCCCAGGCCCCACAAGCTCCTGAGCATTCCTTCCTGTGTGCAGCTCCCCAGCAATGCTTCTCTCCTGGAAACATCCTGGGATGAGTCACAATGAACGTGTGGAAAATAAAATATATAAACCCTTGCAGAACTGAGGAATTAACATTACTGACCTAAGAATGACAGAAGCTATTTTATAATTACATTGCCTTGAATCAGAACCAGTGACAATGCTGTTCTCAGGGCATAAAGAAGTTCAAAGTACTTTTGTGTATTTATTTTTTTTAAATTATTTTAAGCCTGCTGCTTTTTGTGCAAAAGCCAGAATTCCTCTTTAAGATAATAAAAATAGCATTAAGTGAAGCTGTTTAGGATTGAAAAGCATCTATGTTTTCACAGATATTCAAATCTGAGGTTAGAAGTACTGGAATAGCTGAAGAGATTCAGTTGTAAATACTGGATTTTGGGAAAGCTGAGAACACATATTTCACCTCCACATGAACAGCAACCAAGCATTTTCCTTGGGAACTCTTTGTCCCAAATAGAACTGAGGTATCCTTAAAGGCCCAGGTTGCACATTCCCTGGGTTTTGGAGGTACAGAATGGCTTTATCAGAGGGTTCACCAGGGGGAAAGGGAAACCCCTGGGCACAGCTGAGTAGATTAACAAAGCTTTCATGGCCAGCCCTTCTGGATGCACAGAATAAACCACCCTGACATGAGAAACATCAAGGTTTAGGCTACTGTAAATTCCTATGCCACGCTGTATTCTAACATCAGAATGCTACAGGTGAAATCCTGTCTCTATGGAAGTAAAAGTTTGTAGCAGAAGAATTTCACCTTGTAGCTCTTCAGAGGACAGTGCAGCAGGATCTCCCAGAGCCATGCAGGCCCTGGATGCATAAAACCCTCTGAACCTGGAGCAACTGTTAAGATGAGCTTTGTTGCAAAGCTGGAATTCTTTGCTGATTAAGCTCATATGCCTAAAAAAAAACCAAACTCTTTTAGGCAGATGCGTGCCAAGAAACACATTTGCCCTGAAACCATCCAGATCAGTTACAACCTTCAAGGTCTTTGAAATGAGCTGAGTTTCTCTCTTGCCCAGCACCTGTCAACACCTGCAGGCTCCCTTCCTCCGCTGGAAACGCCGAAACTCCCAAGGTGCCGCTTCCCCTGACCCTGCCTGCCTCTCCGAGCTCCTAAATCTGCTGGGCTGCCACAGCTGACGTGCTGCAGAGGCAGGGATGAGCTCAGAGCAAGGCTGGCTGTGCGGCACGTCGCGGGCGCGGCGTGGGAGGCGCTGCCCAACGTCCCGGCACATCCAGCTGGGGTGGAAGCCTGCAGGGCTGGAGCAGCATCTGCTGAGACACAAAGTGCACTGCAAGCACCTGCAGGCAGCCCTGCACTGCCAGAGCCACTCCTCATCTGCTGGCCGTTCAGGCTTCTGCAGTCAGACTCAGAAGTGGCTACAAGGAAGAGAAAAAATATTCTGAACCGTGGGAATGGGAGAAACAGAAACTTCTACAGGCACTGAAGAGTTTGATCTGTAAAAGTTGGATTGATGTGAAAATGCAATGCACAGATATTAAGCAGAAAAATCATAAACTTATGTTTCCATAGTTGTAAGGAAGAATATGCCATAAGTAAGTGAGAAATGTAGCCATGATATTTTCTGAAAAATCTTTTCCTTAGAATTTTTCCTCCTGAGAAGCTGAGAAGCCTCAGGAACAAAATGTAAACAATGATTATCTGCTGCTGTGGAATGCAACAGGTGCATCTGGGATTGGGCTCATGTGGTTGTTTCTTATTAATGGCCAATCACAGCCCAGCTGGCTCGGACTCTCTGTACAAGCCACAAGCCTTTGTTATTCATTCCTTCTTTTCTATTCTTAGCCAGCCTCCTGATGAAACCCTTTCTTCTATTCTTTTAGCATAGTTTTAATATAATATATATCATAAAATAATAAATCAAGCTTTCTGAAATATGGAGTCAGATCCTCATCTCTTCCCTCATCCTGGGACCCCTGTGAACACAGTCACAGAGAAACTGTATTGATCAAATGCTGAAGGGTTTATAATGTAGGGGTGGGGTTGTATGCAACAAACCAAGAGTTTAGAAGCTATAACAGAAACATATGTGTGCCTGTGAGTTAGAAGCCCATTGGATAAAAGCATCCACAGTGCAGAAGAAGAAGTAAAGGTGATGGGTTAGGAAAGTAAAATCAACCCTGTGGCAGCTGCCTATTGGTTTAGAAAGTTCTGTATTGCCTTGTAACAAAGAACTTGTGACTACTCTTGAGCTATGGCCGATTGCCTGCTCCTCTAAAACCTCACTGCCTCTGAGAGTGATGTTTATCTGAGCAAGAAATTGTTCTTCGCTTGAAAATATTCCATCCCTTCATCTCTAGCAGTGACAATAATACTGAACATCTGTTCCAGAACCTCAGAGCAGATGAGGCAGGTTCAGAGAATCTTAACACAACTACTACTAAAATACTGTTTTCTTGAAGATTTTTCATATTATTGAATCAGAGAATTATTTAGGTCAGAAAAGACCTTCATAAGATCATTGAATCCAACCACTGGCAAGACCAACCTAACCCATGTTAACATGTCTTTTAAACCTTTAAAAACCTTTTAAACTAAAATACTTTTAAGAAGTCTTTTGTGTTAAAACCTTTTAAAGCAAACCCTTATAAAAAGATCTTTTAAATGTCTTAAAACCTTTTAAACTAAACCCTTTCTATTATGTCTTTTAAATCCAGGTTTTCTAGATGGTAAAACCCAGGGATGGTGACTGCACCACTGCCCTGGTTACCTGTGCAAGTGTTGCATAAATCTTTGAGTGAAGTATTTTTTTCCAACACCAATTTAAACCTTTCCTGGTGCAGCTTAAGGCCATCTCCTCTTTCCCATCATTTGTTACTTGAAAGAAGGAGTGTTGAGAATGAGTCCAAGGTCTCAGATGCACAATAGAAATAGATCTGCTACAAAAAAAGCAGCTACTAACCATGCTGGTGCAGTGGAAGCAGAATGGAAATCAGGCTGGCTACTGACTGTGTTTAAACCAGCAGAGTGATTTCCTAACCCAGGTAACACAGCTGAAGGCAACAGATGCCACAAGTTTTCATCTTAGGCTTTTATATATAAAAATACCATTTCAAACAAATAAAACACAGCACAATTTTTGTAACTTCATAACCTGCACAGCCCTAAAACAGGCACAGGAGGCAGATGCTCTACAGGGCATGGTTTGCATTTGCCTTGGTGTAACCTCCACACAGAAACCCAGAAACTCCTGCTCAACCCCCAGCTGGAAGTGCACATGCAAATGTTCCAAGCAACCAGCTCCTCCAGACAAACCAGCGCATCAGATGTGTCAGGATCAAGGCTAATGGCAGGAAATACACTCTGATGTGCCTGGACTTGCAGGCTCCTTTGTACTATGGTAAAACCAGAGAGGACTTCTGCACAAGGACAGAAAAATATTTGTATTAAAAAAAAAAAAGGTAATATGGTAGAAGATGGGATTTTCTACAATTAGCATAAATAAATTTGAATGCTCCGAGTATATTCAACACTGGCTGCAGTAGAACTTAAAACAGGATTGTGTAAAGGACAATTCATGGCCATTTGTCAAAATCAGGTTAAAGATGGTGCAAGAATTGCTAAACAAAGTAAGATGGTAGAGCAGCTCTATGCATGTCTCCATTCCAGCACTTTGGTTTTCTCTTGTCTGACTTGAGGTCCTTAGGGATTCAACAGACTCAGACAACCAAGAAACTCATGACCCATTTTCCAGCTTAAAATTTATAAACTGCAACTTTGTAAAAAAATATTTTAACAGCCCCAAAATCCAGCATTTCTACCCTTTATTTCCTTTTCCCTTTCTCAGAGGGCAAGAAAATTCCCTAGAAGAGCCTGATCAAAGCATTAAAATCCCTTCAGTCCCTGACAAGGCTGTTTAGTGGACACAAGTGAAAGCAAAATATCTAATAAACAGCTGAGACATGTGGCCAGATGCTCTTTGTTAATACAGTTAAAAATTCTGAAATACAAATAAAAAACATAGGTTTTCAACATTCCTCCAAGATGTTTTTTAACACTGAAAATTCCCGGTAGCAATTTCTCAAATGGAAATCTTTGGAATATTATGTGCAATAATTACTCATCATGAAACAAGTTTGGCTTGTTCCACTAAATGCTTGCCCAGCAACACTCAAATTGTTGGTTTGTTTTTATAACCTAGTTTATTTTTCTTGTCCCATTTTCAAATATTTTATGCACACTGATATTTTACAATATGGATTAGGGCAGCCATCTCTGTCTCAGCTAAGTATGAGAGCAAACAGCAGTGAATCAATCCTGCTTGGAGCTGAATTCGAACTCTTATCTAGAACAAAAACATTTCTGTAGGCATCTTATAAATACCATTAAGAGCAAGAAGTGCACATTATGACAAAAACAAATTACACCCAAGCTCCACCCTGACATTAAAGAATTTATGGAAGCCAAGAGAGCCACCCACAAAGACATGAATATACAGTATCAGCACTAAGCCTATCCAGCAGCCCAAGCTCACTCAGGGCTGGAAGTGCCATATTTTTCTAAATGACCCCTCCAGAAGTAAATTTTATCATTTTTCCATAAAATTTCATGATTAAAAAGCTTGCATAAAAATTTTTAATCTATAATTAATAATTACATTAAAAACTAGTTCAGGTTTACTGTTTTCAGGGAAGGCACGTGTGAAGAAATGAGCTAAAAATGACCAAAAAATGTTGTCAGTTAAAGGAGGAAAAACCCTCACCTGCATATACAGTTATTAGGGACTACAAGTCATTATGATTTCATTTCCTTAACTTTAGAATCAAACTCTGAAGTCACACACCAGTTTTAATTCACATTTACTTAACAGTTCCTTAAGCAATATCCCTTAATTTCCTGGAAGCTTCATCAAATAGGAAATTGAAAACAACTTAGTGAAAACTCATTTACATTTTTCATTGTCGCAAGAGTTGAAAAATTGCCCTGAACGTTTTGCAATGCTCCTGTCCTGCTTGTCACACAGGATGGGGAAAGGAATTCTGGAACTCAGAGAGAAGCTGACAGGAAGGGAAGAGGGAAAATGGGGGAAAAAAGGGAAAAAGGTGGGGGGGAAGGGGGGAAAAAGGGGGAAGAAAAGAGGGGGGGGAAAAGGGAAGAAAGGGGGGAAAAAAGAGGGAGGGAAGGGGGGAAAAAAGGGAAGGGAAGGGAAGGGAAGGGAAGGGAAGGGAAGGGAAGGGAAGGGAAGGGAAGGGAAGGGAAGGGAAGGGAAGGGAAGGGAAGGGAAGGGAAGGGAAGGGAAGGGAAGGGAAGGGAAGGGAAGGGAAGGGAAGGGAAGGGAAGGGAAGGGAAGGGAAGGGAAGGGAAGGGAAGGGAAGGGAAGGGAAGGGAAGGGAAGGGAAGGAAAGGAAAGGAAAGGAAAGGAAAGGAAAGGAAAGGAAAGGAAAGGAAAGGAAAGGAAAGGAAAGGAAAGGAAAGGAAAGGAAAGGAAAGGAAAGGAAAGGAAAGGAAAGGAAAGGAAAGGAAAGGAAAGGAAAGGAAAGGAAAGGAAAGGAAAGGAAAGGAAAGGAAAGGAAAGAAGGAAAGGGACAAGGAAATGGAAAAGGAAAAGGAAAAGGAAAAGGAAAAGGAAAAGGAAAAGGAAAAGGAAAAGGGAATGGAAAAGGGAATGGAATTTAAGGCTCCTTAGTTCAAGGCCAGTTCTGCAGCTCCTTATGAACCCTCTGCAGACAAAGCACCTGAGGGACTGGGGTGGGTGTCACTAATTGTACAAAACACCCCCCCTTTCCCAGATCCTGGTTTCATTCCCTTTAACTGACATTTTCCAAGATGAAAAATGATGGGTTTGCATCTTTTTCTTACCTGTACAACTGACGACTGCAAAGCTGGGGGGGGAAAAAAAAGTAACACATATTTTAATTGAGTTTGGTTGATCCAAGTATTTTCATTTTTCCCCTCACATGCAATGCCATGTACTGTGAGCTGTGCAAAACTTCAGTTAATTTAAAAAATAAAATTCAAACCAAAACCTCTTTAAAACAACTTCTCTATATCCATTTGAACTTTGTTTTCAAAAAAAACAAAACAACTTAACACTGACACACTGATTTCCTGAATTCCAAACCCAAGCTGCTCCTGCAAATACCCTGGAAGCAAGTTTGGCTTTTAAAATTAGATTTGCTTTCCACCACTGGCCCTTTCAGAATGATGATAGACTTCATTGTCTGATCACTGAAAATAACTTTGGAAGCTACAGATTGAACAGAAAAAACCTAAACAAGGGCTTAAATGTGACTGAAAAATCTTACTTCATTCTTAATGTTACAGCAAGCCACTGTAAAAAATCAGATTGTCACATTTCTATGTAGTAAAAGCCAAAAAACCCAGATTATTTAAAATTGAGATTTTATGCAACTGTACCATAACAACTTAAGGCCACTGTAAGTGCAGAGATGTGCTGACCCAGCTTTCAGGCACCTCAGCATGAGAAAGGTAAATGAGGACAAAGGTGCTTTTTCAACCTGTGGCAGCAGCTCTGAGCTGTGCCCAGAATTAAAGAGGCACCTGTGGATTTTGGTGGGTGAAGGGTGAAGTCTGCCAGCACATCAGAACTGGCACTAAAGGTCCTGCAGATCCTCAGCAGGAGCCTGAGTGCTGGAATATTGTCTGGAATATTGGAATATTTCATTCCATGCTGGGATGAAAACCCAACACCTTGGGAAGACTGAAACTGAAAGGGAAAAATTAAGCAAAATTCTCTGCACAGAAGTATTTGGAAGTGAGCAGGAAAAGGTTTCATCTGGCATAGACAGAGATACAAACAATGCATCAATGGAAATGCAGAATATGACTTTTGACAGCTATAAACAGGAAATTATGGATGCAGGGACAAGGAATGGGCTCTCTAAATGTCCCCTGAGCAGTTCCCCCACAGCCAGTCAGGATGGATGAAGGGAGAGCAAAGACAGAGGGACAAGGAAGCAAACAAGCCCTGAGGCATTTCAGAAATGTCATCTCCAGCTTCAGAGCTGGGGGCTCAGCAAGAGGCAGAGGAGCCCCCAGTGTCCCTGTGCAGACACAGGGACCAGCACAAACAGCTGTCCCAGGGCCTGGGGTGGCCAAACCACCAGCACCAGGCTCACCCTTGGCACAGGGCTGGGCAAGGTGGGCAACAGCTGCCTTGATTGTAAATCCTTGTTAAAAATCATGCAGCATTCCAGGTTAAAAATAGGTTTATGCTGGCTACAAACCTCTTGGTGAATTTGCTTGAGCCCCTCCAATGATTTTTCAGTGAAATAGTATGTAACAGATCTGTAAAAGTATACAAAGCTGTTAATACAGATTTCCTCATCATGCTGTAAATAATTGTTTTTCCATAACAGCATTGTACTTTCAAACAAAAAACCAATCATTTGATTTTCAAATTATGCTCCACAGAAATATGCAATATTTATTTTTAAGTAGTACAGCAAACATAACAACATAAACTCTTTCCTCATCATACAGAAAACTATTCCAAAACCCTTATAAAAAATCAGTGTCACTTCTAATAACAGCCTTTATATTATATATATATATATAAAACAGGCAATTATAGTTGCCAATACACTGATAACTCTTCTCAGCTTAGTTGTATTTTTAGACTCCACCACTTCTGTGATTTTTCCACCTATTTCAAGTACTTCCTCCTACTAAAAATGATCTGTCTGTTTTTCTTGAACACATTCTTCTGATGGACACTGCTGGTAAGTGTCTGTGTAAATATACAGACATATTTTATATAAACCTGGACCAGCAATCATAATCAGTCTAACTCCATGAGCTGCTTGAGGAGGTTTTTCTTCAACCCTGAAGACAAAAGACTACCCAGGATGACAGCACACTTATAGGGAAAGAGGAATTAATCTGTATTTAACTGATCAATTCTCCAAGTAAGGCAGCAAAGGATCTGTCTTTCCTAATTATGAATTTAAGACTGAAATCTTAAATCACTGAATAAAACGTGAAAGCTCAGCATCACTCATAAAAACAAACAAAAATTCAATGGAAACCCAGTTCAGTGAGATGAAGATTTCCATAATTATACTCAGGAAGTTTTTAATAGAGCAGACATGAAAGGAAAATTTATAGTCTAGATAATGTTGCATTAATACCTATTATTGTCTTGTGCCAGTTTACACAGAGCATGGGTGATCTCAGCACAGGCAAGGATTGCCCCATGGCGTGTGTGCAGATCTGAGCCCACTGATAAAGGCAGAAGTCTTGGCAAAACTGAAAGAGATTAAATAATTAATTTATTCTTTTTTAAACAAAGCCTAGTGACATATCACAGCTCTCAATGTAATTTTGCCTGCCTAGAAAGAACACTGGAAAAGCATTTCTGTAACGTGAAGTATCCTGGCGACTTTGTGAAAAACAAGTTTTAATGAATTAAATTCTGACATATCACACTGAGCTATTTTGTACTCCCAACCTCCTCCTGGCTGGAGCAAATAAAATAAATAAAATAAATTACTGTTGGGCACTGAGCTGGCTGAGCAGCCAGGGAACCGTGTGGGATTTGATTTCCATGCTCAGTGGAACCTTCCTGGGCCACGACAGGAGCCAGGCAAGGTCTGCACTGCAGCTGCTCAGGGGCTGGGCACTGCCTTCAGCCACATGGAAAATCTGCCAGGGTTTTCCAGATCTCAGGAGGTGCAATGGGCTCAGCAAAGGACCCTGGGCTCATGCTAAGAAACATCTGGTTCCACACACACAGTCAGAAAGGAATTCTACTGCAGGTGTCAGGCTGGACAAGACAAAACAGATCCCCCACCCTTTCCAACATCAAAGCAAGAGCTGGGAATTTGAGGGGCAGCTGCTGACACAACTGCACCCATTTATTCACCTCAGAACCAGCAGAGTCCAGTGCAGCCAGCTATCAAAGGCCCCAGCTAAAAACCAACCTAGCAGTGATTTATAATTTTTGCATAAAACCTAAAAATGGGTAAAGCCATCAGAGTGAATACACTGTATTAAGTGGCAGGGGGAATCTTAATTTTTATGAAGTAGATTTATTAGTTCTTTGTAGGTTTGTCTTGCCTAAGCTCAGCCTGGCTGGGCAGAGCTCAGCTGGTACCTACCCACATTTGCCATGTACTCAGGGGCCTGGGGAGTGATGTTATGCAGAGCTTTGGTGGAAAGTTCTCGAATAACACTGTAAGAAAGCATTGCTGAGGGTTAGCAAGTCAGCAGAAGCAATGTGCTAAGAAATGAATGTGAGCAAGGGACTTCTGCCCCCAATCAAAACAAATATTCAGAATTACAGTACTCCCTGTCCATCCTATGTTTCCCCCTGTAAAAATGCCAACAAAACTAAAGAGCAGCCAGCCTGAAAAGGACTCAAAGAGAAAAGGAAAAACACCAGTGGGGCTGGTGGGACCTGAGGGCTTGTTCTGGGCACTGGCAGGGACAGTGCAGTGAGCTGTGATTATTTCTCATGATGCAAACTCTGATCAGCACTGATAGAATCTCACTTGTGTGATATGTACACATCTCAATCTCCATGAGCACTGAATGTGAGTAAGCACCATCTCTATGCATGAAATCTGCTTTAATTAGGATAATTGTATGGTGACAGTGTTTACCCCTCACATACACTATATACCATATAAATGGGTTTTATTAATCTATTAACAGATTGAGGTCATGGCCAAAAGACAAAATTCATAAACCTGCTTAAGTGACATTCTGCTTGGGAGGTACAGATGATATCACTTGCCCAGCTTTCTTCAGTCAAATGCTGCTGCAAAGCCAGGTGTGAGTAAAATTTACAGAAATAATCTACAAAAGCAGAAAAATCTATGCAGAACAGTCAATTCCTGGATATTAATAATTAGATTTTATAAACTTACCTATCCCAGTGGTTAATCTTCATGTTAACTAAATGATCAATCATTGGCTGTGTATATTCAGAAAAGCCAGCAATATACACACTGAAAAAGAAGAAAAAAAACAGATAAAGATTAGAAATATAGTCCAGAGACAGAGAGTACAGAACCAATATCTGTGTGCATTTTAGCACAGCCTAGTCCAAAGGTAGAAATCCTCTGGCTTTAAGACAACCAAAAAATAACTTAAATGTGCCTTCTCCTAAATGGGATGCAGCTGAATGACAGGATGGGAAATATTCTGAACTATTGAAAAAACTTCAAACCATTCTGTAAAGCTCTCAGATTCTTTCTAAAACCTGCTCTACATACAACAAGTTTGACATTCAATCCCATTGTTACATTCTAGAAAATCCAAATGAGTATATTCACTTGAATAATTATTTCAGATTGGAGAAACCCATCACTGATATCAACTATAAGACAGATGAAAAATAAGTGCCAGAAATATGTTACATCTTCATAAATACAATGGTCCAAAATGGAGAAGGGGTTTTCCATTTGTCCTTTCTAAAAATCAAACATCTGCAGGCAGTGAATTGTGACAAAAGCTGTGGCAGCTGCAGGGCTCAGGTGTGAGCTGGAAGGGAGCAGCAGCACTAATCAGGGAGCCTGCATTGCCCAACTCACACTTTTAATCTCCAGAAGCATCAACTATGGAAAGCCAAGGTCAACACAAGGGAAGTGAAATGTTTTTTCAGTACATCTGATGAGTGTTAAATCTCCTTGGGAGGCCCAGCAATCAGCAGGACTTTGTGCCAGAAGGGCACAAAGGGACTCATGGATTATCATAATTTCACCTTTTCAGATCTTTTGAGTGATTAATTTGCAGCTCTAATGGTGTTCCATTGATATACCTCTGTGCAGTCAGAGGCAAACAAAGAGCAAAACCAAATACTGCCACATGTTCCCATCCTGATATCTATGGAATTCATCAGAAAGGGAATCCTGAAATCCACAGCCAGGCCTCAGTTACTTGAACCAACACTGGACACAGAAGCACCCTGTGCTGGGCCCTAGAGAAGGATTTGACACTTGGTTCAAATTGTTGTTGATGCCAGCAGAGATATATAAATTTATATAAAATATAATATAAATAAATTTATAAATAAATATCTCTAGGTCCTTTCCCTGCTCTGCAGGAACACACAATAACAGACACATTTCCCTTGCCATGTTTGAGCTCTCCTCTCTTCTTTGTAGTTGCTTTTCTGAGTCCCAGTTTTAGCACCCAACCATTTTAATTGAACTTCCTTGCCCAGCTAAAAATCAATCTCTTGGGCCACATGTGTGGCTAAATCCCATTTTTAATTTTAGTTTATAACTATCTTTAACTAGAGTCCTCATCTTCTGTGCCCTATTGAGAATTTAATGCAAGAAGCCTTGCATACAAATCTCATTTCCTGATGATGTGCTGCTCAGATTTCTGTACCTCACTCAGGTTAAGCAGCTTTTTCCTTAACTCTGCTTGTACCAAGCTCAGAACTCCTGGAATCACTTTACTTTTCATCTCTTTACTGCCAGTTCAAAATAGGTTTCCTCGACCTTCCATCTTCAGAAATGTATTATGATATTTGAGCTGAATCCTCCAGAAACCATCAGCAAAAAGGGCACCCAGTGTGAAAAACCTGCATTAAAATATTTAGATTTGAAAGGCTCTAAACAACTATTTATATACACACACACACAAATATTTGTAAATATACATGATACTGCCCCTTTACTGGAACATCATCATCATTGGTGAACCAAATTCAGCTGTAGAAATTGAGACTTTATTTTTTTTATGAGCTTTTATTGCTCAACATTATCATGGTACATCTTTTCTGAGTAGCCAAATATATACCTGGGTGCTTTTTCCTTCAATGTTACTCAGAAAAAACCAAGGAAATAGCCAAGTAACTTAAGTATTGACCTGAATAATGACAGCCTGCTTGAAAAGCAGTGTAATTTTTTGGAAGTAACAGAGTGAATGAGATAGCAAATATTTTACAAAAAAATAGTTTGATTAATGGCACTGAAGATGGCTTCAGAGAATCAAGTTTCTAAGTGCATAGGGTTTTTTATTAAAAGATTTACAAATTTATTCCTCTTGCTGAACAGTTTAAAGAAAGAAATCAACACTAAAAATATTTTCATTTTTAGTAAGTGGCACTAGTACAAAAACTCTGGAAATCACAGTGAAAGAAGAAAAAAAAAAAAATTAAATTACCAATTCAGCTCTTGAAAAGTCAGAACATAATCAGCCTCCAAGCCAGAATTATAGAAGAGAGGAAATAAGACCTGCTTTGTCACTTTTGGATGTTTTCAATTTTGTGTTAGTACAAAAGCCAGGGTTTCAGCAATGCCATGGATGCCGTGCTCAGGGATCTCGAGCAGCAGGGAAATGCCAGGCCCCTGCATTTCCCCATCTCCCGTGGGAGGCAGCTCTGGGGAAGGCTGTGGGAGGAGGGTGGGGACCCCAGAAGGGCTGACAGTGGGTAAAAGGTGAAGGTTTGAACAGACTGAAATGATTCTGCTCAAAAGGGCCAATACAGAGGTGGACAGATCAATAAAAAACCAGTCAGGGTGAAGACAGAGGGTTCCAGTATGAATTATCTTAAAAACTCTCAGTGTATGTGGAAGAGGTTTTACAGCAACTTCTGGGAGCCAGAGAGAAGTTTGAGAAGAGGATCCATGTTTGATGAGAGGATCCATGTTTGATAGGAGGATCCATGTTTGATGAGAGGATCCGTGTTTGATCAGAGGATCCATGTTTGATCAAAGGATCCATGTTTGATAAGAGGATCCATGTTTGATGAGAGGATCCATGTTTGATGAGAGGATCCATGTTTGATGAGAGGATCCATGTTTGATAAGAGGATCCATGTTTGAGAAGAGGATCCATGTTTGATAAGAGGATCCGTGTTTGATCAGAGGATCCGTGTTTGATCAGAGGATCCGTGTTTGATAAGAGGATCCATGTTTGATCAGAGGATCCGTGTTTGATAAGAGGATCCATGTTTGATCAGAGGATCCGTGTTTGATCAGAGGATCCATGTTTGATCAGAGGATCCATGTTTGATCAGAGGATCCATGTTTGATGAGAGGATTCGTGTTTGATCAGAGGATCCGTGTTTGATCAGAGGATCCAAGTTTGATAAGAGGATCCATGTTTGATATAAGGATCCATGTTTGATCAGAGGATCCATGTTTACTCCTGAAAGAATTTCCTACCAAGGTCATTGACACAGAAACCAAGAAAGAAAGAAGGAGAAATAAGAGAAACCTACAACTGCCTGTTCCAATGACCACTTTGCCTTTCCTGAGCAATGAGAAAACTTATGAGTTTTGTAAGAAAGTATAAATATGCATGCATGCTGGAATAAAACCAGTCTGAAACCTTCTGAAAATGGAATATATTGCTCTGGATTGTCTCCCTCTCAACTACCACAAGTGGAAGTCACAAAGCTGGCAGTGCAGCATGAGCCACCATGTGCCTGTGCACAGTTTCTGCTCCCCAAGGACATCACCTGCCCCAGCCTTTGTGCCCTGCTGGGCTCCTGGGCAGCCCCACAGGGCAATGTCCTGCCCTGTCTCCACCAGGGCTGACTCACCCACCCTCTGTGGGTGCTGCTCTCCCCACCCTGGCTCTGGACACAGACTCTGTCTGAGACAACTCAAGCCAGAACCAGCCCTGGCTCTTTGTCCTTTCCTCGTGAGGAAATGCAATATTCTGCTCCTCCTGGCCATCCAGTTTGGCTCCCAGCTCCCCTGATGTCAGCACCTCTGTGTTTCCAGAGCTGACTCTGTATTCCAGGTTTACAACCACACCAGAGCCCAGTTTGGGTACTTCCATCTCCTCCTTGCAGAGATCAGTTGGGTTTTTCAAACATTACTGCACACTGTGGCCAGCCTTCCACTGAGCTAACATAAGCACTGGAGCTAAAGGTCTATGCACAGACCACAAATTCAACAACTTGGGCAAATTGTTCTTTTAAAATTATAAAAAATGGTTTTTTTATAACCTGATTTTTTCCCCCATATCAGAGTCTGTCTACTGTCACATTCATATTTTCTGGAAAAATCCCTTTGCCAGGATTTCTTCTCCAGGGAAGATGAGAAGCCTCAGAGAAAAAACAATATTATCTCATTTGCTTCTCCCTGTTTTGCTGCTTTGGAATGTGGCTGGAGATAATTCACCAACAGGTGCATGTTTGATTGGTTTCATGTGAATTGTTTTTACTTAATGACCAATCACCATCAGCTGGGTCAGACTCTGAGGAGTCAGTCATGAGTTTTTCATTATTCTTGTTAAGCCTTCTGTCTGTATCCTTTCTGTGTTCTTTAGTATAGTTTTAGTATAGCATTCTTTAATATAATATAAGTACATAAAATAATAAATGAGCCTTCTAAGAACATAGAGTCAGTCACTCATCTCTCACCTCGTCCTGGGGAACCCTGCAAATACCAGAGTCTGCCATCACAACAGCCTCTCCTTTGACTACAACTCTCCAAACTTCATCTTGTCCAGCCTTGAGCAGCTTAGAGAGTTTTGTGACACCTCCTGGCTGCTTCCTCCTCGTAGCCAAGGAAATCATGGCCACGTTTTCACTCTGCCTCACACCTGATAATCAGGCATCAAAAAAATAAAACCACAATTTTGATTTGCTTAAAACCATCGGTATTAAACAATGTTCAGTAAGGTGAGGCAATCAGATAAGAATTTCATTAGGTACAAGAGGACGGTCATATTTAGGAAAATTAATAACTGGAAACTTACCTTATAGTCAAGTAACAGTTAACTCTGTTACCAACAGCAAAATAATCAGCTGCAGTCAGGATGTCAATGCCATGGGGGAAAGTACCCTACAAACAAAATATTGTTTTAAAATGTATAATACATTCCAAATAAGCAACATGATTGAAAACAAATCTCCTGCTACTCTCCCAAGCACTGAAAAAAATACAGTTTAATTTATAGTAAAATCATTTGTACTAGAGACATAAAGGATATTGAATATATAAAAAACAAAATACCTCACTCTGCTTGTGAGTCAATGATAAACAGCCCAAGCAAATGGCAGCAGGCAGTCCCCTATGCAACAGCTCCCTTCACACCTCCCAGTCATACCAAAATATATATTTGGCTAAGGCATGACTATGTATGTACCCAAAAGATGATTCCTCTAGAAGGATTTAGATAAACATAAACATGTTTCCAGCTTATGTGAAGGCACAAGGTGAGTTTAATGAAATATAAAATTAGAGATTTAGGCACCAAGAGGTGCATCACGTGTAGAGTACACAGGAGTTTCTACTGACACTTCTATTTTGTGACTCATTAATGAACTAAAAAATGGGATTGGTCTGTTTTGAAAATGAACATTGGAAACACTGAATCCTACTGAAGGATCCCACTTCTGCCATCACTTCTCAAACCAGTCTGTTTCTAGAAGATAAATTACCTTTCTAAGTTTGAGATTTCCACTTAGAAATCTGCATTTCTGTATGCAAGCAATCCAATCCAGATATTCAGAATTTTATTGGCTTTGGCTGGTCTAACAGAGCATCAGCAGAGCCAGCAGAGCACCCATGAGCCACGATGAAAAACAAATGGAAAAGAGCCAGCTGACACTGGCTCCATTCTCTTCCAAAAGGGACACTCAGAGGGTATTAAAACAATGAGGCTCCCTGGACGTACAGGTTTGGGATGTGATGCAGGTTTGTTTACAGCTCACTCATCCCTTCCACATGAGGATCCAGCCATGCAAAACTAGTGGGAAGTATGTCTCCATCAGGGAGAAGCTCTGAAGCGGTTCATCCTGGAAGCTGCCAGCTGCTGCCAAGCTCTTGCTCTGGGAAGCAGAATTCCAGTGCTCCCAAAAAACAAGGCCTGAAATCTAAGTGGGCCAAGCAGAGACAGAGTATTTATGGCTTATCCAAGCTTGCAAGTCTTGGTAACTCCAAGGGAAAATGAATGCTTTGTCCAAAAGCCTCATGAAACCTTGACTGGGGGCAAAAAGGTACAAGAGAAACACCTCAGTGTGATTGAAGGCCAAAGAGCAATGGAAGATATCAAGATGCATACTCCACAAGGAAAATCTCAGCCAACAGTTTGAGTTCTAGCTGCCAGCTGGACCTTGCTGCTTGTTCCCAGCTGTGAGTGTGCCAGTTGGATGCCATCTCACAAAGGGCACGGTGCCACCAAGCCTGCCAGTGAGGCAGCATCATTCCTGACTTCAGGAAAACACAGGTCACAGCCAGGCAGGCTTTACAGGAGCACCCAACAGCTTCTGTTCTCCCAGAACACTTCAAAATTCTCCAGTACAGAAGTTGGTGTTATTAGAAGTATCTGCATTTCTCATGATTTATGCTCAAAAAAATTCTTCAGATTTTTCAGAGCTTCCATTGACACACAGTGTAAGTGGCATTCTTATAATGGCTTCTTCTGTGGCCATCAGCAAGCTCTGGACTTGGGACATTACAAATTTGTGGAATTACAGAGCTGAAGGAGGCAGGAACCAGGGAACAAGTGAGGGCAACCTTTTTCTCCACCTATTTAGTACCAGCTTTATAACCTCAGGTGGAGAATAAGTTTCAGCTCCTTCCAATTCAGAGAGAGGGTGTCTCTTCCAACACACTGAACTCCAGAGGGTGGATCTACTTTTTAAGTAACCATTTTCCCAGGCACCAAGGAATGGTTCAACAAGTAAAACTTCTGACCTTCCGCAGGAACCAGCTGGAGCCTGGCAGTTCCTCCACGCCAGGAAAACTCAAATGTGTTTCACTGCTGATGTGCCAACCCAGAGGCTGAAATCATCATCATGTGAAGACATATTTGAGTTGTGGGTTGAGGCAGAGTCTCTAAGGAACCTTTCTGGCTGTAAACTAACATGGACTGTACCCCTCTGATTCAGAAATAAATGTTAAAAAATTGAATTTTTGCTAGATGGAAGCAATTCTAAACCTGCAGCAGGCAGGAGCCCTCTCTGCCCTGGAGCTAAGTCAGGCTAAGGTGTTATTTACTTTGTTCAGCACCTCACACAGTGCAATCAGGCTGGGCTGCTGTGATGCCCAACCTCTCCAGGGCAGGAACTGCAGACCCAGGAAGAGCCACCCTGGCTTCTGTTTATGACAGACCCAGCTGGGTCAGGTCACCAAAAATCCCTCCTCTCTTCTTCCCAGTCTTCTTGCACCCTTTCTCTGCTGTTAACTGACCTCTGTCTAGAAATACACACTGAACATGAACAGATGGTTTAACAGCCAGAGCTCTAAAGGAATAAAATCCTGGCTCAGAACACAGAGATTTTCAGGAATGCGGTCAGGTGACAGCATTTTAACAAAGATCCCTGAAAGAGCAGCTTATGGATAACAAAATTACCTGAACCATGCTCACCTGCCCTGCTCACAGGAGCACACTGACTGAACCATCCCTCCCCACACCTTCTCTCTCTTAGTTGTATATTCAGCTTTATTAATTCCTGGTGAAAAACCAGTAAATCCAAGGCTTTACCCTATTTGCTTCTCCTTCAAGTTTGAAAATCAAAGCTGCCTCAAGGATTTTAACTACTTAAATGTTGTTAAGTTACATAGGAACCTACCACAATACTTTTTACCAAAGGACTTGGGTACCTCCAAAATTACCAGATTTCTCAAAATATCTACATGGTTCAAGGGACAAGCCCAAAAATTGAGTTGAAGACTCTTGAGCCTTGTTTACTGTGGAACCACCAACTACAGCAATGATTGCACAGCCCACTTCAGTTGGTCTGATTCTATTGAAAACTAGAAAATCAATGAAACCAAACCAAACAAAGGAAACTCCAAACGCCCCCCCCCCCCCCAAAAAAAACACAAAAAAACCCCCCAAAAAGCAAACAAACAAAAAAAGCCCTGCACTTTTCCTGCTTTAAAAGCACTGTAGTTTCCAGGGTGTACAATGACCAGCTCAAATGTTGGTTTTGCTTTTCTGAAGGACTGAAAATTACCAGTAAGCTCATTTTCTTCCCAAACTGGAATACTAAAACAAAACCCACACCTCAGAAGAACATTCCACAAGAATTGGCTGCTCATAATGAAAACAATTATTTTGTGACATTCTTTCCCTCAATTTTTCCAAAGCCACGGTGTCTAATTTTGATTTTAGGTACTCCATGCTTACAGTAACCTCCAAGGCACAAATGAATGAAGATGCAGGGAAGTCACCATACCTGTCTCCCAACATTCTCCTGGAAGGCAGCCTGAGGAACAGAGAACAAACACACCAAAACGAGTCAGGTTTGCTTTTTGATAAACACCAGATGATGAATTCAAAACACACAACAATATAAATGACCCATGGCTTTTCTGTTTTAAATAAAGTAAACTTTGTCAGTAGAACAAGCCTGCAGGGCTTTTCTGTTTCTGCATCTCCACATTCTCTGTTCCTGGAGCCCTATGTTGCCTGGCAGCAGTTTGAGAATTCAGGTTTATTAAACTTGTCACACCCACACAAGTGCTTGGGAGTGACACCAGGCTTGGCCCTGGCATCCAAAGTCAGTACCTGTAGACAACAGCAACTGAGGCAACTCACTCTTGTCTGACTTCAACATCGTCTGCTAAGAGTGGGCAAAGTTTAATTCTTTGTCAATGAAAACTCTGGGAAAAAACATTGAGAGTGCAATATTTATCTATAGGGTATGTGTCTGAAAGCATGCTGAAACACTAGGCTTGTTAAATTTGAAGACAAAATTCATGTATCTCTCCAGTATTTTTCACTAAATAAACTCAAAATCTTGCAAAAATACAATGAAAACAAGCAGGAAGTTAATCTGTCTACTTGTAGGGCATAGAGAAGAAAACCTGCTTAATTCCCTACCTGAATTTTCTCTCTCAGAAAAAAGCCCATTATTTTTATCCCTTTAAAGGCCATAAAATCATAAGCACTAATAAAAGCTTCTGTAAATTTTAACTCTCAAGAAAGGGGAAACCATTGTTATCTGGACACTTCCCCATGGAACTCTCTCTGCACACGCAGCTTTCCAGTGATGGACAACACTCGTTAACTGATATTTAATGGACAGGGGAGAAGCTCCAATGTTTACTGAAACACCACAAGAATTTGGACAGCCAGAGCTTCTGTATTTCCTCCACAACTCCAGCAGCCCTGTGGTAATCCACCTGTGACAACAACAGGTTCAGCTGGCTCCAGAGGAGGATCCCACTCTGCAGGTGGAGCAAGGGCTGACGCCAGCCGGGATGGAGCCGGAGCCTCCCGAGGTGCTGCTGCCTGTTCAGGCTCCTGCCTGCAGCCCCTGCACGCCTGCCCAGGCAGCTCCAGCTGCTGCTGGCAGCTCAGGGCATGGAGCACAGCCTGGATCCCAGCTGCTGCCTGCAGTGCCCCTGGGCAGCACATCCAGCTGGGATGGGGCAGGAGCTGGGGCTGCAGCGGCGCCCTGGGGCTGCTCCTGTGGGAACCCAGCGCATCCCTCTGGCTGGCCAGAACAGCCAGGACCCTGCCAGGGGGCTCAGAGACCCTGGCACAGAGCCCAGAACACCTGGGGGTTTGATTATGACCTGTGGAGCAAGTTACCAACCTCATATGGAGATCAGCAAGCCACAACAGTTTAGGTAGAATAATAGTGAAGTTATCACGCAGTGAAAAAACAGATTTTGGGGTTTCTGGTATGGGGGTCCAGGAGGCAAGATGGAGGGAACTGGGCATGTGCAGCCTTTCTCCTTCTTCTTCTTGGCCTCCATCTTCTGCTGTGATGTTGGCACTTTTGGATTGGTTTAGAGTAGAAGCTCCCTGTCTAACATAGGTGATAGGTATTGAGAAGTAATTGTAAATAATGTATTTTTACTATAAAGACATAACACTGCCCCGGGGGCAGGCAGAGTGCCTGGAACTGTCCTGCTGGATGGACCTCAGCAGGGCAGGAGAAAATATTTTATAGATAAGAAACAATAAACAACCTTGAGACTGAGAAATGAAGAGCCCTGACTCATTCCTCAAGCACCAGGCTGGGAAAGGAGACTTTCAAACTTTTCTCAGAGTCACTCTGAACAGCCTAAGATGCAGACATGCTCCTTGCTGATGCTGCAGCCCAGCTGCTGCCACAGGCTCTTCCCCTCCTCTCCTCACTCCAGGACAGGGTGCCTCTCACTCTGCACCATTCATTTCTTTCTACTTCCAGCTTTAGGTCCTGCTTTATGCTGCCCTCAGTGCATTACTGCAGGCACAGGCTGTGTTTTATGCTATGCACCCTCTGGAGATCAAGCAGATCTACTGAAGCTGTAAGCAGTTATTTGTGCAGCTCTGAGCTCCCCTTTGGTGGAAAGAAGGCAGTTAGGTGATAATCTTTTAGCCCATTCCATTAAAAAAGGTATGTTTGGGGTGCAGAATATATTTTCTGGTAACTCTGGTGTATCCAGGTTAGTGATAGGCTGGGTTAACAGCTGGACTTGATGATCTTAAAGCTTTTTCCCACTTGGATGATTCTATATTTTATGCTACTGAAACCCCCTTTTACTCAGCACAGGCATATTCCAGTGAGTATGACATTCTCTATCATATCCAAGGGATTTCATAGCTCAACCACTGCATTACAGTGTCATTTAAAAATGTGCTGCTCAGGCAAGTGCCTAAATGATACAAAATCTGTAAAGCCCTGAAATTCCTCCAAGATGCCAAATTCCTAAGAGATGCCAAAGACTTAAAGTGTTTTGTGAGAGTAATTTTTCAGTTTTTATACAATCCCCTTCTGGAGATGGAAAAACTGGATAAAAAGATACTAATTTAAAGATTCCATGAGACCAGAACCAAGGTCACCAAACTGAACACTCTTCTTTCCCACAAAAACTGAAAAAAATACTACAACATTCTCTAACAATACTTAGTTTAAAACCAGGTATTTTAAATACTATCAGTCAAACAAGAGGAAAAAAAATCTTCTCTTTGAGATGTCAGAGCTGAATAGAGTCCAATTCAACATCACTTATTCATCTGATTATTCCTTATACTGATTATTCATGAAAGAGTTGCATAAGCCCAGAATGCTTGTGGAGCTTCAAAAGCAGAGTCTTGTTCTATTCTCTCTAACCTCAGGGTTCAAAATGTCTCTATTCACCATTTTATTTTATTGGTGCTCTGCATTATAATATATTGCATCTTGTAAGAGATGGAAAATCTAGTAAAACCTGTTGTTTATTTAAATATGTGTTTAACTGTAAGTGATGATTGGAAATATTTAGCACTCCCAGGTATTTTTCTTCAAAATTGTAATACTGGCTGCTAAACACAAAATATTTCTTTGCCTTTCTAAAACAAGAGAAAAGGCTTCAGTAATTTCATAAATGTCCATCAAATAGCTATTCCAAACTTTGAGCAAGTATTTCTTTCTGATTTGGGAAGTACTAGGGAAAAAATAATGAGTTTGGAGGCAGCTGACTTGCAGACAGCTCAGGAGCCTGGGCTACAGCAGAAGAGGGAAGTGATGAGAAATGTGCTGGGTTTTAATTAGAAATACAGATACTGAGGCTGCACTGAGCTCTCAGCTTGAATCTGGCTGGTTTAGCACAAAGCTCATGGGGCCAAACTACCAGTTTAAGTGTAGAAACACACACTCAAATGATGATTAAATCAGGCCACCAAAGGTAAGCAGCACACTTGTAGTGGCAATTGTGTCACAAAGATTTCTCCTTGGTGTCTATATAAACCCTGATTCTGAGGACAATCCTGGGCATCACACAAATAATTCACTTTTCACCACCTATGCTCCCTAATGTTTCATGCAGCTCTCAGGAAGAGAAATTCCTCTAAGGAACTGATTTGAATAAAGGGATTTAAATTAGCCAAGAATGGCAAATTCTAGTTTTTAAAATGTAGGAGTTGAAGTCTGGGGGAGGTAGCATCGCTGATGTTTGTTAGCTGTACAGCAGGGAAGGTTCTAGCACTGCTCAGCAATCTGCAGCACCTTGGCTTGCCCTGCTCTGAGCTGGGCTTGCTCAAGCCCTGACTCACTTCCCCAGCAATTACACTGCAGCTTCATTCAGCAGCTTCAACAGCAGCACAGGTGTGGCTACAAAAAGTGAGGATGCTAGCCAGGTATCCCTGAGAAACCCTCCTGATCTTCTAAACACAGCACTCTGCAAAATTTCACTCAAAAACTCAGACAGACCTGGTAATGTGCATATTGAAAAAATTGCCTTTTTTCTTTTTTGTTTTTTTTTTTTTAAACACATTCACAGTGACATTTATTGTCAGGAACAGAGATGCAGTTCTTTGGCAGACACTCTGATTTGAGTTCATACAGTTAGAGAGTGGAGTTTTTTACATTTGCATAAGATAATTTGGTTTTTCTGTTAAAAGATACAATTCACACTTTTTTTTTTAAAGAAAGCAAGTTCAATGTCTACAACATTGAAATTAAATTCTCATCAATAAGATATCCATTCTTTCTTCTCAAATTCTCTAAGTATAGAAATTTGTAATTTTCCATCATTTCTCTTCTCTTAAGAACACTCCTCTCAACTCTCAACAGCATAAATATTTCTACAGAAAGTTTCCACAGAATACACTTTGGTGTCAGTTCTATTCACTGCCTTATCTGACTAATGGACTTGTCACTCTTTTAAAAATTCCCAGTCCTATGGAAAGAGTTTTAGAGTTTTATATAACACCTAAAAACATGTTTGAAGGAGAGAGATTATCCTAGAAATTTTCAGTTTACCTTGAATAAAGAGTAACAGCTGATGGACAATCAGGAAATTGTAACCTCACAAAACTCCCCAGACTGGAACTGTGCAAAAAAGCCAATATCTGTGTATTATGTAGGACCCTTTTGTTTGTGATCTTGTAACTAAAAAATGCTAAATAATTCTTTCTTAGATACTTTATCTTGATCATCATGACAACAATACAGCAGACTGTTAACTGTGGCCATAAATCCAGATGTGCATCTGTGGATTATATAATTTAACATCTAAATTCACAAGATATTTCGAAGGATTTTAAAAACCATTTTTTTTTTTGCTTCTCTACTGCAGTTCTACATAATTAAGTCTACAAATTATTAAATGAAAACAAATAAAAAATAACAGAGAGATGGAAGCTGGATGTGGTAACTTACAGAAGCAGCTCTTCTGCAATTAACATCACGATCAAATACTGCAGCAATAACCAATGCACTGAGGAAATAAAACATTGAGCATTAGTACAAATTTATGAAAAGGAATGTGCAATGCCATTATTTCAACATTCAGCCTTCTAAGCAGAGCAGGCAGCACGTCCTCTAAGGAGCTTATTATTTAGAAATATAAGGCTGAACTAAAACCTGAGTTGAAGTAACCTTGTGCTTTCTTGTTTCTCTAGTTTGCTGTGGACTTCCCACAGCACAAGTGCCACCCCACTGTATCAAAGGAATTTCTGGAATACACAGAATTTTCAACAGAGCAGGGGTTTAAAAGCTGGACATAATCATGTCAAATGTGAGACTCGGTGCTATTTTAAATGAAAACTTGGAAATAGAGTTTCTCAATAGGCAAATGTACAGCAAGGCTTGTGCAAGGAGCAAACACAACACCAAGTGAAGCCATGGAAAGCTGCAGTTATCCCCACGAGAACAGCCACATCCTGCAAGGCACAAAAATCTAACATGCAAATCCTGGTAAGACCTGCAAGATGAACTGCAAAGCAGTTTTTTAGGGTGACCCTTTAGAGACAGAAGGATGATTATGTGAAACAATTTCTTCATGCATGAAGTCTGGTGACCCTGCACAGGGTAATTCTGGTGCCTCAAAAGAGCTGCTGTTCAAAGATGTGCCACACAACACAGGAGAGAGAATATATCCCAGGACACACAGACTGCAGCTTTAGAAATCCACCTCCAGCATTCAATTAACTCCAGCAACAAATAAACATCACTTCAGGAGAATCATTTAAGCAGAAAATTATTCCTTTCAAAGCCTGAAACTCTTCATTACATGATTTATTGACTCCAGGCAAAACCGGAAATAAATACTGGCTGAAAAATAAATTCAAGATAGCTTTGCTTCAGCATAAGGATATTAATTACACTGATAATATCAAACTTCCCTGGGTAGTGGCTATCAGTTCCCTACAGTGATGAATACTGTGTTGTTCCACTTCTCTGAAACGCACAGTCAGCTTGGCCTCTGTAATTTCAGTTTAAATCCATTAGGGAAAACAGGAGCCAGAAAGTCAGAATGAAATGAAAACAAACCCCAATAAAGGGTTCTAAAGGCAGGTAATGCTTTCTTAGTGCTACCTGCAGGAGCAATACCCCTGTCTGCCACAAAGACAAGAGGAGAGAGGAGGTCACCCAAACACCAGAGCCTGCAAGAGCAAATGTTCAGGAAGCATTCCATCATTCCATCAGGAAGCAGCACTGATGGCTCACTGCTGAAAACTGCTGGGTCAGCTACACACTCTTCATAATGAGGCCTCAGGTTTAGATTTTCTATTTTTCACATTCTGTGCTGCTTTAGTGTGTGGGTCTGAGCTTCATATTAGGGGATGCTGAACTCTGTGCACAGAGCAGGGAGACAAAACAATTCCTGCTCCAGCTGGGCACCAAGGACAAATGATCCAAATCTCAGCCCAAGAGCACAAACCCCGTGGGCTGGAGACAGAAAAACAAGGATGGGACTGGATGGGCTAAAGCTGGAATGGGACAATGAACTGCAAGATGCAAATGGAGCAGAACTTACGAAAGTGTGAGACTCCCTGACAACTCATCCATTTTATAACCATTTTAAATCCATCTTAAGTGTAACCCTAGCTAGGCTTTTATGCTACCCAAAATATATCCATTGATATATGCTAATAAATCCCTACTTTATTCTTTAACTCTGTCTAGACTCTGTTCTAGGCCAGCCTTCACAAGGCATCAATCAAGGCTTGCTAATTCTCTGGCACACACAGAGAGGCTTAAAAATTATTTTAAAAGGACACTTAATAAGTATATAGTTTTAATGATATGACTAGCTCCCATAAATTTTTAATTAGAGAACTTTCAAGACTAAAGGAATTGGAGGAAAATGATCCTTGAAACCAAATAGAAGCAAATTTCTGCCTGACATTTCTGGTTATACAGACTAGAACAGTAATTCTAGTTATTGTAAGTAATTTGTCAGTTATGCAGTATTTCAATATTGGTCTTTTCTGAAGAGGGGGGGGAAAAGCCAACCACAAAAAACCCCTCATCACACCAAGAAGCTCAGAATCCTGAGTGCTGCCCTCACTGCATCAAACAAGAGCTCATTTATAATCACATCTTCCATTTTTTCTTATTCTCCTGTAACCTTAAGAGAAAGCTGTGTAAATAAAGCCAGTAAATTGTCTGTATAAAGCAGTGTATTGTCTGTGCTGCCACCTGAGTCACTCAGTGCTGCAAACAACACTGGGTGAGCAAAATAAAAACCCCAGGAATTCTGTCAGTGCCCCGTTAGATTGCTAAATCAGCCTGCACTCACTGTTCCATGTTAATCCTTTTAATGAGGCATTCTAACTTATCAAACTCCACAAATGCTCTTTTCAGGCTAATTCCCACTTGGAAGCACAGGCACATCCTCCCCAGAGCCAGGCTTAGTGCAGAGGGTGGAACAGCTCAAAGGTGTCTTCACCTGTCTGCTCTGTCGTGGGAGTTTATGTGATACTGCACCAGGATTTCCTAACAGAAAGAAACTGGTGATGTCAAAGCAAGGGGGATATTTGTCTAAGCTACTCAAAGGATCATGTCTTGACTTGCCCCAAGTGCACCACACCTGCCTGCTGCCAGGAGGAGCAGAGGATGGCTCTGCACCCTCCAATGCCCATGGACACCTTTACTGGCTCCTTTACACCCCCCAGTCCCATGGACACCTTTCCTGGCTCCTTTCCACCCTCCAGTCCCATGGACACCTTTCCTGCTTCCTTTACACCCTCTAGGCCCCAGGAACACCTTTATTGTCCCCTTTCCACCCTCCAGTCCCCAGGAACACCTTTATTGTCCCCTTTCCACCCTCCAGTCCCCAGGAACACCTTTCCTGGCTTCTTTACCTCTCCAGGCCCCATGGAACACCTCTCCTGGCTCCTCTGCACCCTCCAGTGCCATGGAACACCTTTATTGTCCCCTTTACACCCTCCAGTCCCCAGGAACACCTTTATTGGCTCCTTTACACCCCCAGTCCCATGGAACACCTTTATTGTCCCCTTTACACCCTCCAGTCCTCAGGAACACCTTTATTGGCTCCTTTACACCCTCCAGTCCCATGGAACACCTTTATTGACTCCTCTGCACCCTCCAGTCCCATGGAACACCTTTATTGACTCCTCTGCACCCTCCAGTCCCCAGGAACACCTTTATTGACTCCTCTACACCCTCCAGTCCCATGGAACACCTTTATTGACTCCTCTGCACCCTCCAGTCCCCAGGAACACCTTTCCTGCCTTCTTTACACCCTCCAGTCCCATGAACACTTTTCCTGCCTTCTTTACACCCTCCAGTCCCATGAACACCTTTATTGTCCCCTTTACACCCTCCAGTCCCCAGGAACACCTGTATTGACTCCTTTACACCCTCCAGTCCTCCTGGAACACATTTATTGTCCCCTTTACACCCTCCAGTCCCATGGAACACCTTTCCTGACTGCTTTACACACTCCAGTCCCATGGAACACCTTTATTGACTCCTTTACACCCTCCAGTCCCATGGAACACCTTTATTGACTCCTCTGCACCCTCCAGTCCCCAGGAACACCTTTCCTGCCTTCTTTACACCCTCCAGTCCCAGGAACACCTGTATTGACTCCTTTACACCCTCCAGTCCCCAGGAACACCTTTATTGTCCCCTTTACACCCTCCAGTCCCATGGAACACCTTTCCTGACTGCTTTACACACTCCAGTCCCATGGAACACCTCTCCTGACTCCTCTGCACCCTCCAGTCCCATGAACACCTTTCCTGGCTGCTTTACACCCTCCAGTCCCCATGGAACACCTTTCCTCTCTCCTCTGCACCCTTCAGTCCCCATGGAAACACTTTCCTGGCCCCTTAAGAGATATGGAGCCTGCATGCACAGCAGCAATTAAGTCCACAATAAACACAGATTTAAACAGTAAGTTGCAATTTTATCAGTCAACTGATAATTCTCCCTTTCCTCATTATCCATCCTCCCAAGGCCTCACCTAACTGGCCTCAGGGAAAGTCAGAAGACTCCAAGTAGGTCAGTGAGCACTCCCCAGCCCTTGTGGGTCTCATTCCCTTCCCTGACAAGGTGGGAAGACCCAGGGAGCAGAGGTGGGCCAGGTGAAAGACATCAGAACACAGAATTAAGCACAAGCACCAGCTGCCCTCAGCTCACAAGCACAAGGTGTACCAGGCAATAAACCTGAACTCCTTTTACCACCTGCAGCAGGCACTTCCAGTCTCTCCTAGCCACAGGCAGCAAGAAGCTGATCCTGCTGCTGTCCCCTGGGAATGTGCTGCCATCAACCCCAGTGTGCCACCCTGAAGCTGTGGGAGGAGAAAAATAAACTCTCAAACCTCTTGCCTATTTGGTACAAAACCAAAATTTCCTTCCTGAGCCTTAAAAAGGGTGAAGTGGTACCAGGACAGCAAACTCTCCTCCCTGCTGTACGTTAGGAAAGGGAAAGGCACAAGAACCACCACAAGCAACGTGGGTTTGAACAATGCAAGCAAGAAAAGGAGGTGAGGCTTGGGTCTGTGGAGCACTGCTGCTGCAAACAGCCCCTTCTGCACCTCCCCACTCATGCCAGCCCACCTGGGAGGGCTGCACAGGGAGCTGGGTGATGAAAACACATCTAGAGTCAGGTTTTTAAAAATGTTTGAGACCAGAGCAGCTCCCCTGTTCACTTTACCCCATGGAGCTGTGTTAGACCACTGCAGGAGCCCCACAAGGCAAGGAGCAAGCACAAGGGCCTGCTCCAGCCACACTGCAGATGACTCAGATTTAATTCCTCCCATTTATCTAGGAGAAGGTCTAAAGAGAAGGAGAAATGCTGTGACCATTCCCATTTCCACACTGCTACTTTTGCAGTCCCTCTAACCCAGCTCACACAGAGCTCTCACACATCCTGTTCACCACCCACCCTCCTGTGCTGTTCAGTGAGTTATTCCAATCCAAAAATTTGAAGTAAAATGGTCCAAGTGTAAGAAATACACATGT